AGCACAAGGGACTGGCGGCGACGACGGCGGCGAATGGCGCTTTGTCCAGTCTCTCCACCACTGCATCCGTCGTCCGCGGCAACACGCCGAGTGGACCCCGGCGGAGGTGGTGACAATGCCAGGCCACTACGTCACCGAATGCCGAGCGGTGTGCCGCTATCCCATGCCGCTGCCCCGCTTCGCCTACTTCCCCTCGCACCCGGACCTGTCGGCGTCGTTTCCAGAATCCACCATCATTACTGGCGCGTGTCACTATGGTTACCGACTGTCGGCCGGCAATTTCAGCTTGCAATGCCGTGCCGACGGTAATTTCCGCACGGATCCGTTCCGATGCTCGCCGCTGACTTGCACACTTCCACCCGATATCACCAACGGCAACTATTCGTTCATCGGACAGTGCGGTTACGGCTCGTTTGCTGGTCAATACGCGTATGGGTCATCGCCTGCACCTGGGTCGGTGTCTGTATTCACACAGGTGAAGTACAGTTGTGATGTTGGCAGCTACACGATTTCCGGAGCGTCCAACGTGGCTGAGTGCAGCCCGGCCAATGGTAGCGTTGCCGAGTGGATCAACGTGCCAACATGTGAACGTACGTGTGTGTGTATGTGTGTGAGTGTGTGTGTGAGTGTGTGAGTGTGTGCGTGTGCTTGTGCTGGTGTGTGTGTGTGTGTGTGTGTGTGTGTGTGTGTGTGTGTGCTCGTGCTGGTGTGTGTGTGTGTGTGTGTGTGTGTGTGTGTGTGTGTGTGTGTGTGTGTGTGCGCGTAAAAGGATGCTTGCCAAGTACTTCAAAGTAAAAATTAATTCGTGGGTAACTGTCACGTACTAACTGACCAACACGTCGATGTGTTTATCCCCAGTGTACTAGTATGCAGTGCAGTCCTAACCATAGTATCATCTCTGTAGAGATGTGCGCAGGTGCGTCTCCTGATAACGAAACAAAACCTTTAAACAAGGTCAAGATATTCATCCCTTTCCCACGACCCCCACTTGTTCCTGTTGAAACATGTGGCAAAAGTCGCAATGCAATAAACCTGTGTTTGCTGGACCCTGTACCACGCGGAATTCTGCATTGACCGGACACAATGACATGGTCATGCGCCAAACTGCTATAGATCTAACGTGCCTCCCGGGATCAAGCGGAATCCTGTTGCATCAGGACAGTTTCCGCTGCACCAAGGGCGTACCGTTAGGGCAGATTTTCTGTACTCTACAAAGCATTCTGCTCTGTCCTCTTCTTGTTGTTCCCAGCTCTCAACTGTACAGAGCCACCTTCACTGGAAAACGCTCACATCGTCTTTCAACTGACTGACGCCTATCACTTGCCCATCGTCTACCACTGCAATCCCGGTTTTAGCTTCAAGAGCGGCAGAGACACGGTCGAGAGTCGCTGCGTGTACCCAAACTACACCTGGCACGGCCTCCCGGACGATGGCACCGGGCCACCAGTGTGCATGCCGTCCAATTGCACTGACTTTCCGCCGGACGACGGGACGTTTGCCGTCACGGGCAACGGCACGGGGGCGACGTACCCCGTCGGTTCCTCGGTGCGTGTTGCGTGCGTCTCGTCGTCACTGGAGTTCTCGCATCTGCGCTTCCAGCACCCGTACGTGAACAGCATCAACGCGCAGTGTGTGCCGACGGGCACCGGTGCGGCCGTTGCCTGGACGACGTTCGTATCGGCCAATCCCAGCGTGTGCGTGCCGGTCCAGTGCGAGGTCAACCACTCACTGCTGCACTTGGAGGCGCTGTCGTTCGGTGCCACCGAGCAGCCGCTGCGCTGCAAAGCTGGCCACACACCATCACCATGCTTCGCACACTCGCACAATCACTCCTGCTTCTGGGATTATCAGGGGAGTAGTGCTCAGCGTCATCAGCTGTCGCCGGCACTCTGCTCGCCCAAACCATGTATTGTGGACGCTCAGTTCTGCGCCGCCAACTCATCGTCGGTGTCGCCTGGGGGAAGTATCGTGGCGACGCGCAACTCCTCCGCTCTCGGCTCCGAAGGCGTCCTGGTCTGCCACCCTGGCTTCATCGGTGGTGGTAGCAAGTGGTCCTGCGCTCAGGATACGAGCGTTGTGAATCACCCCTATGCTGGGGTATGGCAGACTACAGCTACGACGGGTCTGTGCCAACGTAAGTGATACGTGACGTGTGCTTTTGCCGTTCTGATTTGTTCTGAGCTGAGAGGACAGCTTGTTTCGCTGTCCACCCTGCAAGCCGTGGTACTGCGAAGTTCTGTGTTTGGATGCTGCCTGCAGTGTCAGCTTGTTGCAGGGAATTATGGATGCATACACTAACTTAGCACCTGCACCACAGCCTGCGTGCACACATGCTCCTCCCTGCAGATCAAGTCCAGAGGTCATTGGGATGACATCATCACATCGCTTTGTACGGAGTTGCAAGCCAGTGCTTGTTCTGCCACCGCGCACAAACCACCTCATTGATATGATGTTGTCATCAGTTGAGGTGTTTGTACGGAGCAGCTTCACAAGCACCGGCTTGCCACTCCATATAAGGCAATGTGATGATGCCGTCGTATACAGGAAAACCTGGTTTAAGCGACCACCCCACGGTGCAAGGAAAAGCGGTCGTTAGAGCCAGGTGGTCTTTAGAACCAGGTCCCACAGTGTCTGTGTAGAACTGTCGGTGCATGGAAAAACGGCCGTTAAGAGCAGGACGTGGTGGTCGCTAAGCCCAGAGGTCGCTAAGAGCAGGACGTGGTGGTCGCTAAACCCAGAGGTCGCTAAGCCCAGAGGTCGCTAAACCCAGAGGTCGCTAAGAGCAGGACGTGGTGGTCGCTAAACCCAGAGGTCGCTAAGCCCAGAGGTCGCTAAACCCAGAGGTCGCTAAGAGCAGGACGTGGTGGTCGCTAAACCCAGAGGTCGCTAAACCCAGAGGTGGCTTACACCAGCTTTTACTGTGCTTGTTTTGATTGGCATTTGGCGAGCCATTGCTTGTGATGCCACTTCATACAAATGCTGACGCCATCCTATAACCTCTGTTGTACTGGTCGTAGACGTAATGCTGCAGACTATAATGAATTTAATGATAATGTACACGACCGTGATGGAGAGCCAAAGATAAATTTATAGAAAAGAAAAAAAGGACCGAGGGACGTCAGTGCTGTCGGTCAGTGTCGTGCAATGTTATCGCATGAGCTGATTGTTTAGTAACTGGTGGTGGTGTTAGTGGACATTATAGCGTAACTTGTAGTTCCTTGGCCCTTTTTCGTTTCTGTACATGACTGTATTCATCACAACCACCCGCAAACTATTGTATTTGGAAGGCTAGTATGCCCATGCTTTTGCTCTTCCTCTCTCCTTTGGTTTCTCTCACTATTGTCACAGCTGTAACATGTGCTCCCCCGTCCCTCTCCACCAATGAAGTCATCTCTCCAGTCCTGCCACAGTACCCGTATCTCGTCGTCCTCGTGTATTCGTGTTCAGAAGGCTACCGGCTGAGATCGGGTAACGCGACGGCCACCTGCTCTGGTGACGGCAGCTTTGACGGTGAACATCCTGCCTGCCAAAGTGAGTGTGTACACATGGGAATGCTGCACGTGCAGTTGCTGCAGAGACGTGCCGTGACGTCATGCTACGGAAGCGTGTTGTCATGCCATTCTGTATATACCATGATACAGTAGTGTCTTGTATTAAAGCCTATCTCGTGTAGAAGCCTTTCTTGAATAGAAGCCTGTTTTGAATAGAAGCCTGATTTTCAAGATGCACTGTCGGCACATAAGCCTGGTTTTGGTGTTGTCACACATAGAAATACCTGGTTTGCATATAAGCCTTGACATCGGTTTCTACAGGAAAAAGCCCGGCTTTAATACGCGACATTGCGGTATCCTGCTGCAGAGACATAGCGTGTTGTCATTCTGTACATACTGTGATGTCATTCTGTACATACGGGGATAATTATGCGGCGCGTCCTTACGGCGATGTGACGTATGCAGCAAATAGACAGTGTGTTGGAGTGTTCAAGTTCAGGGACCCTACTAATCCCAAGTCCTGATGTTTTCGTTGTCAAACAGGCGGGCATGTCCCTTTCGTTCTGGACCCAGACTTCTGTTTCTCTCTTTTAAGCGATTGATGTATTGTTTGCGTGATGATTCTCCTTTGTTTTGTGCAGTTGTACAATGTCCGCTGCTGCCCACACCGACCAACGGCATTCTCTCCGCCAGTCGCGGCATGTTTAGCCAAACACTGACGCTGACGTGTAATCGCGGATATCGATTTTCAGACGGCCGCGACATAACCAGCTTCACTTGCATGGCCAACGGCTCCTATTCGTTATGGTCGCTACCGGCGTGCAACGTCCAAGCGCAATGTCCTCCCCTGCCCGCCAATCTAAGCTTTGCCAGCTTGAGTAGCAGCTCAGCGACGTACCAAGACACGGTGAAGATCGAATGCCTGTCGGGGTACGTCGGCGAAGGCGGCACTCTGAGTAGTGACTACACGTGCACAGACGTGTCCACCGCGACCACTCGGCCCGTCGTCTACAACTGGACCTTCGCCGGGACCGGGACCGATCTCAGGTCTGCCGGTTGTTCTCCCGTGACCTGTCTGCCTCCGAGCAGTCCTCCGGGCTCTGCGGTGGTTGGGCAAACGCCCGCAGTGATACGTTATGGCGACGTGCATTCTCTACGATGTCTTTCTGGCTATGAGCCAACTGGCGGTGATCTTGTTCGTAGTTGTGTAGTTGATGTTAGTAATAATGGTGTTGGTATGTTGACTGGCAGTGTTCCTGTATGTTCACCTATACAATGTACTGATCCTGGTATACCAGTGGATGGACAACGTAACACTACTGCTCATAGCTATACTGATGTCATCCAGTATGAGTGTAATAGTGGTTTTCTACTCAACGGTACATCAATTATTCAATGCCAGGCCAATGCTACATGGACTGCACCCACACCACACTGTACAGGTATGGTCTTTTACCAGCGTTGTCACATTCTGAATGCTTTACATGTTTGCTTATCAACTCTCTGTGTCTCTGGGACAGAAGACCACCAAGTTTGTCTTCTTTATTCAAGATCACTGGATGACCTCTGTTTTTCGTTTCCTTTTTTTCTGCAGTTGTGAACTGTGATCATCCTGGACACAGTGACTACATCAGCCGACACGGAGATGAACATTTCTACAATAGATCTGTGATGTTCCATTGTCCTGTCGGCTTTGATCTGGTGGGCAACAGTGTGTTGTTCTGTCAAGCGGACGGCTCCTGGAACGGCTCCACACCGCGCTGCGTTCCCAAGCACTGCACGGCTCCTGACAACACCAACGCGTTTCGCTCGAGCACAACTAACTACACAGTGGGTAGTGCTATTCGGTTTCAGTGCTACTTCGGTTACGAAACAGCGGACGACGTGAACGTACTTTGCCAGCACAATCAGACGTGGAACTCGTCGTTCCCGACCTGCACCAAGATATCATGCGGTCAGCCACCTGCCGGTCAACACGTCAGCCTGCACAATTCCTCCAGTGATTATCTTGCTGTGGCCCACTACATCTGTCTGATCGGATACGCGCACAGCAGTGGGGATAGTCAGGTCGTGTGCCAGGCGAACGGGTCCTGGTCTGGCATGGCCATGCGCTGTGCAATCGTCACCTGTCCGCCATTACTGCCACCGCAGAACGGCACCGCTAGCAATGTGTCCAGCTTCGTCTTTGGCTCGACGGTCGCCTTTGCCTGTGATCCTGGCTTTGTGTTGAACGGCTCTCGGTCAAGAACGTGTGGTACTAGTGGCCAGTGGGATGGGCATGCTGCGCGGTGTGAAGGTAAGGAGAACGTGGACATGCACATGCGAAAATTACCCATCGCGGATTCATGATATGCCTAATAACATGCAACCTGACTTGGGAGGATGTTGCAGAGTAGTTGCGTACAAAGTTCAAAGTTGTGCGGTTACCTGTGACCTGTGCTCCTGCAGAGCTCAGGGCCTGCCTGCCGTGTAAACATTGTAATATGATTTGTATGCTAATGGTGTGCAATGCCCTCCCAAGTCTAGTTGCACGTTAATTGGCATAATATTATCACAAATGTATCGCCTGCCGTTGAACCAATGTTCCTTGATAGACTACTACTTTGTAGTATGTTGGAGAAACAACGTAACCGCCTTTTTGGATATGAAGTTGTTCATTTGACAAGATGTGGTGTGACTTGTGGAAGCATGGTACCTATGGGGATCTGACAATGTAGCACGTGTTTTGGAGGATTGTTCCAATCATCTATGCACCTGCACATGTGTGTGTGTGTGTGAGAAATGAAAAAAATAAAAAATAAAAAATAGGGATTCACTGGCCAGAAAAAGCCACTTTAATCAGCTGTGTGGTGGATACCAGGCTAAAATTAGTGGCAGTCAATTCATCAGCCTTGCAAGCTGTTGACTGGTGTAATCCCAGCACAAGTTGTACACTATGTCTAACGTAGCTGTTCGCTATCATCGCTTCAGCGATGGGCATGTCTGAGTGTGTGTATTCTTGTGTGTGTATTCTTGTGTTCCTGTCTGCAGCAATAGTGTGTGTTACTCCCAGCTTGCCAGCACACACGCTATGGGCACTGAGCAACTCAGCAGCTGGTAGCGCTGTAGTAACATTCGTAAACAGCTACTTGCCATCCACTCTACCGTACCTCAGCACCCTCTCATACTCCTGTTCCGCTGGGTATGCGTTATCTGGAAGCAGCACACAGACGTGTGATCTCTGGGGTCAGTGGGACCACAATGAACCTACTTGCTCAGGTACGGGACCCGTTTTGGTTTAATGCATAGTGCATATGATACACGACTCTCTTGCTATTCGTTTCCAACTCCTCACTGGACATTTAGGGTGATTTTGTCGGCAAATGTTTTCGATTATTGAATTGGTGGCTGGTCACGGTCTGTGAGTGCCTCACAAGGCATTAGTATTTCTGCCCATTTAGAAGAGATTTTTTGCTGTCTTTGATGTGCGGTGCTCATCTGATACCAATCCATGACCCGGCCAATGACATCACCACTACTGCCACCAGCATTAACACCAGCACCACCAGTGCAACCATCACAAATTGTTCCTTGAGCTAGATCATTCCATGTTTATTGCCTGGCCGCACCTGGCTTGCAGATGATGGCTTTGCATTTCTGTGAGCAAGGGTGCATTGCTTGGATTTCGCTTGTCCCTGTCCTTTCTGTGCTGTTTCCGATTCTGTGTGCGACCGTGTGTGTGTGCACGCGCATGCGTACGTATGTGCTTGCATGTCTGTATGTGCACGTGCATTTCGTATCATTGTAGCAATCTCATGTCCAGATCCGGGGAGCGTTGCCAATGCAGCTCGTCACGTCACCGGATTTACTTATCGTCACAATGTTCGCTACCAGTGCTTGCCTGGTTTCTATGGCAACGGTGGTGAGAGCGTCATCACGTGTACCCGGCATGGGAATTGGTCTGCAGCTCCGCTCTCTTGTCAAGGTTTGTTTGCTGGTTGTTTTTTTAATGTGTGTGTGGGGGGGGGGGGGGGGCTGGGTGGATCCGTGTGTGTATGTGTTGCAGTACTGTATTTCCCCGATTGTAAGTCGAACCCCCATTTCCAGGTCCATGTCTTATTGTTTTGATATATTCACATCAGTAGTGATCATGGGGTGGATTACTAGTTTGGTAGTTTCATTTTCATTCATTTTCATGTTTCATGGGTCAAGCAAATATTTGACACATGACTGATGTACAGGTCATGTGACACATTTCCAGGAAATTATCAATGGTGTGCTATGTCTGCTGGGACTAGGGTCAACCTTGCGAATAACCACCCTTGCTCGTGCATGAAAAAGTGTAGCTATTCGCGAGTTGTTGTTGCTCGTGAGGTTGAAAGTATGCGGTCAAATGATCACTGGGTCTGACAATTGTGGTGTAGCCATTCTTACCTTTCTATGTTTTGTGTGTGTGTGTATCTGTGTGTCTGTATCTGTGTGTGTGTCCGTGTGTGTACGTGTGTATATGCGTCTAGCATACGAATGCACTGCCAACATCACCGTGCCCAAGTTCGCCATCGTGGTGACTTCGGACGGCAACGACTACGTGCCCGGACAGGTGCTGTACGAGAATGGTGTCATACTCAGCCTCTGCGTTCTCGACTACAATGTCACCAACAATACCAGCAGCGTGTCTGTATGCCGTAATGGCGAGCTTGTGCCACCGTTCCAGCCCACCTGTGAGCAACCGCAGTGCCCGGGCGAGCGGCCTCCCGGTGGAAACAACACGCTGTTCAGCGGTGCGGGCAATCACAGCGGCGACACGTACGAGTTCTGGTGCCGTGACGGTTACACGTGGACGTGGGGCGCCGCACGACTCAACGTCACGTGCCGACGAGACTCCCAGTGGTCCATGCTGGTGCCGCACTGCTTCCCGGCGCAATGTCCCCAGCTAGCGCCATTGTCCAACGGCGCGTGGAGCAACGTGTCTGGCGTGTTTGAGGACGACGTCACCGGCGTGTGTAACCAAGGATACGAACAGCAGCCATCGAATGCCAGCGCTACCGTGACATGCCAGGCCAATCAGACCTGGTCGCCTGCACAGTTGACCTGCGAGAAGATCGAGTGTTCTATGCTGTACTCGCCAGCGAACGGATCACTCGCTCTGTCGGATGGAGTGCGTTTTGAAAGTCGTGCTGTGTTCACGTGTGATGCTGGATTCTCGTTTGACGGATTGGCGTTTGTGAACCTGATGTGCCAGGCTAATGGGACGTGGAGTGGCCCTGCACCGGCGTGCACGCGTAAGTACACTATATCATTGATGTGTGAGATAGGGAGACAGAGAGAGATACAGGCAGACAGACAGACAGACAGACACACACACACACACACACACACACACACACACACACATGCACGCAGATAGACACGACAGCCAGACAGCCAGAACATAGACAGGGAGAGAGAGAGAGAGACAGAGCGACAGAGAGAGACGAGAGACAGGGACAGAAAGAGTGAGTGAGTGACCGGCTCATGTAGTATTATGGGATTCTTGTAGTCGGAACGTGATCCTTTGCCAGTCCCAGTCTTTGCATGTCTGTTCTGTGTAATATTCAAGGTTGGTGACATTCCTATGATGGCGGAACACCCATCCCAATTCTCAAGCGTGCCGTGACATTTTTCATCAGTGTGTTTCTCCTGCTAGTGACTGCACTGGCAAATGGGAGTCAGTTTCCTCGGACACGAAAGTGCTATAGAACTACTTGTATTAGAAACAGGTCACAGTTCAGGTTCAACATTTGAAAATTTCTCTGGTATACTTTCAAGTCTTTCTTGTCAGTTGGAATGCAGGCAAGTGCAAAGGAACAAGTCAGATTTCGAGTCAATTTATAATATATTCAAGATGTGCTATTGCGATCTCTGCGTAAACTGATTTCAATATTTTTCTCTTTTTCGTTTTTGGATTCTGACCCTGTAGGAGTGACTTGCAGTTTTCCACCACCTCCTACGTATCCCGGATCATCTAGCTCCATGGCTGTTTCCAGTGCTAACGTGTCGTTTGACTTTTCCTCCATGTATGCGTACACCTGTGCCGCTGGGTTCTACTTGACTGGTGCTGCCAGCGTGATGTGTACGCAGCAGGGCCGCTGGAGTGCAATGCCTCCGTCGTGTCACCGTGAGTGGAGGATTTGTGATGTTGCTGTGTGTGTGTGTGTGTGTGTGTGTGTGTGTGTGTGTGTGTTTCGTGTGTGTGTGCGTGTGTGCGTGCGCGCGCGTGTGTGCGTTGTTGCGGAAATTCGGTTGTGTCTAGGCTGAGCCCTGTTCCTGGAATATTTGTGCATGCTTGTTCATGTGTCATTGCCACAGAGAAGCCATGTATTAGTATGCGGTTCTTTGGGGGAAGCTTTTGTTTCTTGCACTGTACAGTCCGTGTGTGCTTTTATCTGGTACTCGTAACGGTGCCTTCCAGTTACACTATGTACAGTGTCATCTTGCTCTTTGCGAAACTCTCTTGTGTCTGAATCTTTCTATCTGACAGCGGTGACCTGCAGCCTGTCCACCTTGCCTTCCCTCACCAACGGCAGTCACGACCGTGCCAACACCACAGCTGACCTACCCTACGGCCAGGCTGTAACTTGGTCATGTGACGAGGGGTTTTCCCTACACAGTGGTGACAGCGCACTGTACTGTGTGCATACCACAAACCAGAGAGGCTACTTCAACGGAACACTGCCGTCGTGTAGAAGTAAGGTGTTTTGAGTGCTACTTTCCGCGTCTGGTATCGGATTTAGTACAGTCAGTATCGCCAATAGCGTTGGTGTTTGATTTTGAGCATTTTATCACTTAAAGCGATATATTACTATGACCGCATGCAATGTATGCGAGTGGGGTGTCAAACGACTCAGCGCGCCGTGCACATACGCACTACATACATGTACATGATTGTACAATGTCATGTAGCTGACTGTAGCTCCTGACACACAAAATCAGGATTTCCTCATGATGGAGGCATATTTTGGCAACTTGTACAAGCAACACTTACCAAACAACACTCACCAAACAACACTCACCAAACAACACTCACTGGACAAGTTCTTTACGAAGAAGTAACACCCTGTTCTCCTCTGACATCGCTTGATTTTACAATCACTAAAACCGATGCAAGAATAGTGTAATAAAGGTCTTGAAATATGAATTTGATCACTATAGGCGATATATTACTTAATGACGATTATTACTATACGCGATAACTGTGTATACTTAGTTACTGTACAGGCAGAAAATTTCGTCGGTCAATAATTTCGTCCAACTCCAAAGAAAGGGATTTCGTCCGGTTGAAAATTTAGTCCATGGACTATAACAGTGTATTGAAGCGCTGGACAAATCGACATTCGTCCGGCATTTAATTTAGTCCCGAAGCTCATTGGACGAAAAAGACGAAATTAAATTCCAGACGAATATTTCTGCTTGTACAGTATGGCAAATGAAAATGAATTTGCGAAATTGATCACTATATCCGGTATATTACTATAGCCGCCAACCTTATAGGCGATACGGACTGTACTAGGACTCTCCTGCTGCGTGGTTTCCTGTCAATTCAACTGAGGGATAGCCTGTATGTGTGTAGTGAGGGAGGAAGGGAGTGTGCGTGGGAGTCTGTTTGGGTGTGGGTGTTTGTGCTTATAGGTAATGTGGTTCAAATACAATGTAGATGCTGTGCTTATGATCTGTGTGTGTGTGTGTGTGTGTGTGTGTGTGTGTGTGTGTGTGTGTGTGTGTGTGTGTGTGTGTGTGTGTGTGTGTGTGTGTGTGTGTGTGTGTGTGTGTGTGTGTGTGTGTGTGTGTGTGTGTGTGTGTGTGTGTGTGTGTGTGTGTGTGTGTGTGTGTGTGTGCGCGCGCATGTGTGTGTGTGTGTGTGTGTGTGTGTGTGTATGTGTGTGTGTGTGTGTGCGCGTGTGTGCGTGTGTGTGCGTGCGTGTGTGTGTGTGTATGTGTGTGTGTGTGTGTGTGTGTATGTGTGTATGTGTGTGTATGTGTGTGTGTGTGTATGTGTGTGTGTGTGTGTGTGTGTGTGTGTGTGTGTGTGTGTGCGCGCGCATGTGTGTGTGTGTGTGTGTGTGTGTGTGTGTGTATGTGTGTGTGTGTGTGTGTGCGCGTGTGTGCGTGTGTGTGCGTGCGTGTGTGTGTGTGTATGTGTGTGTGTGTGTGTGTGTGTGTATGTGTGTATGTGTGTGTATGTGTGTGTGTGTGTATGTGTGTGTGTGTGTGTGTGTGTGTGCGCGCGTGCGTGTGTGTGTGTGTGTGTGTGTGTGCGTGCGTGTGTGTGTGTGTGTGTGTGTTTGATGTGCCAACACCCATTGCTTTGAGTGTGTGCTGGCTTCAAGCGACGCAGACCAGCACTTTATGGGCACTATTAAATGCATCTTCTTTTCTTTTCTTCCGCTCCAATCTACAGGAGTGCAATGTCCCGACATAACCAACTTGATGTCAGCGTTCGTTTTACCGCGCACCTCCAACTATGCATTCGGTGACACCGCCACGGTCAGGTGCTTCCCCAACCATGAGCTCATGGGTGGAAGTGATGACATCATGATCACCTGTCTGAGCACCGGTCTCTGGTCAAGTGATGTCACCGCTTGCACTATCATCAAATGCGGGACAATTCCAAGCGTTCCATTTGCCGATCGTCAAGGCAACCTGAGCACGTACGGAAGCAGCGTCGTCTACTCCTGTCTCCCTGGTTACAACATGACGGCTGGGTCGGCCATGATTAGTTGTCAGGACGACAAGACGTGGAGTGGGACAGTCCCTACTTGCACGAGTAAGTCGTTGTATGCAGTATGACCAGCTTTCTCCGGTCTCCCCACGTAACGGGGTATGGCTAGACCCAGGCAAAGCATTACGGTGAAGATCAACTGAACCTAATATCGGAGCACCTGTACATGTTTAGATAGAGAGGGGAAAGCAGTTGGGTGCACGGTATGCAGTCGAGTCCACCGACTAGATCAGAAGAGATCAGTGGTATGAATACGGTCCGCGTTGCCAGTGGTTTATCTGCTCCTTGATCACGTTCATTGATTTCTATTTTGACTAATGTGTTCTGCTTCTTCAGGAATCACATGCCTTGCACCACCACCATCATCAGGAGTGTTGTCATCATCATCAGAATCTCTAGTAACACCTATGTTGCCTGTGTGTGTGTGTGTTTGTTTGTGTGTGTATGTGTGTTTGTCTGTGCTCTTCTTCAGGAATCACATGTCTTGCACCACCACCATTATCATCAGAATCTCTAGTAACACCAATGTTGTCAGTGTATGACTGGAATACCACTGTAGAGTATTCATGTCAAGTGGGATACCTGCTCACTACACCCTCCATTACACACGCACAGTGCGATAGTGATGGTTTGTTTACTGTGGAACATCCCGGCTGTCATAGTAAGTGCCGTTCAGTCTCACCAGGTGTGCACACGCTGAATGCCTGCGGTGCATGCACATGTCGTTTGTCCATCCCTGAAGGCTATTCTTCATCATGTATTGAACTGAACGCTGGAAAATCGTCTGAAATTTCTTTCATCTTGGTGGATTTGAATGTGCGGTGATGACTGCAGACGCGTCGACGGCCGACGGGCTACAACATATTACAAGTACAAGGCCGAGGGCCTAGGGGCACATGCCGGTACTGCGCGCTTGCAATTTATACTGAGTATTGCTATTCTCAATGTTGTATCCGCAATGTATGTCTGTTTCATCCTTGTCTTGTTCTATGCCCTGTCTTGTGCAGTTGTGCGATGCCCGGCTCTTGCGCAGGACAACGCTGCGTTCTCCAGTGCCCGTGGCAGTTACGGTCACAACATCACAATGACCTGCAGTGTGGGCTACGAACTGCAGCCAGCTGGCGTGCATGCTATTAACTTTACCTGCTTGGCGAGCGGCTCATACTCAACCTTCCCACTCCCGGCGTGCAAGCCAATCCGGTGCGTCGCCCTGGGCAGCGTTAGCAATGCCAGTGTAGCTAATACCTCTGCAGGGTATCTCTCGCGCGTGCGCGTTAAGTGCGATGCGGGTTTCGTTGCAGCAGATGGCACGCTGTCTGGCGAATATGCGTGCTCTCTCGACTCAACAGCAGCGAGTGGTGTTCGCACTTATCGTTGGACGCCAACAGGATTCGATCTTGTGTCGGCGGGCTGCAAGCCTGTAGAGTGTTTGCAGCCATCTCCTGTTGGGCATTTCCGGTTCGACCCACGCATTGTATTCCCCATTGCCTTTGGATCTACAATTTCCGGTAGTTGTGATCTTGGTCACGAGCTAGCTGGTGGTGATCTTGTTCGTAGTTGTGTAGTTGATGTTAGTAATAATGGTGTTGGTATGTTGACTGGCAGTGTTCCTGTATGTTCACCTATACAATGTACTGATCCTGGTATACCAGTGGATGGACAACGTAACACTACTGCTCGTAGCTATACTGATGTCATCCAGTATGAGTGTAATAGTGGTTTTCTACTCAACGGTACATCAATTATTCTATGTCAGGCCAATGCTACATGGACTGCACCCACACCACACTGCACAGGTATGGTCTTTTCGAAGTCTCGATAGTTCACAGCACACATGTGTGTTGTATCACTCACGTATATGTTGTAGTTGAGCGCTCTCATGTGAGGTAGTGCCTTTGCCGATTGCGTTATGCAGAGCTCACTGACGTGTCAGTTTTGAGCACTCTGGCAAGGTACATCCGGGCCTGGTTTATATCTGGCTTTGGAAAATTTATGTTTCATTGCCATCAAGTTAGGCCTCGTTATCTCTGTGCTGCGCTGATGAGTCCACGAAGGACGAAACAGTTCTGTCCGCACATATAATTCTTCCTGTCTGTAGCTGAACTTTTGCGGAGCATTTTCTGTGTTGCACGCATATTGCTGAGAGAACTCGTGTGGCATGTTGACTTGAGTATGCAGACGTACACATTCACGTTCACAACCCGTGTGGCATGTTGACTTGAGTATGCAGACGCACACATTCACGTTCACAACCCGTGCATCTTTTTAAATCCATCTAAAGAGTGGTTTCGCATCTATCACATGACCATACACAGGACAGCCATGTTGGTTCCAACTCCACTCAACCCCTGCATCTATGGGTCAAATGACGTCAGCCGTGTTGCTTCCACTGTCGACATGCCATGATCACTTTCCAGTAGTTTCTACATGAATCCAGTCACGTGACAAGAATGTGAAATGGCTTTATTGTGTGCCCTATTGTTGTTCAGATGCATGTCATCTAAGCCTCAATGGTGGAGTGCTATGAAATTGCTCTTAGTGGCTTGTGCAGCCTGAGACTTCCTCAACACTTTTTCATTTTTTTTCGTATTTCTCCTCTCTGCAGCTATGAACTGTGATCATCCTGGGCACAGTGACTACATCAGCCGACATGGGGATGAACATTTCTACAATAGATCTGTGATGTTCCATTGTCCTGTTGGCTTTGATCTGGTGGGCAACAGTGTGTTGTTCTGTCAAGCTGATGGTTCCTGGAACAGCTCCACACCAAGCTGTGTTCCTAAACAGTGTCCAATGGTAGACAATAGCAATGCACATCGTAGCAGCACTAGTAGAAACAGCACAGTAACAAGTGTGGTACGTTTTCAATGTGATGTGGGATATGAAACCAGTGATGAACTCTCAGTTTTATGTCAACACAATCAAACATGGAATTCATCATTTCCAAACTGTACGATTATATCGTGTGGTAATCCACCCAGTGGAGAAAATACTGAACTGTCTACAACGTCGACCGATTATGGCGGGGTGGCCAGGTATAAATGTCGTACTGGATATGAAATTATCGATGGCCATCGCGAGTCAAGGTGTTTTTCTAACGGATCCTGGTCTGTCTCTTCCTCATCATCAGTGTTGAACTGTAGTTTGATAGAATGTCCAGTGTTGTTGAGTCCTGTGAATGGCAGTGCGGAGCTGAACGGAGGGAATTTCAGCTTTGGAACCATCACCACATTCAGCTGTGACAAGGGATTCATCTTGAGTGGATCATCAGCGCGTATGTGTGGTGATCTTAGACAATGGAGTGGATCAGATGCTGCTTGCAACAGTGAGTTCAAAAAGCTCTTCAAACATTAATGGGGTTTGCAATGTTGCTCGAGATGTTCATTCCGTTTTATTGCCATTCGTGCCTGGTAGAGTGCCCGTTGTAGATGTATTTGCAACTCCAATCCCCTCTTCCTCTCCGTCTCTCCATCTCTCTCTCTCTCTCCATCTCTCTCTCTCTCTCCGTCTCTCTCTCTCTCTCCGTCTCTCTCTCTATCTCTCTCTCTCTCTCTCTCTCTCTCTCTCTCTCTCTCTCTCTCTCTCTCTCTCTCTCTCTCTCTCTCTCTCTCTCTCTCTCTCACCCCCCCCCCCCACACACACTGTGTTGTTGTAAAATAGGGGGTAACCTGCGGCACTGTACAAACTATGTTGCACGTTTGCCGTTGGCTGAGATCCGAAAAGATTGACTACACACGACGTGTCCATTGCGCTATGTACCACTCAAAGGCGCACATGCGTACTACTGTTTTCCTGGTTTGCTCCTTTGTGCTCTGCCATGCGTAGTCGTGCAGTGTCCAGTGCCATCGCTCCCCACGCACACGCTCAGGAGCCCAAACGTCAGTGCACTGACCTCTCTCGACTACACTGCCACCATACTGTACTCATGCCCGACTGGATACAGACTGGTTGGCAATGCCACGCAAGTTTGCCAAGAAACAGGTGACTGGAGCTCGCCAGTAACTCCGTATTGTTCCAGTAAGTATGTGTGGTTACATCATGAGAGGGATTTTATTGAATTTCTGGTGGTGGTTGGGAGATGCTGCAAGTGTTGTTATGCAAGACAAAGAATCGTCTTTTCGGCTGAGTGATGTCTGATAGGACGTAGTGAGTGCTGTGACACTATTGACAAGTGAGGAATTTGACATTCAGTGTTGACCTGTATCTTTGTGTGACCTCTGTTCCTTGTTCCTTTTTTGGTTTGTTTCGTCTTTCTGCATCTCAGTCGTAACCTGTCCCGACCCGGGCCAGGTAGCCAATGGCGTGCGTCACGGCTCGACGTTCCACTACCAGAGTATGGTCACGTACCAGTGCACGTTCGGCTATCAGCTGCGTACAGACTTGCCAGTGCTGGTTTGCTTGGCCAACGGCAGCTGGTCGCAGGCTCTCCCGGTCTGTGAAGGTGAGTGAGTATACGGACGGCGAATGGGCGGAATTGTGTAAAAGCTCACTTTTACTTTCATGTCCTTTTCATCCTGTTTTCTTCAATGTGTTCTCCTTTTTGAAGAGCTGCCCTGCATGCTATGCAAGTCTCTGTGGTGGGAGGCAATAAGACTCTGCTTCTATTTTGAGACTCCTCAGTGACTTGTGTATCCTGACACACCCTCTAGACTTACCCTAGTCCTGCTCCAGTTGTGTGGCTCGGCTATCTACCCTTGTATTGTGTGAATCCTTTGGCTGAACCAGTGCTTGTTTGTCTTCGTTTGGAAAATCAAGCTTTTGCTTAATTGCCTGTCTGTCCGTATGTCTGTCTGTATATCTTTCTGTCTGTCTGTATGTGCATCTGTCCGTCTATCTGTGTGTCCGTCTGTGTGTGTGTGTGTGTGTGTGTGTGTGTGTGTGTGTGTGTGTGTGTGCGTCGGTGTGTGTGCATGGCTGTTTGCATGACTGGATGTCCCTCAACACGTTGTCGACGTTCCATACGCGTATTTGCAGACGCGGTGAAAGCATGCAACACGGACATACCCGCGCCGGCAAACGCCCTGTACACGTTCACCACACAGGGCCGCTTCCGCAGGAACATCACGCTGCGGCACGGCGCCGTGATCCTGACGGAATGCGCACTCGGCGCGTTCAGCAACACCTCTCTGCGGTCCGTGTGCACGTACGGCGAGTGGCAGCCGCCGTTCGAGCCCAACTGCCAGCCGGTGGACTGCGGACCGGCGCCGCGGGGCAACAACACCGTGCAGCGTGGAAGCGGCACTAGCTATGGCTCCGTTCAGTCGTACTACTGCCTGGCTGGCCATGCGTCGGCATCCGGCACGCACACGCTACAGTGTCAGGAGAATGGCTACTGGTCCGACAAGCCGCTGCACTGCGAGGTCATCCGCTGTCCGCCATTGCCGCCTCTGTTGAACGGCTACTACACGAACAACGGCACCGGCTTCTACGGCGAGAGAACGTATCCCGGGTGTGATTCCGGGTATGAGCTGGTGGCAAACGTTCCCAACGGCTTCCAGTGCTTTTTGGACAGTACCTGGATTGGACCGTTTGGTGTCAGCGTTGCCTGTACCAAGGTGTCGTGCCCTGTCCCGCGTCCAGCATACGGCTCGGTTACTGGCCCTGGAATTCGACACGAAGATGTTGTACAAGTGCACTGTGACGTTGGTTATGAGCTGCAGAATCAGTCGGCAAGCAGCCGGTTGACGTGCATGGCGGACCGGCAGTGGAGCGCTGATGTTCCCGACTGTGTCGGTGAGTTTAGACGTTCACTCTCACCGTCGGCATTGTGCCGTATGTGCCGCTGTGATTAACTGCACTCCAGAGCTGTCGCTTTTTTCATGAGTTTCTATTGCCTGTCCCGTCTTGTGTTGTGCATTGGCAAGAATCACATGTCTGTGCTCTAGTATCTACTGTAAGTCTACTTCGAAGTACAAATTTTCGGCGCCTTCGAATTTCGGCCTCCCAGGACTAAAACACATCTCGGCCGCATTCAAATTTCACCCTGTACTGCTGCTGCCTGTATACACTGTCACACTGAAACTTGCAAAGCAAAATTTCGGCCGCAAGATATTTTCGGCCAAAAAAGCCCAGGCCGAAAATAGGCGAAAATAAATATACGCCGAATATTTGTTGATGTAAAGTATGATGGTGTGTCATTCTCGGGATACGACATCTCTATTCATGGGCAAGAATCATCCTGAACATCGATTGATCTGGCTTGGATTGCTGAGATGTTTGACTCCTGGTGGAGCAGCAGCGTGCTGTCGGCCACCGGATTTCACAGTGCGAATGGTGGCCGAACAGTGCTGAGCCGCTTGGTGTGCATCTGATTCTATAGTCCTGTTGGCTTACCATATTCTGCTGCGTGTGTTTGTCTCTTCTCTCTCTCTTCTCTCTCTCTCTCTCTCTCTCTCTCTCTCTCTCTCTCTCTCTCTCTCTCTCTCTCTCTCTCTCTCTCTCTCTCCCTTCTACAGCTGTAAAGTGCCCTTCGCCTTTCCCTCTGACCCACACTCCACCACTACCAACTACAGCAACGAACTCATCCCACAGAATGCAAAATACCAGCAGCAGCAGCACTATTGCTGAAATTTACCGCTACGGGTTGCTGGTCACGTTTGACTGCGCTGTCGGCTACTATCGTGTGGGCGCTGCCAATGCGTCGTGCACGGAGCATCGCAACTGGAGCAGCCCTCTGCCCGTGTGTCAAGGTAGGTGGAGTTGTCGTGCACTAAGTACCCTTGCTTGCACTCATACTCTGTAGGTGCTTGTGAGGCGCTTGGCTGTTGCGCTGCCTTGCCTCGGCATGGCTGAACACTCTTTCTGGTTCGCATCAAATCTATCTACTCTGGTGCAACGCTCACTGTGTTTATTGCATTTAGAGCACTATGAATTTTATGCTTTCGGGCGGTTTAGGAAACCTCGTAGCCCCATTGTTGCCTTGCCATGATTGTAGCGAATTATTCATGGCTACACAAAACGGCTTCAGTTCCTCCAAATGCTTGCCTAGGAGGATTTCATCAGGGAAACGTGCTGGCTGTGTGGCTGTGTACGCAATGGTTTTGCTATGATCATGTCTGCTCTAATTGTCTGCAAACTCCAACGCAGCACTTGATCATGTTTTACTGCTATAGTTGATTCTTGTAATAGTCTTCCTGTCTCCTTTGCTTCTCTCTCTCTCTCTCTCCCTCTCTCTCCCTCTCTCTCTCTCTCTCTCTCTCTCTCTCTCTCTCTCTCTCTCTCTCTCTCTCTCTCTCTCTCTCTCTCTCTCTCTCTCTCTCTCTCTCTCTCTTTCTCTCTCTCTCTCTTTCCCCTATGCTCTCCTGTGTGTGTGTGTGTGTCTGTGTTTGTGTGTATAGCTGTGACATGTAATACGTCAGTGCTAAAGACTGTGCCCAACGCAGGATACACGCTGGGCGGTTTGACAGAAGTGCCGTTCGATCAGTCACTCCTATGGACGTGTGACGTGGGGTATGAACAGACAGGTGGTAACCTCTCTCAGCTGTGCGATCACAGTTTGAATGAACGCGGATACTTCACTGGAGTGGGGCCGCAATGTTCCAGTGAGTGTAGTACTGGACATACTCTTACCTTTCTATGCACGCTTCTCTCTGTCTCCGTCTGTCTCTCTGTCTGTCTCTCTCTGTCTGTCTCTCTCTGTCTTTCTCTCTTTGTCTGTCTGTCTCTGTCTTTCTCTGTCTGTCTGCTCTCTCTCTCTCTCTCTCTCTCTCTCTCTCTCTCTCTCTCTCTCTCTCTCTCTCTCTCTCTCTCTCTCTCTCTCTCTCTCTCTCTCTCTCTCTCTCTCTCTCTCTCTCTCTCTCTCTCTCTTCTCTCTCTCTCTCTCTCTCTCTCTCTCTCTCTCTCTCTCTCTCTCTCTCTCTCTCTCTCTCTCTCTCTCTCTCTCTCTCTCTCTCTCCCTTCACTGTTGCTAGAAGTTCGATCATTTCCATATTCTGTATCACATAGAATGCGTGGTATCTGTGTTCTCCTGTCTCTGTAACAGGAGTTCAATGTCCGCAGTACAGCTTTGTGCCATTCGCCTGGATCAGTCCTATACGCGCAGTGTATCGATACGAAGACAGCATCACAATAACCTGCATCACCAACTTTGAACTTGCTCCGAGTGAGGCCAGCGCCCTCGTTCACTGCCAGGGAAACGGGACGTGGTCTCGCAACGTGACCGAGTGCAGGCAGATCGAGTGCGAGGAGATTCCGCACGTGCCACATTCCACTCGCCAGGGCAACAGCAAGCTGTTCAATAGCGTGCTGATCTACACCTGCTTGCCGGGGTACCGCATGACGTCCGGATCGCCCGTGATCTTGTGCCAGGCAAACAAGACCTGGAGCAGCGCTCTGCCGAACTGCACCCGTGAGTAGTAGAAACCCTCGAGTGAATTCACCCGTATATTCCTACTCGTTTAGCTATGATCCCATTGGTCCTATGGATTGGTGGGATCTTCCGATAACTGTTGGGAGTTTTCTTCATGTTCAGTGTTTTTTATGGGTGTTGTGTATGTGCATGGCCAGCTGGTTTGTGTCGGAGAACTCCATTGTACATTGCTGTACTCCGAAGCATTCATGCTGGTTCCCGGTGTAGTGAACTCGCCTATCGTGAAATCCTGAGTGCGGAGCAGGATTGTATATTGCCCGCCAGAAATGAATCAATGGCCAATTGAGTAATCTCTTTCCGAATTTTCTTTTGAGTCTCTCTCCCATGTGACCAGTTTTGGCAGTAATCAAGATCAAGTAGTTTTTGGTTTCCACTATAAATAAAGTACCGTATTTTCCGGAGTATAGTGCGCACTTTAGATCTGCTATTTTAGGCCCTAAATCGCAGGTGCGCACTATGCTCCGAATATGAAATGCATGTACTTCAATGAAGATTGAAGCGCGCACCCCCAATGAAGATTGGGGGGTGCGCGTTATACAAAGGTGCGCACTATACTCCGAAAAATAAAGTATACAACAACAACAAGCACATGTACAGCATACCGGCACGGTGCATTACATATTTCTGTTCCAATTGTCGTGCCTTTGCCCTGCAGGCATCACGTGCACTCCGAAAGCTCTACCGCCACAGGCACTCCGCGTACCGTCTCTGAGCACCTACGACTTTCAGAGCAACGTGACCTACTCCTGTCAACCCGGTTACGAGCTGAGACTGCCGGTCAACCAGTCGTTGTGTGAGGAAGACGGCAGCTTGCGAGATGAACATCCCGGATGCAAAGGTACGGCTGCCATCTTTGCAATGGGTTATACGCCATACACAGGCTCCTGTACTTGCCCACACATGCACAGTTTGTTCTTGGTACAACTAGAGAAGGTTGTTGCCGGCTGGTCAGTTTGCTGAAGTTGTGCTGCGGTGGCAGATTACAACGATGATCTGAATTCAGTTGCTCTTGGTCCATCTTGTTCACAACAATCTTCTTCTAGTTCTTGTATGTCCCTTATCAGATTAAGAAACAGTCAACTATTTCCAAAGTGTCACTGTGAAGACCTGTGCGAATGAAAGCTGTCACACATAGGGCCTGTTGTGCCTTGTCTAAACACAGAATATGTCTGCAGAGGCGTATGAGATTGATTTTGTGATTTCATACCGTATGTCAGCGCCGTTAAAGCCATGGCCTTATATTCGAAACACCGCTGCTTTCCTAGATATTTTAGATGCAAAATGACTCACCCACTACGCCATGCCATAAAAGTCAACATTCACACAGAAATTTCAATCTCAATCCACTTGTCCACCCTTCCTGCTGGGCTGTAAGTGTGTTAGCATTGTACTTATTCCTTCATTTTTACAAAACATACTTCAAATGTCATTTCATTTATGAAGCCCATGGCTTTATAACTGAGACTGGCTTTATAATCGAATATACCGCCATGGCCTTAAAGGTGCGGACATACGGTATGACAGGAAACAATTTGTTTCTCTCTTCTTCTCCCCCCCCCCCCCCCCCCCCGCATCCAGGTGTACAGTGTCCATTCGTGCTGGCACCGAATGCTCTATCAACAGCCGTGAGTGCTTCCTACCCAGACTCGCTCACCATTCAGTGTAGACTAGGCTACCAAATACACTCCGCACTGAACTCGATAAGCGTGGCGTGCCTCCAGAACGGATCCTACTCGCTCAGCTCCATCCCGCAGTGCGCACCGATTGGCTGCAGCCCGTTGCCCGTGGCGATCAACGCCACCGTAGCCGGGAGCTCTACGTCGTACGGTTCGGCCGTGTCTCTGACGTGCGACCTGGGCTTCGTTGGACCGCAGAGCAGTCTCCGGCGTACATACTACTGCACACACGCCATCGTGAACGGTAGTGTGGTGTATGGCTGGAGAGCCGGAGCTGATGAGTTTACTCCTGACTACTGTCAACCAGTGGAGTGTCAGCAACCTGTTGGTATCCAACATTTTCAATTTGAGGCCGCCACTGCATTCCCAATCCTACTCGGGGAAGAAGTGAACAGTAGTTGTAACCTTGGCTATGAGCTAACCAGTGGTGATCTGGTTCGTCGTTGTGTAGTTGATGTTAGTAATAATGGTGTTGGTATGTTGACTGGCAGTGTTCCTGTATGTTCACCTATACAATGTACTGATCCTGGTATACCAGTGGATGGACAGCGTAACACTACTGCTCATAGCTATACTGATGTCATCCAGTATGAGTGTAATAGTGGTTTTCTACTCAACGGTACATCAATTATTCAATGTCAGGCCAATGCTACATGGACTGCACCCACACCGCACTGCACAGGTAGGTAGCTGAATATCCTGAACACACTCAGACTGCTCCAGGTACAATGCTGCTTAAAGAAATCCGACCGTGCTAGTCAAGTTGGTGCCCTGCACCAGTCAACCACATCCCAGTCTTCACAGGTGTAGGGCTGCACAGCGTGGTATTGACATGCTTGACCTGATTTCATTGAGCAGCACTGACTCTAGCTGACTTGTTGTACGGGGTCTGCAGCAAAGTTCGGAAAATAGTTTGGAAAAAACTTGGATTTTAGATATAAATTTTTCCAGGTTTGGATAAAGTTTTGAAAATGTGTTACTTTTGAAACTTGTATGCTTTGAGCAACAAAATGCTGACTGGATATGATCTGGTTACTTTGGTGGAAAGTTAGTCATAGCTCGGGAGTCGTAGCGTTTTATTCTTCTTTTTTACTCGACAAAATGTTCTTTCCGCCATTTGCACCAAGTTCTTTGAGTAAGACGGCTCCACAGGATTCGTTATCAGTTCATCTTTGCATGCTATACAACCATTGTGTGTGCTTTTGTGTTCTTGTTCTGTTTGGCTCTGCGGGGTGAAGCAAGGCTACTCTCTCGTTTGACTTGGTGTGTGTTTCTGACATTGTTTCCTGCAGCCCGGAACTGTGATCATCCTGGACACAGTGACTACATCAGCCGACATGGAGATGAACATTTCTACAATAGATCTGTGATGTTCCATTGTCCTGTTGGCTTTGATCTGGTGGGCAACAGTGTGTTGTTCTGTCAAGCTGATGGTTCCTGGAACAGCTCCACACCAAGCTGTATTCCTAAACAGTGTCCAGTGGTAGACAATAGCAATGCACATCGTAGCAGCACTAGTAGAAACAACACAGTAACAAGTGTGATACGTTTTCAATGTGATGTGGGATATGAAACCAGTGATGAACTCTCAGTTTTATGCCAACACAATCAAACATGGAATTCATCCTTTCCAAACTGTACCATTGTTTCCTGTGGCAGTCCACCAAGGGGAATACATTCTGAACTATCTGTGACCTCAACTGACTTTGGTGGTATAGTGAAGTATAGTTGTTGGACTGGCTATGAGACTAGCGATGGTCATAACGAATCGCAGTGTTTATCCAACGGCTCCTGGTCTGTGCCATTATCATCATCCGTGTTAAACTGTAGTTTGATAGAATGTCCAGTGTTGCTGAGTCCTGTGAATGGCAGTGCTGAACTGAACGGAGGAAATTTCAGCTTTGGAGCCGTCACCACGTTTAGCTGTGACAAGGGATTCACCCTGAGCGGATCATTGGTTCGTGTTTGTGGTGACCTTGGACAGTGGAATGGATCTGACACTGTTTGTACAAGTAAGTCGGTTGTGTCTTTGCACGATGCTGTGGGCTGTTTGCTACCTTACTCCGTCTGTTTGATACAGTGTGCCCACGCTTATCTGCGCTTCCTACTCCCGTCCCTTCACCTACCGGGGAAACTGCCCATGGGAATGATTATGATCTTTTGAAGGAGCTGAGATCGTGACGCATCCAAGTCAAATCGATCAAATTTGTGTCTTTTCAAATGTCAACACACGGTTCCGTGCTGGGACATGTGCATTTCACTTGCCAACAATCTTTCCGCGGACTGCCCAAAAGGGTCCGTAGGCGAGTGCCTGTTGTAAGTGGTTTCAGCAGAAGACAGTCATAGTGGCCTTGCCTCCCCCGTCTCGAACCGCTGGTAGTTTTGTTTTGAAAGTGCACCTTTATGGTGAGTGAGCGTGTGTGTGTGTGGGCGTGTGCGCGTGCACGTGCACGCCATGTCTCAGCATCAATCATTCTCCTTACTATGTTTTGCTTTCTTTGTGTTTTCAATCCCCAGTTGTACAATGTCCTGTACCATCACTCCCCCAGCACACACTGAGAACACCCAATCTAACAGCCATGTCTCTACTGGACTACTCCAGCAGTGTTGTGTACAGCTGTGTGACTGGCTATACACTAGTGGGTACTCACACACAGCAGTGTCTAGAGACGGGAGAATGGACATCCGCCACAGCAACGCCATATTGTACAAGTATGTAAATGTGAAACTTTTTCATTCTACTCTTCTGATTTTCCTCTCAGCTAGTGTAGAGATGTGATTCTGGTGTGGAGGTGATGTTATTCTGGTGCATAGATGATGTCATTCTGGTGTATATATGATGTCATTTTGGTGTGGAAATGATGTCATTCTGGTGTGGAAATGATGTCATTCTGGTTTGGACTTTGGAGATGTTTAGGCTGCCTGTTCATATTTGTGTTCTCAGCCCCCACAGGTCTTGCAAAGAGTAGACACGGTTTCCAAGTTTTCTCATAGCACTCACCCTGTCACTCCTAGCTATTGGATAGTTCACGCACTTTGAAATGGTGCCATGGCTCGAGTTCTTCTGGTCTTTACCAATGTTTAAAGTCCTCCAACCTGTGATTTCTCATCAGTGTTTTCATTCTTTCTGGCTGTGCACGTTGTCTCAGTTGTCACTTGTCCAGCTCCGGCCGTAGTTCCAGCCAGCATACACAACGGCACTGGTGTGTACCGCTGGCAGAGCAGCATAGCGTACCATTGCATCATCGGCTTCTATTTACGAGGCGTGGATGTCATCACGTGCAGTCACTATGGCAACTGGTCCGCTCCAGTGCCAGCTTGCATAGGTAAGACTCGATCTCCTCTGCTCGCAAAGTGAATACGGTCAACCTTGCAAATAACAACCTCGGATGTTCCAACAACTTGCGAATAGCGACATTATCCTCAGATCAAGTACCCCTTGATTCTGTACTTTTAACCCCACCAATGACAACACTTTTCCCGTGATGGCGATCAAGGGTGGTTATTCGCAGGGTTGACTGTCGTGCGCTGCATTGCTTGCATGGAGAACCGTGGCATTCATCTCCATAGCTACAGTGAGACAGTTCAGTACAACGTATCCTGGATATAGCATACTTTCTCTTTGCATCGGATAAAAAGTACTTTCCGATGGCCCTGCGTACGGCTATACCAGTTACTTGACCTTGGATGTGGAATAGCTCGGCTATCTATGAAGTAAATATTTTACCTCCCTTGGAGCTGGAGGCAAAATGTACGTTGTACTGAGTTTCACTGTGTGCGTGCATGGTAGAGGTGATGACCATTACCAGTGTAGTGGAGTGATGAAGGTGCTTATGGCCTGAGTGGGCCCCATTGGTGTAGTGTACTGATTCTGTGTTTGTCTACACACGGCCATGCCTGGATAGTAGATACTCTGCAAAGCTGTACAGTTGCATTCCTTTGCCTTTTGTTTCTGACCGGGTGCTTGCAGCCTACACATGCAACACCAGTTTTCCTGCGCCTGCCAACGCCACGACGACCGTATCCGGGACGACGGCTTTCAAGACCGACATGACGGTGCACGAGGGTGCCACCATCTTCACGCAGTGCAGTCTGGGATTCAGCCACAGCGATGCTGGTGGTAGCCTAACGGCGACGTGTTCCAGTGGACAGTGGGTGCCACGTTACTCACCCGATTGTCAGCGCATCGTGTGCAATGGCACGTTACCGGCGGGTGGTGCCAATGCGGTCCGTACCGGCGCCGGGAATCTGTTCGGCGACACGCATCGTTACGCATGCCCGACGGGGTTCACGTGGTCGAGTACATCCGCCGAACTCCGTGTGGAGTGCCTACACACTGGCCTGTGGTCCCGCACTGTCCCGGACTGCTACCCGGTGGCTTGCCCTCGCCTCGCAGCACCCAGCAACGGGGCACTGAGCACTGACACCGGCATCTATACAAACATCTCAACCGGGCAGTGTACAACAGGCTATGAGGTTATCGCCGGTGATCTGAGTCGCACTTGCCAGGCGGACGGCACCTGGTCCGGGGCGAACCTGGTCTGCACGCGGGTACGATGTCCTGGGCTGGCTCCCCCGGCTAATGGCGGGTTTGGCCAGTTTGACGGCGACCAGTATGGCGATAGGGTGGTGGTGTTCTGCGATGCCGGCTACGAACTGGACGCGTCGGTGGAGTCCACACTGCGCTGTCAGGCGAATCGCACCTGGACCACATCTCTCTTATCGTGCAAACGTGAGTTGACAGTCTTCCTTGAATTCTTGTTCCCTACACAAGCTCTGTCCTGTGGTAGCCTACTCCAGCCACTGACCAGTCGCATACCTGTATTTTGAGTTTCTTCATGTTGTCACAATAACCTCTGGTCTCTATCAAGACGTGTCCTATGGAAGACTTTGTTCATGGCGTCAGGGGAAAGCGTTTGTTTTCCACGTCCGCAGAGAGCAGAGTTGAAAGCATGATAAATAATGTTCTTCATTAAGTTCATGTGTACCTTACTATGCACGCTGCCACAGCGTTTGTTGTGTTTCATGGCCTGGCAATGCGAGAAATCAGGCCACACGCACAGTGGACTGATGCAATGCAAACATTTGACCGTGTCCTTGTTGTTGCTTTCCGATTGCGTTGTTTGCCTTTCCTGCGCAGGTGTAACATGTCCTGTGCCAGATCAACCACTTTACATACCCTCTATCCCCGCACTCCCCACCACCGCACCACCGACTGCCACACAATACGACTATGGTACTGTATATGCATACCACTGTGCGGCCGGCTTTCAGCTACTCGGCGTTCAGAACGCCGTGTGCACGCAGGCCAGTAACTGGACTAGCCCGCCGCCTACGTGTCAAGGTAAGAACAGTTAGATCTGTCAGAGCGGATGTGTAGTGCAGTACATGTGCACTGAGTGTAGGGCAAGTGCTGTCACTGTCACTTTCCTGTATTGAACTTTGAAATAATTGTTGTTTGAGAGCCTTTCTTCCTGCTTTGTAAGGGGCCGTCCGTAAATATCGATGTTTTTTTTTTAGACGATATTCGTTCGTATGGGGAGAGGGGGTTTTGACGCTGTTCGTTGCTTTTGGCGGAAAAAAATATCGATCTTCACATACGCTATTTTTAGGTATGCACCTTGTACTTGCTTGTCGCGGCTTGTGCACCATGCAACATGCAGGCACTTGAACCTTGTGACTTGTACTACTACTAGTACTGCAGCACGTATTATGTACCTACATGTACACACAAACCGTTCAATATAAAAAATATCGGTCTACTGCATAAATGTATGCATGTTCGTATTAGGGGGGGGGGGGGGGGGGGGGTCTGGGGAGATATGAACAAATATCGTCTCTAAAAAAAACATCGATATTTACGGACGACCCCTAACACAATTCAATCTGTTTATCTTCAGGAGTGAATTAGAATGAACTCTGCCGTCTGCAGCTGCTAAATTCATAAGCTGATCCTTCCTCTTGTCCCCTTGTGTGTTGCTTTATTTACCAGCTGTCACCTGTGATATATCTACACTGCCATCCCTGCCCAATGGTAACCATGACAGCACTGGCATGGCAACCATCCAGTATGGTGGTCATGTGACCTGGTCATGTGACCTGGGTTATGAGCTGGTTGGTAGTGCAGTGCAGCGCTGTGTGCAAGTAGCCAACACGCCTGGAAACTTGGACGTGGATGCTCCGAACTGTACAAGTAAGTTCCAGTCTCTCTGTTTCTCATGTGTGTGTGTGTGTGTGTGTGTGTGTGTGTGTGTGTGTGTGTGTGTGTCTGTCTGTCTGTGTGTCTCTCTGTGTCTCTCTGTTTCTTTGTCAGGGGATTCACTCTCTCGCTCAATCCCTAATTCTTTTCTTGTTGTTACTTTCACGTGCAATCTCTACCAGTCCCACCGCTAATGCTCTTATAAACTTGTGAGCTGTTCTTTTAGTTGTAATTGTCCAATGTCACCTATCACCTACACGTATGTGTATGCATTGTGTGTGTTGTCTACTGTACATCTTCTCTCCAGGAGTACAGTGCCCTGTCTACCCTAGTGTACGGAATGCAGCAGTGGTGCCCGTCAAGACCGATTATCGCTTCCAGGACTCGCTTTCCATCACGTGCCTCGACAATCACGAAATCAGCAATGGCGTCGTTAACGTCACGGCTACTTGCCTTGCCAACATGACATGGTCAGTGATTGTTCCGGACTGTCGGCTCATCGACTGCGGCACAATTCCAAGCATCCCGTTTGCCGATCACCATGGTAACGCTACGACCTTCGGCAGTGTCGTCACCTACACTTGTCACCTTGGTTACAATATCACTGCCGGCACGGCCATGATCAGTTGCCATGGAGACAAGACCTGGAGCAGTAGCCAGCTGACGTGTACAAGTGAGTGTTCGGGGTCTCTTGGCCGTGCTGTGTTACCTCTGCAGTCCCTACTTGGGAGATTCAGGGTTCTGCACTAGCACGGTGCCTCACTGCTAAATGTTTTGACTGGTCATAAAGCATTGGCTTGATAGCACCTTTGTACTCGGAGAATTGACGTGTGTGGTGTTGCCGGTGTGTGTGTGTGTGTATGTGTGTTTGTCTGTGCTCTTCTTCAGGAATCACATGTCTTGCACCATCACCATTATCACGAGAATCTCTAGTAACACCAATGTTGTCAGTGTATGACTGGAATACCACTGTAGAGTATTCATGTCAAGTGGGATACCTGCTCACTACACCCTCCATTACACACGCACAGTGCGATAGTGATGGTTTGTTTACTGTGGAACATCCCGGCTGTCATAGTAAGTACTATTATTGTCTATGGCCTGCCCGTTGGCGCAGTCGTCAATGCGTCTGCAGTAGTTGTATAATTCTCTCTTTGTCCTCTCTGCTGGGTAGCTCCATTTTATAAAAAAATGCCCTATGTGTCCTATGTGTCGGGAGTATTGTGCGAACTATTCATTCCCTTTGTTGTAACTGGCATTTTTACTCCTAGTGACCCCAGCCGTGGGATGTGGCTGACTGTGTTATTGTTTCATATCAGTTCACAGTGGTGTAGATTATTCTGATAGTTGTGTGTTCAGTTGCAATGTCACCTGTGTACACGTCAAGTCCTACACGTATAGCTGTGACTGTCTTCTTCTGCGGAACCTCGCTTTCCAGCTAAGTCGCCGATATGACCACTTTTTTCGATTCCGGATTCTCCTCATAAGCGTGCATGCACGGTAGTCATTTCACAAATCAGGTCAGCTTGATAAACGACACTCCACTTTCCCCGGTCCGAAAGGCGGTCGGAATTCCAAGGTTCCGTTTTACAAATATCTCGTTCAGCAAATTGTTTGAACTATCCATGGTGTATCTCTGCATGTGTGTACTGACTGTGAAGTGTTTGTTTTGTGTTCATCCCGCTGCAGTTGTCCAATGTCCAGTCCTGGCTACAGACAATGGTGTGTACTCGCACTCACGGGCAGTGTACATGAACAACATTACTCTAACGTGTGACGTGGGTTATGAACTGCAGCCGCAGGTCTACACTGTTGAGTTTCGATGCCTGGCGACGGAAAGTTTCTCTCTGTCTCCTTTGCCGACGTGTGCCAAGATCTCGTGCGGGCCGCTGCAGCCGATTCAGAATGCTACGGTGCTGGCTAGTTCAGCTCTGTTTGGCTCTCGGGTCCGTGCGAACTGCAACTATGGCTTCGTAGCGGCAGGCAGTGTATTGTCTGCTTTGTTTACGTGTACAGTGAACACCAGCGCTGCGTCAAACCGGTCTTATCACTGGCGAGCGGACGGAGCTGATATTCGTACTACGGGTTGCATGCCAGTGGAGTGTGCCCAGCCAGTTACCATTTCCAACTTCATGTACTTGCAATCTATCCAGTTTCCAGTTCTGTTTCGCTCAGTTCTAAACGGTAGTTGTAATCTTGGTTATGAGCTAGCTGGTGGTGATCTTGTTCGTAGTTGTGTAGTTGATGTTAGTAATAATGGTGTTGGTATGTTGACTGGCAGTGTTCCTGTATGTTCACCTATACAATGTACTGATCCTGGTATACCAGTGGATGGACAACGTAACACTACTGCTCGGAGCTATACTGATGTCATCCAGTATGAGTGTAATAGTGGTTTTCTACTCAACGGTACATCAATTATTCAATGTCAGGCCAATGCTACATGGACTGCACCTACACCACACTGTACAGGTAAGCTAGAAGCCGCTTCAACATTGAAACTGTATTCGTGCTAGGAGTCTTGGCCTCAGTGTGTTCTCTCTTTTTTGTGGGCGGATCAGTTGCATTTCTGTTTCCTTTTAATAATGATTTTGTAAATTGTGTGTTGTTTCTTGCAGCCCGGAACTGTGATCACCCCGGGCACAGTGACTACATTAGCCGACATGGAGATGAACATTTCTACAATAGATCTGTGATGTTCCATTGTCCTGTCGGCTTTGATCTGGTGGGCAACAGTGTGTTGTTTTGTCAAGCTGATGGTTCCTGGAACAGCTCCACACCAAGCTGTATTCCTAAACAGTGTCCAGTGGTAGACAATAGCAATGCACATCGTAGCAGCACTAGTAGAAACAACACAGTAACAAGTGTGGTACGTTTTCAATGTGATGTGGGATATGAAACGAGTGATGTACTCTCAGTTTTATGCCAACACAATCAAACATGGAATTCATCATTCCCAAACTGTACCATTATTTCCTGTGGCAGTCCACCAAGGGGAATACATTCTGAACTATCTGTGACCTCAACTGACTTTGGTGGTATAGTGAAGTATAGTTGTTGGACTGGCTATAAGACTATCAATGGCCATAACGAATCGCAGTGTTTATCCAACGGCTCCTGGTCTGTGCCATTATCATCATCCGTGTTAAACTGTAGTTTGATAGAATGTCCAGTGTTGCTGAGTCCTGCGAATGGCAGTGCTGAACTGAACGGAGGGAATTTCAGCTTTGGAGCCATCACCACGTTTAGCTGTGACAAGGGATTCACCCTGAGCGGATCATTGGTTCGTGTTTGTGGTGACCTTGGACAGTGGAATGGATCTGACACTGTTTGTACAAGTAAGTCGGCTGTGTCTTTGCACGATGCTGTGGGCTGTTTGCTACCTTACTCCGTCTGTTTGTATACAGTGCACCCACGCTTATCTGCGCTTCCTGCTTCCGTCCCTTCACCTACCAGGAAACTGCCCATGGGAATGATTATGATCTTTTGATGGAGCTGAGATCGTGACGCATCCAAGTCAAATCCATCAACTTTGTGTCTTTTCAAATATCAACACAAGATTCCGTGTTGGGACATGTGCATTTCACTTGCCAACAATCTTTCCGCGGACTGCCCGAAAGGGGCCCGTAGGCGAGTGTCTATTGTAAGTGGTTTCAGCAGAAGACAGTCATAGTGGCCTTGCCTCCCCCGTCTCAAACCGCTGGTAGTTTTGTTTTGAAAGTGCACCTTTATGGTGAGTGAGCGTGTGTGTGTGCGTACGTGCGTGCGCGCGCACGTGTGTGTGCGTGTGCGCGCTCCATGTCTCAGCATCAACCATTCTCCTTACTATGTTTTGCTTTCTTTGTGTTTTCAATCCCCAGTTGTACAATGTCCTGTACCATCACTACCGCAGCACACACTGAGAACACCCAATCTAACAGCCATGTCTCTACTGGACTACTCCAGCAGTGTTGTGTACAGCTGTGTGACTGGCTATACACTAGTGGGTACTCACACCCAGCAGTGTCTAGAGACGGGAGAATGGACATCCGCCACAGCAACACCATATTGTACAAGTAAGTAAATGTGAAACTTTTTCATAGATGATGTCATTCCGGTGCATATATGATGTCATTCTTGTGCATAGATGATGTCATTTTGGTGTGGAAATGATGTCATTCTGGTTGGAATTTGGAGATGTTCATATTTGTGTTCTCAGCCCCCACAGGTCTTGCAAAGAGTAGACACGGTTTCCAAGTTTTCTCATAGCACTCACCCTGTCACTCCTAGCTATTGGATAGTTCACGCACTTTGAAATGGTGCCATGGCTTGAGTTCTTCTGGTCTTTGCCGATCTTTAAACTTTAAAGTCCTCCAACCTGTGGTTTCTCATCAGTGTTTTCATTCTCTCTGGCTGTATTCTCTCCTTTGTTGTTGTCTCAGTTGTCACTTGTCCAGCTCCGGCCGTAGTTCCAGCCAGCATACACAACGGCACTGGTGTGTACCGCTGGCAGAGCAGCATAGCGTACCATTGCATTATCGGCTTCTATTTGCGAGGCGTGGACGTCATCACGTGCAGTCACTATGGCAACTGGTCCGCTCCACTGCCGACTTGCATAGGTAAGACTCGATCCCTGATCACAAAGTGAATACGGTGAACCTTGCAAATACTAAGTAACAACCTCGGATATTCCAACAACTTGCGAATAGCAACTGTTAGGCCCACCAGTAACTACAATATATTAATTCATATAATTTATTAGTTCATGCATTATTCATTTGGCCTGGGTAGCTACTTGCGCGTCCATGTTTGCCATAGCTACCCAGGCCCTTTATATTGCGTTGCCTCTCTCTTCAACTCTCTCTCGACTCTTGCACTCGAACGATTGAAGACCTGACAACTAGACTCAATCTCTGCTCGGCTGTTGTTCGAATTGTTTGAATTCAACATTGGCGCCCAACGTGGGGCTCGAACCCACGACCCTGAGATTAAGAGTCTCATGCTCTACCGACTGAGTCGAATTGTTTTAATTCAACACAACATTATCTTCAGATCAAGTACCACTTGATCCTGTACTTTTAACCTCACCAATCAATGACAACACTTTTCTCACGATGGCCAATCAAGGGTGGTTATTTGCAGGGTTGACTGTTGTGCGCTGCATTGCTTCCATGGAGAACAGTGGCATTCCCCATCATAGCTACATTGTACAGTGAACAGTGGCATTGCTCATCATAGCTACATAGCTACATAGCTACATTGTGCAGTGAACCAGTTCAGTATATAGTACCCTGGATATAGCATACTTTCTCTTTGCATCGGATGAAAAGTACCGTATTTTCCGGAGTATAGTGCGCACTTTAGATGTGCTATTTTAGGCCCTAAATCACAGGTGCGCACTATGCTCTGAATATGAAATGCATGTACTTCAATGAAGATTGAAGTGCGCACCCCCAATGAAGATTGGGGGTGCGCACTATACTCCGAAAAAATACGGTACTTTCCGATGGCCCTGCGTACTGATACACCAGTGGCTCGGGTATATAGTAGAGATGTTGCGCCCCCTCGGAGGTACCTTATACTCAGTTTCACTGTATGTGTGTGCGGTCTGTGATGACCTTTGCCAGTGTACAGTGTAGTGGTGTGATGACCTTTGCCAGTGTACAGTGTAGTGGAGTGATGAAGGTGCTTATGGCCCGAGTCGCCACACAATTGTAATGCGCTGATTCTCTATTTGTCTGTGTTGGTGATTCTTGGATGTGCTTTACAATTGTGTTCCTGTGCCTTTGTTTCTTACCGTGTGCTTGCAGCCTACACATGCAACACCAGTTTCCCTGCGCCAGCCAATGCCACGACGACTGTATCAGGCACAACAGCATTCAAGACGGGCGCAACGGTGCACGAGGGCGCCACCATCTTCACGCAGTGCAGTCTGGGATTCAGCCACAGCGATGCTGGTGGTAGCCTAACGGCGACATGTTCCAGTGGACAGTGGGTACCGCGTTACTCACCCGATTGCCAGCGCATTGTGTGCAATGGCACGTTACCGGCGGGTGGTGCCAATGCGGTCCGTACCGGCGCCGGGAATCTGTTCGGCGACACGCATCGTTACGCATGCCCGACGGGGTTCACGTGGTCGAGTACATCCGCCGAACTCCGTGTGGAGTGCCTACACACTGGCCTGTGGTCCCGCACTGTCCCGGACTGCTACCCGGTGGCTTGCCCTCGCCTCGCAGCACCCAGCAACGGGGCGCTGAGCACGGACACCGGCATCTATACAAACATCTCCACTGGTCAGTGTAGCACAGGCTATGAGGTTATCGCCGGTGATCTAAGTCGCACCTGCCAGGCGGACGGCACCTGGTCCGGCTCGAACCTGGTCTGCACGCGGGTACGATGTCCCGGGCTGGCTCCCCCGGCCAATGGCGGGTTTGGCCAGTTTGACGGCGATCAGTATGGCGATACAGTGGTGGTGTTCTGTGATGCTGGCTACGAACTGAACACGCCGGTGGAGTCCACACTGCGCTGTCAGGCTAATCGCACCTGGACCACATCTCTCTTATCGTGTAAACGTGAGTTGACAGTCTTTCCTTCAGTTCTTGTTCCCTACACAAGCTGTCCTGTGGTAGCCTACTCCAGCCACTGACCAGTCGCATACCTGTGTTTTGAGTCTCTGTTTTGTCACAATAGCCTCTGGTCTCTATTAAGACGTGTCCTATGGAAGATTACTTTGTTCACGGTGCCGGGGGGAAATGTTTACTTTCCACGTCCGCAGAGAGCAGAGTTGAAAGCATGATAAATAATATTCTTCATTATGTTCATGTGTACCTTACCATGCACGCTGCCACGGCGTTTGTTGTGTTTTATGGCCTGGCAATGCGAGAAATCAGGCCACACGCACAGTGGACTGATGCAATGCAAACATTTGACCGTGTCCTTCTTCCTTCTTGTTTTTGTTTTTTTTCCGATTGCGTTTGCCTTTCCTGTGCAGGTGTAACATGTCCTGTGCCAGATCAACCTCTATACATACCCTCTACCCCCGCACTCTCCACCACCACCGCACCGACTACCACACAATACGACTATGGCGCTGTGTATGCATACCACTGTGCGGCCGGCTTTCAGCTGCTGGGCATTCAGAACGTCATGTGCACGCAGGCCAGTAACTGGACTAGCCTGCCGCCTACGTGTCAAGGTAAGGGTGGCTAGATCTGTCAGAGCTGATGTGTAGTGCAGTACATGTGCACTGAGTGCAGGGCAAGTGCTGTCACTGTCACTTTCCTGTATTGAACTTAAACTTTGAAATAATTGTTGTTTGAGAGCCTTTCTTCCTGCTCTGTAACTCACGTCAATCTGTTTGTCTTCAGGAGTGAATTAGAATGAACTCTGTCGTCTGCAGCTGCTAAATTCATAAGCTGATCCTTACTCTTGTCCCCTTGTGTGTTGCTTTATTTACCAGCTGTCACCTGTGATATATCTACACTGCCATCCCTGCCCAATGGTAACCATGACAGCACTGGCATGGCAACCATCCAGTATGGTGGTCAGGTGACCTGGTCATGTGACATGGGTTATGAGCTGGTTGGTAGTGCAGTGCAGCGCTGTGTGCAGGCAGCCAACATGCCTGGTCATCTGGATGTGGATGCTCCAAACTGTACAAGTAAGTTCCAGTCTCTCTGTTTTTCGTGTGTGTGTGCGTGTGTGTGTGTGTGTCTGTCTCTGTGTTTCTCCTGTGTGTGTGTGTGTGTGTGTGTGTGTGCCTGTGTGTGTGTGCCTGTGTGTGTGTGTGTGTGTGTGTGTGTGTGTGTGTGTGTGTGTGTGTGTGTGTGTGTGTGTGTGTGTGTGCCTGTGTGTGTGTGTGTGTGTGTGTGTGTGTGTGTGTGTGTGTGTGTGCCTGTCTTTCTCTCTCTTTGTCTCTGTCTCTCTGTTTCTCTGTCAGGGGATTCACTCTTTTACTCAATCTATATTTCTTTATTTTTTGTTACTTTCACGTACCATCTTTACCCGTCCCACCGCCAATTTTCTTATAAACTTGTGAGCTGTTCTTTTAGTTGTGATGTCCAATGTCACCTATCACCTACATGTATGTGTATGCATTGTGTGTGTTGTCTACTGTACATCTTCTCTCCAGGAGTACATTGCCCTGTCTATCCTAGTGTACGGAATGCAGCAGTGGTGCCCGTCAAGACCGACTATCGCTTCCAGGACTCGATTTCCATCACGTGCCTCGACAATCACGAAATCAGCAATGACGTCGTAAACGCCACGGCTACTTGTCTCGCCAACATGACATGGTCAGTGATTGTTCCGGACTGTCGGCTCATCGACTGCGGCACGATTCCAAGCATCCCGTTTGCCGATCACCATGGCAACGCTACGACCTTCGGCAGTGTCGTCACCTACACGTGCCACCCCGGTTACAATATCACTGCCGGTGCAGCCATGATCAGTTGCCATGGAGACAAGACCTGGAGCAGTAGCCAGCCGACGTGTACAAGTGAGTGTTCGGTCTCTTGGCCGTGCTGTGCTAACAACTCCCTCCTTGGGAGATTCAGGCTTGTGCACTAGCACAGTGTCTCACTGCTAAACGTTTTGACTGGTCATAAAGCATTGGCTTGATAGCACCTGTGTACTCGGAGAATTGACGTGTGTGGTGTTGCCGGTGTGTGTTTGTGTGTTTGTCTGTGCTCTTCTTCAGGAATCACATGTCTTGCACCATCACCATTATCACCAGAATCTCTAGTAACACCAATGTTGTCAGTGTATGACTGGAATACCACTGTAGAGTATTCATGTCAAGTGGGATACCTGCTCACTACACCCTCCATTACACACGCACAGTGCGATAGTGATGGTTTGTTTACTGTGGAACATCCCGGCTGTCATAGTAAGTACTATTATTGTCTATGGCCTGCCCGTTGGCGCAGTCGTCAATGCGCCTGCAGTAGTTGTGGAGTTCTTTCTTTGTCCTCTTTGCTGGGTAGCTCCATTTTATAAAGAATGCCCTATGTGTCCTACGTATGGGGAGTATGGTGTGAACCATTCACTGCCTTTACTGCAACTGGCATATATTAATCCTATTGACCCCGCTCGTGGGATGTGGTTGCGTGCGTCATTGTTTCATATCAGTTCCGACAGTGGTGTAGATTTTTCTGCGTGCTATGCACAGAAGCAAAGTCACCTGTGTATATCTTACATGTCGTCCTACGTCTTTGGGCTATAACTGTGGCTGTCTTCTTCTGTGGAACCTCGCTTTCCGACTAAGTCACCGATATGACCACTTTTTCGATTCCGGATTCTCCTCATAAGCGTGCAGGCACGGTAGTCATTACACAAATCACACTAGCTCGATAAATGACACCCCACTCTCCCCGGTCCGAAAGGCGGTCGGAATTCCAAGGGAGCCGTTCTACAAGTATCTCATTCAGCAAATTGTTTGGACTCTCCATGGTGTGTATCTCCGTGTGTGTACTGACTGTGAAGTGTTTGTATTGTGTTCATCCCGCTGCAGTTGTCCAATGTCCAGTCCTGGCTACAGACAATGGTGTGTACTCGCACTCACGGGCAGTGTACATGGACAACGTTACTCTAACGTGTGACGTGGGTTATGAACTGCAGCCGCAGGTCTACACTGTTGAGTTTCGATGCCTGGCGACGGGAAGTTTCTCTCTGTCTCCTCTGCCGACGTGTGCCAAGATCTCGTGTGGGCCGCTGCAGCCAATACAGAATGCTACGGTGCTGGCTAGTGCAGCTCTGTTTGGCTCTCAGGTCCGTGCGAACTGCAACTATGGCTTCGTAGCGGCAGGCAGCGTATTGTCTGCTTCCTTTACGTGTACTCAGAACACCAGTGCTGTGTCAAACCGGTCTTATCACTGGCGAGCGGACGGCATTGATATTCGTACTGCAGGCTGCATGCCAGTGGAGTGTGCCCAGCCGTCTACCATCTCCAACTTCATGTACTTGCAATCTATCCAGTTTCCAGTTCTGTTCGGCTCAGTTCTGAACGGTAGTTGTAATCTTGGCTATGAGCTAACCGGTGGTGATCTTGTTCGTAGTTGTGTAGTTGATGTTAGTAATAATGGTGTTGGTATGTTGACTGGCAATGTTCCTGTATGTTCACCTATACAATGTACTGATCCTGGTATACCAGTGGATGGACAACGTAACACTACTGCTCGTACCTATACTGATGTCATCCAGTATGAGTGTAATAGTGGTTTTCTACTCAACGGTACATCAATTATTCAATGTCAGGCCAATGCTACATGGACTGCACCTACACCACATTGTACAGGTAAGCTGGAAGCTGCTTCAACAATGAAACTGTATTCATGCTAGGAGTCTTGGCCTCAATCTGTGTTTTCTCTTTTTTTTGCGGGCGGATCGGTTGCATTTCGTTGTCCTTTTCAGTAATGATTTTGTAATTTTTGTGTCGTTTCCTGCAGCTATGAACTGTGATCATCCTGGACACAGTGACTACATCAGCCGACATGGAGATGAACATTTCTACAATAGATCTGTGCTGTTCCATTGTCCTGTTGGCTTTGATCTGGTGGGCAACAGTGTGTTGTTCTGTCAAGCTGATGGTTCCTGGAACAGCTCCACACCAAGCTGTGTTCCTAAACAGTGTCCAATGGCAGACAATAGCAATGCACATCGTAGCAGCACTAGTAGAAACAACACAGTAACAAGTGTGATACGTTTTCAATGTGATGTGGGATATGAAACGAGTGATGAACTCTCAGTTTTATGCCAGCTCAATCAAACATGGAATTCATCATTTCCAAACTGTACCATTATTTCCTGTGGCAATCCGCCCCGTGGAGAAAATACAGAACTGTCTACGACGTCGACCGATTATGGCGGGGTGGCCAGGTACAAATGTCGGACTGGATATGAAATTATCGATGGCCATCGCGAGTCAAAGTGTTTATCCAACGGCTCCTGGTCTGTGCCATTACCCTCATCAGTATTGAGCTGCAGTTTGATAGAATGTCCAGTGTTGTTGAATCCTGTGAATGGCAGTGCTGAACTGAACGGAGGGAATTTTAGCTTTGGAGCCATCACCACGTTTAGCTGTGACAAGGGATTCACCCTGCATGGTTCTGCTGTTCGAGAGTGCGCTGGGATCGGCCAGTGGAATGGAACAGATGCAACATGTCAAAGTGAGTCGATTGTAACCGCAACAGTGCTTGTGGGCCGGAGATATGCATGTACAAGATGAAAACATGACTATGCCCGGTTTCTGGCATGTGTTCTGAAATCCTTGTTGAGTGGAGATCATCATATTGGGTTTTTATCTCAATGTTAGGACTGGTTCTCATCATCGCTGGTCATTATTAATTTGGCTGGCTTTGGTGACATGAGAGTACATATTGTAGAGGCCGTGTTTGGTAGATTTGCGCGCACTGTAACAGCATTGACTGCCAGGGAGCCCTACACATATGTAGGGCTCCCTGATGTACAGTACTTCCACAAAACAAGCAAAAAGCAGGAAGTGACCAAGTAAAGTGTCATTCTTATTCTTATTGTATTGCTTGTTATCTGTCAGGTGGTTGAATGTCAGTATCACATCAGTCAGTGTTGTGTTAGCTGTTGCACCTTCTGACTACACAACATCTTACTTATAACTGTTAGTGTTGGACACAAACTACGGATAACATGTAACAATGCGGTCCTTTCGTTTGAATTGAATCCTTGGCTCTCCATCCGAGTCTTATTGTATTGCAGGTGCTTTGCCCTTGACTGACTGGCCTGGCATTGTGTTTTGCTCTTCCTCCTTTTCCTGATATTCAGTTGTACAATGTCCTGTACCATCACTACCGCAGCACACACTGAGAACACCCAATCTAACAGCCATGTCTCTACTGGACTACTCCAGCAGTGTTGTGTACAGCTGTGTGACTGGCTATACACTAGTGGGTACTCACACACAGCAGTGTCTAGAGACGGGAGAATGGACATCCGCCACAGCAACACCATATTGTACAAGTAAGTCTGGCAGCACATCATTCGCACAAATCTGCCAGTTTTTATTTTATTTTCATATTATTTCACCGTCCAATGGCAGAAGCCAATGCAAAGGAGGGGGCATTAGCCTATCAGAGCTATTCTTGTACTCTCCCGGGTGTTCTCTTGCCGGCAGTGTTGTATTGCTTGGTGCGGGGAGGATTGTACTTCCAGCTTCCGTTTGCTCAAGTCACAAACACACGCACGCACAAACACGCGTTGCTTGAACAGAAACTTTAGGTACAGAGAAGTAGTTCCCTATTGAATGATGAGTGTTAGTGATTTTTGTTGTTGTTTTTATGAGAAACCACGAACCCCGAGAACAGAATACTGCACGATGAGTGTTAGGGTGCGTTTGGTTGGTACGATCTAGAACAGGATCGAACAGCTGGTGCACATGGAGCAGCCTCATGTCAACCAAACGGTACTCCAGAAACAGAGCATATTTTCGTGAAAAATATGCCAAACTTGGTACATTCTTCAAAATGTGTATGGGTCACCATGGTCACTGTGTACGGTACGACAAGTCCAACCCAAAAGCGTATACACGTGATCATTTGGGACCGAAATCGATGTTCCCGCCAGGTTTCACTGTGAAAAAGTGAAACTGCTCGGTCTGCTTCGGCCTTGAGGCCGGAGCAAGCAGAACATGTTCTGGCCGACCCAGAACAGGTGCAGTCCCAACCAAACGCGCTGTTCTGGTGAATCCTGTTCTAGTTCGTACCAACCAAACGCGCCCTTAGTGTTTGTTCGGTTACTGAAGTTTTGCGTATGAAACAGATGCACCGAAAGTAACGAAAATAAGAGTACACCGAAAAAGTTGCGAAATGACGGTAACCGTTCTGTCCCTGGATATATGTTTTCCTTTTCGCTGCAGTTGTTACTTGTGAGGATCCCGGCGCCGTCAACAACTCAGTTCGTCATGGCAACACGTTCAAGTACCAGCACACCGTGACGTATCAGTGTACCTATGGCTACTACGTCGTCGGTATCACCTCGCTACAGTGTACTGAGCATGGTAACTGGTCTACGGCAGTACCCACGTGTATTGGTAAGGGAAAATGTGACACGTACTGTGCTGCTCAATGAAATCCAATCGAGTGAGTCAAGCGTACACCCTCCACCAGTTCTCAGCCCAGTGTTTGCAGATGTAGGGATGCACAACGCCCGTCGAGTACATGCCTCACGTGTTTGGATTTCATTGAGCAGCACCGTGCATTCAGAGTTCTATATGGGCCTCAACCAGCGAAAACAGCCCTTAGGGTCAAATTTTTCAAAATTCCTTTTGGTTAGAAATTTGTCGAAACACATCTACTGAAGGACCTCAGCCAAGAAAAAGTTCAATACTCCGATTCAAAACGGGTGTATACACCAATTTACAAGATGTACTCCAAATTGGTGCAATGTATGTATACGATGTATGTGTACAATGAATATTCAGTATTCTAAGGTGGGTAGGGAGCTGTAATGCCTTTGAAATAGTGCAGTAAGCAGCTAGAATGACAAAGAATAGCTGAAGAGTGCGGAGACATGATCGACTTATTATTTTGCAGCTGCATCCTGCGTGCAGTCATTCCGCAATGTCTTCCATTTCTTCCTCCGCAGCTGACGACACGACGTCGCTGCCGTCACTAGCCCCAGACTTAGAATTTATCTCAGGTGATGACTCCTCATCTTCCGACTCTGACGAGTCATCGACCACCTTGAGCCGCAACGCAGCAGGAGATGACGGCTGCGATTCGGCCTTGCTGTTGACATCGATGTCGGAACCAAAGAACATTTCATCCTCACTCTGAACTTCAGCGGCTACTTCAGCATCCACTCCCCACCAGGCTCGAGCTAGCAGTACACAATGACTTCCGCGTGTGCTCTGTGAACAGCTCTGGCGTCCGCAGGCATCGCAACAAGATCAAGGAACACTCGAGTCGCCACTCGACACCACTTCAACTAACTAACTTCAAATAAATTCAAGCAAGGAGTTCAAGAAGAACTCGTCGCGCTGTTCGCAGCGCGATCAAAAAATCGTTGAACGTCACAAATCGACCTTTTTCTTGAAAAAATTACGAAACCTCTAAGGGTCGTTTTCGCTGATTGCGGCTCATATGTTTTGCTGCCAGCTGGCCACATGCTCGATTTTCTTCCTGCTGTTTACGATCAGCTCATCCCTGGCCTTCTCTTGTTTGCTCCTCTCTTTCTCTCTATCTCTGCAGCCTACACTTGCGACACAAGTTTCCCACCGCCAGTGCATGCCACGACCATCACAAGCGCAGCACCGGGTAACTTTCAGACCAACATGACCGTAACCGAGGGCCAGACGATCCTCACGCAGTGTGCCCTGGGCTTTGGCAACCGAGGCACTGCGTCGGCTGCGTGTACGCTGGGCGAATGGGTGCCCGACTTCCAGCCAGACTGTCAGCGGCTGAGCTGCAATTCCTCGATTCCGTCGGGCGGTGCCAACACCACGCGAACAGGCTCGGGCAACATGTACCAGGACGTACACACGTTTGAATGTATCCGTGGTTACGCGTGGGCGTTGTCGACGGCAACGCTGAGCATAATGTGCGCGCACGATGGGACCTGGTCGGCTGTTGCACCCGACTGCACTCGGGTGGCCTGTCCACAGCTCACGTCAGTTGCGAGAGGATTGTGGAATTCGGACCAAGGCGTGTTTGAGGATGTCGTCACTGGGCAATGCGATAGCGGGTATGAACTGGTGTCAGGCAACTGGTCAAGATCATGCCAATCTGATGGCACTTGGTCGGGTACGGACCCGACGTGCGCCCGGGTGAAGTGCCCCAGCGTTCCCGTAGTGAGCAACGGCGGAACAGAGCGTAACCAAGGCAACTCGTTCGGTGACGAGGTGGTATTCTACTGCGACGCCGGGTACGACTTTGGGAGTCAGCCACGAATGCTGACTTGCCAGGCGAACATGACGTGGTCATCCAGCTTTCCCACGTGTTTACGTAAGTACAAGTAGACTCCCTTTAATTCGAACCTCAAGTTGCCAAGCCTCAACTTTGAATTACCGTGAAATCTGTCCAAGATGACCACTCAAGGGACCTGAAAAGCGTGGTCTCTGTTACCAGGTTGTCTCCTTATCCAGGGTCATTTTACGGGAAATAGCAATCCTTGATCCAGGTTTCAGTGGTCCTCTAGGACAGGTGGTGATCGCGTTGACAGGTTCACTGTATCCGTAGCTTTGAATTATCCTAATGCAGCCGCTCGTAGTACGGTACTGATAATTATGTATGTCAAAACTGAACCCCTGGAGATTTCCTGTGATTGTGTGTCTGTGTAAGTAAAAGCTAGGCACACCGGTTTTTGGGTTGGAAACGCTTCCAGGCCGGGTTATTGCAATAGATAAGGACAGAACATGGCAGTGTGAAAGAAAACAAGTCCCGTGTGAACTGTGATTGTGTTCAATGTGCCTAGCTGCTCTTGTGCAGTTACAGTGTGCTGTAGGGTTTGCACGACAGGGCGCTATTGTTTGACAGACTTGCTCTCGATGCCTTGATGGGTGCAATTTGCAGTGGGAAGGTTACAGTGTGGAGATGCTTATTGAGTCGTTGTTCATTCTACTTTTCCTCTTCCTGTTCACGGTCATGTCAATGGCGGCCTGTAAAACACCGGATTTGTGTCATCCACATCGGCAATGGCCATGCTTTTCTGTCCTTATCACGATTGTCACTGCTACCACCATCACCATGCTCTCACCACTGCTGCCACCATCACCATGCTCTCACCACTGCTGCCACCATTGCTTTGACCACTGCCATGGCATCAACTGTTCCTGACCTCTGTTTGTGTTGGCGCGGGGATTCCCTGGAGAGTTAAGTTTCATATTATTATTATTATTATTTATTATTATGTGCTTGTTCGCGTAGACATCAGCATGGCCTGCAGCTGCATTAATGGGCATGCAAATCATGCAAACCAGCCAAAAATGTTCGCATAAGCCACTTCGAATAGATACAAAAGACCATAACAGTTTCAGAAAAAGAAGAAATATGCGAAAAGAAGACAAAAACTAGGGTGCCGACACCACTCGGGCACAGATGCCCACCCAACCGCTTCGGTCAGCAGCAAGGGCACGGAACGCCTCCAGATCGACTTTGCTTGACAAGGAAAGTCCAATCCGCTTGGCATCATCTTGTAGTAGCGTTGGTAGTGTGTGTCTTGGTCGTCCCCTCCAGCCCGCTGGGCGAGGCTCTGCGAAGTACGCTCCCATGGCCAGTGATGGTGGGGAGTCAGCCGGGAGCCGGAGGACGTGCCCAAAGAGCCTCCACCTAGCTCTCAAGATGATAATGCCGAGAGGAACCGCGCCGGTACGCTCATAGAGCCTCTCGTTCCTAATCCGATTCGGGAACACAATGCTGATTAGCGCCCGCAGCTGTTTTCGGTGGAAGGCCTCAATACGGCTCAGCTGCTGTTTCGTTGGTGCCCATGTTGCACAATTGTAGCAGAGTACAGGGAGTACAAAGGCATTATAGAGCCGGATGCGGAGATCCTCCGAAACTAGCGACCTACGGATCCACAGCGTCCAGAGTTTACCAAAGGCAACAGTTGCCAGTTGCTGTCGCCGTAGCATATCCTCGGCATCACCTAATAGGGTGCCATGCCATAATCTCACTCATCAACTTGGTTCCAATGCACTCAGCTCACAAAGACCGAAGCTGTCTTGATGACTACACCCGGTATATACACTTCTCATGTGTGGGTTTTACATGGACATTGTTTCTTTCACCTGACGATGGCCATGCATGTGCCGAAACGCAACTTAGCTGAACTGGCTTGGGTTTCCAGTGCTGTGGGAATGCGTGTGTCCACCCAAGTTATTATCTCTAAAGACCAATTGTGTTGTTTATTTGAGAGTGCTCCTACCAGTCCTGTACTACTGTCGTGGACATGGAAATCTGGTCGCACGTCTAGCGGCCCCGTAATGGCGTGATGTGGTTTCCTTTCCGTTGCTCATCTCCATATTGTGTGCGTGCGTGCGTGTGTGTGTGTGTGTGTGTGTGTGTGTATGTGTGCTTGTCCGCATCCCTATGCTTCATATCACATCCAGGCGTTACATGCCCGTCACCTCCAGACATCGTCTACTCCTCCGCCGGGTCTGGAGATGACGAGGACGACGATGCAACAGGTTTACCTGTCTCTACGGCATCGTTTGACTATGGCCACGTGTACATCTATGGTCACGTGTACAGCTATGTGTGTGATGTTGGTCACTATCTGATTGGTGCAAACAACACTACTTGTTCTCAAACTCATAACTGGACTAATCCACCACCAACTTGTCATGGTGAGTTCAGTAGAACCGGGGGTGGCACTGGGGAATGGATTGTGGGAATGCCGTACAAGACTGGGAATGCTGTACATGTCTGATCATTGAAGTTCAGAAGTTTCATCTTGGACTGTTCGAAGCTTTGATATTGGTCACATATTAGTACTCCCGAAACGCATGACATGTTGAATAACTTGTTAGCAGGCAATGTGCCAGCATGGGGGGGGGGGGGGGGGAGGGTTGGAGTCGTTGGCATTGCGGCTTGACTGTGGGATTATGCGTATCACTGACCAATACAGTCCTTGCTCTACTACCCTTCCCGTGGCCGCTCCAGATCAGAATTAGGAGATAGTGTTCTTATTACTTCTTAACATTTCTTCATGCTTCCTCCGCTTGGTTGCGTAGCATGTGACACTGGCTTGAAAAGAAGGGAGAGGAATACCATGTCACGTTTATCCCCGACTTACTACTTTCTGGTTTATCTGTCTGTCTGTGTGTCTGTCTCTATCTCTCTCCTCTGCTTTGTAGCCGTGGAGTGCAATGTGTCGTCCTTGCCGACGGTCTCCAATGGCAACCATAGCCGTGCCCACACGCCCGTTCTCCAGTACAACGAGAGCATAGTCTGGTCATGTGATCAGGGCTATGAACTACAGACTACTAATACCACTGCTGCTGGTCCTGGTAGTGGAATACAGCAATGCACACACAACACTAATCGACCTGGATACTTTAGTGGAGCAACACCTCGCTGTGAACGTGAGTATTTGTGACTGTGTGTGGGTATACCTACTGGCCAGGGTATGTGCATTGCTATGTGCTCTGGCACGCAGGTGTAGTGATGAGGGCCGCGTGTGGAGTTTCTTTTTCCATTGATCGTCTGTTGCAGTGGGACTTAAAAGAAGAAAATTACGATGCACCTTCAGTGATGTTCTGGAGGTGTGTTTGAACTATAGACCACGCGCCCGGTCACTGTGATGTCATCCGTATAGGTTTTTGTGCTTGCCGGAGTGCTTTTGATGCATTGTAGTTGTTAAAAAAAAAGTGCAACGCTTGCGTCATCCCACAGGTTTGCTCATATTTTTTGTGCACTTCATAATATTGTGTAACTGGCTGTTTTGTGGCGATGGTGATGTGGGTGAGGTTGTGAATGGCTCCTGGATGGCTTCAGTCTGATCATGTTGAGTAGTCATGATGATTCCGTTGTCAGATTGGAATTCCCGAGTTGCTTTTCCTTTGTTTGTCTGTATTCTGTAGGTGTTGCGTGTCCAGTATACGTGACAGTGGCCAATGCAGTGACGGCGCCGCTGCAGACCGATTATCGGTACGAGGACACGGTGTCCATCACATGCGCTGTCGGCCATGAAGTTAAGTTGGGCATTACCAGTCTGATTGCTACTTGCCTGAGCAGCGGCAACTGGTCGCACAATGTCGCGGCCTGTACCATTATCGATTGCGGACCAATCCCAACTGTTCCGTTTGCTGATCCTCAGGGCAACCTGAGCACGTATGGTAGCAACGTCGTCTACACCTGTCTCCCTGGTTACAACATGACGGCTGGGTCGGCCTTGATTAGTTGCCAGGACGACAAGACGTGGAGTGGGACAGTCCCTACTTGCACGAGTAAGTGTTGATCAGTGTGTAAGTGTTGATCAGTGTGTTTCCGTTTCAGGCTAGTGTTGTTTTGCTGCAGCTGTATAAGCTGCTGATTTGAATGTTTGAAGTACACATTATGCTTGTGTGTGTGTGTGTGTGTGTGTGTGTGTGTGTGTGTGTGTGTGTGTGTGTGTGTGTGTGTGTGTGTGCGCGTGTGTGTGTGTGTGTGTGTGTGTGCGCGTGTGTGTATGTGTGTGTGTGTGTGTGTGTGTGTGTGTGTGTGTGTGTGTGTGTGTGTGTGTGTGTGTGCGCGTGTGTGTGCATGTGTCCACTCTTTTTCTATGCTGCTACAGGAATCACATGTCTTGCACCACCACCACCATCATCATCATCATCACCATCATCACCAGTATCTCTAGTAACACCTATGTTGTCAGTGTATGACTGGAATACCACTGTAGAGTATTCATGTCAAGTGGGATACCTGCTAGAGGCCAGTTGGAATCAAACCCGGTGTGGAGACGATGGCACGTTTCAGCAGGATCACCCAGGATGCACAAGTAAGCTTGAGCTCAAGAGCCGTGTCGTGCATCTTTTACGTGGCTGTTTCGGTTTGCGATCACCTCTGTATTAGGCTACTCTCGGTCGTTGGGCCATCTCTTTGGTCTCTCTACCTCACTTCAGTTCTCTTTAGTTATTTTGAGATTACATCATCAGCATTGAGCTGCTTCCAGTAATATTGAAGAGGTGCCGAAGGAGAACTGTCATAGTGAGACAGACATTCAATTCCCGCTTCTGTTTCTCCTCTTGTGTGCAGTTGTGACTTGCCCGGTGCTAATGGCGGCCAATGCCGCGCTGTCGACGTCACGTGGCTCCTATGGCGACGTGATCACGCAGACCTGCAACATTGGATATGAGCTGGCGCCGTCTGTGTACACCGCGAACACCACGTGTCTTGCCGACGGGTCGTACTCCGTGCAGTCGTTGCCTGTGTGTGAGATAGTAGACTGTGGTCCACTGCCCGCGTTGAACAGGTCCAGTGTGCAAGCACCAAGCACGGTGTATCTCTCCAAGGCGCAGCTGTCGTGCGACAGTGGGTTTGTGGGCGACGGTAGTACTCTGATGGCTACCTATACATGTGACGGGACTGCATCATCCCGTACCTACAACTGGCAAGCAGATGGTCAAGATCTCTACATGTCTGGGTGCTATCCAGTCCAATGCACACAGCCAACGACTATTGCAAACTTTCATTACGATCCTGACGTATCGGTTCCGGTGTTCTACGGTTCAGTTCTGAACGGTAGCTGTAATCTTGGCTATGAGCTAACTGGTGGTGATCTAGTTCGTAGTTGTGTAGTTGATGTTAGTAATAATGGTGTTGGTATGTTGACTGGCAGTGTTCCTGTATGTTCACCTGTACAATGTACTGATCCTGGTATACCAGTGGATGGACAACGTAACACTACTGCTCGTAGCTATACTGATGTCATCCAGTATGAGTGTAATAGTGGTTTTCTACTCAACGGTACATCAATTATTCAATGTCAGGCCAATGCTACATGGACTGCACCCACACCGCATTGTACAGGTAAGTGCCTGATCTTACTTGAAGGCAGTTTGAACTGAGGGATAGCTCCAGGTGCAGGCTATAGTGTATGTCTCATTTAGGAAACAGTTCCGGAGATGTCAGATCTCAACCATATTTCGTTCGGATCTTCCACGCATCAAACATTTTAATTTGCCTTGGGACATCCATACTTCCTAGGATTCCAGTACGTGTGCTTTCTAAAACGATTATTGTCAGGGTCTGGTGTAAGGCAGTTGTTAGTCCCGATCAACTTAAAGTTTGCCTTTAAATTGTTTATGTTCTCTGCTGTCCTGTGTTGTTTGCTGCAGCTCGGAACTGTGATCATCCTGGACACAGTGACTACATCAGCCGAAATGGAGATGAACACTTCTACAATAGATTTGTGATGTTCCATTGTCCTGTTGGCTTTGATCTGGTGGGCAACAGTGTATTGTTCTGTCAATCTGATGGTTCCTGGAACAGCTCCACACCAAGCTGTGTTCCTAAACAGTGTCCAATGGTAGACAATAGCAATGCACATCGTAGTAGCACTAGTAGAAACAACACAGTAACAAGTGTGATACGTTTTCAATGTGATGTGGGATATGAAACGAGTGATGAACTCTCAGTTGTATGCCAACACAATCAAACCTGGAATTCATCCTTTCCAAACTGTACCATTGTTTCCTGTGGCAATCCACCCAGTGGAGAAAATACTGAACTATCCGTGACGTCGACCAATTATGGCGGTGTCACAAAGTACAAATGTCGTACTGGTTATGAAGTTGTCGATGGCCATAATGAATCACAATGTTTATCAAATGGCTCCTGGTCTGTCTCCTCCTCATCATCAGTGTTGAACTGTAGTTTGATAGATTGTCCAGTGTTGTTGAGTCCTGTGAATGGCAGTGCTGAACTGAACGGAGGGAATTTCAGCTTTGGAGCCATCACCACGTTCAGCTGTGACAAGGGATTCACTCTGAGTGGATCCTCAGTACGCTCATGCGGAGGAGTTGGTCAATGGAATGGTACCGATTCAGCATGTAACAGTAAGTAGATTCATGACAACGTGCTGCTCTGTCAGAAACTTCTGTATTGGCTAGAACGCTCTCCATTTCCAACAGAGGATCTGGTGTACTCGGCCTCCATTGCTTTTTTACTGTGTTTGTTCCTGCAGTCATTTCGTTTAGGAGTTAGAGGGAGCAAGTGTGTGAGGGTGTGAGCTCAACTCCTTCTCGTGTTTTTTACCTGACACGCATTGCTTGTTTATGGTGGCGAGAAGTCTGGAGATGCCTGGATATGTGCTTTGTTGTCTTTTCACACCAGTTTGTCTTTTTCCAGTGTGAATTCATGGTTGGCATTTTCATGTGTGTGTGTGTGTGTGTGTGTGTGTGTGTGTGTGTGTGTGTGTGTGTGTTTGTTGTGTTGTATCTTGTAGTTGTGCAGTGCGTTCTACCATCGCTCGGTTCTCACTCGAACAGAACCCTGCACTCTGCAGCCGGTACGCTTGTGGACTATCTAACCAGCGTAACGTACTCCTGCCACACTGGCTATAAACTAAGCACAACTTCCACATCATCATCGTCGTCATCAGTGCCTGTACCCACGGTGCAAACATGCCAGGAAACAGGAGAGTGGACGTCGCCAACACCGCCAGGTTGTGAAAGTGAGTACTTCTACGATTGTCTCTGTCACGTCCCAGAATAAGACAACTGCTGCCTGATAGTCCTGTGATAGCAGGATCTACATAGTGAGCAGCTCTGTGCTGAGCTGTCACGCCCTTTTAGTACAACATGGTTTGGCCAGTGTCTTGTCCCACGTGCTTAGCATGTAGGTTGAGCGACACGCGCTTTCCCACGTAGGTGACATGCCTTCTTGGCATGACACGTTATGGGATCCAAGGCCGGAACCGGTTAACCTGGTCAGGTAGGTTCTCGCGTTGTACGTTTCCTGGAAGTTCTTCACTTCCTGGAAATGTGACCCCAGGCTTTGTGCAAAACCACGTCACTACGACGTTCTACAGGTTTCCACGATGCCTCGGTGCTTCGTGCAAAGAGCCAAGACTAATATCAAGAGTCCATAACCCAAGAGTATGCAACTGTGATCTCTTTTCTATGGGCCAACCGCGCGGCGCGCTGCCTTCATTACATCATTCAGCTGCAGTCCGCGCACTGCGGAAAATCAAACACCGCACTTTCCCTCTAGTTTGAAATGAACTTTCGTACGGAACTGGAGTTCACGTGCCAGAATTCAGAGATTGTGTAGGTACTGGAACGAATCGAGCAAAAACGGATGGGCTCGTGCGAGAAATTGAGAGTTTGAATGCATGCTTTCAGAGCGTGATGAAGGCAAGTTACGTAATGAAGGCAGCGCGCCGCGCATGCACCCATAATCACAGTTGCATACTCTTGGGTTATGGACTCTTGCTAATATGACATTGTATATCAAGAGCTAGGTGCAAGGCAGGAGACGTGTGCAAGAACCAAAACCGTCACCGCGCAAGAGGTCAGAGTATCACGCAAGCAAGACCAAGAATGCAGCAGAACTTACCATAAGAAGCCGCTGAACTATGGCACGTGGGGTGAGCGGGCTCCCCAACGTGACCCTCATATACTCACATTGTACTCTAACGTGGGTGAGCGGGCTCCCCACGTCCCAATTTGGTCTTTCTTCTCTCGATGTCTTTCTTTCTCTTTCTTCTCGAATGATCACCGTACGTATATTCTGCATTTCTGCTGACTGGCTGCGCACATTCCGGTTTGACTTGTTCTGCTAATTCCTGGAATTACCTCGCCATGATCACGCCAATATATCTCTGAAGCACCCTATAAAAGAAGCTCTCATTCTCTCTTTTACTTCAGTTCTAGTCTAGTCTAGTCTAGTCTAGTCTAGTCTAGCAGTCGAGACTCGGTCTCAGCTCTCTGTCTTCGTTTACTTTGAGCTCGGATTTGATACTACAGTACTCACAACGTAAAACTAACAGTCTTTGTCTGTTGATCGTGTGGGGTTGAACTACTTGGACCAAGCCAGCTATATTGGTTGGCCCCTGGGTTGTGTTGGGCTTGTCGTGAGGCCACACGTCTAATCGTCTATATTCAGTCGCCGCTCGTAGTGATTTCGGGGTCCGGTCACTGTGAGCCGGGGACGCGACATCTCTGTGCTGGTCTTGTTGTTCAAACCCTGCCCCTACCTTGGCAAAAAACACAAACTGTTTTATGAATATGGATATCCAAGGATAAGAGAAACTGATGAGATATAATTCATTCTTGCTGCTGCCAACCGGGAAGTATCTGAACCCATTGGCATGTGGTGTTTCTCTGTCATGGTGCATGCTCTCCCCTTTAGTCATTTAGCCAGCCTAGACCGGCCAGCAAGCAGGGACACCACTATGATCTCTTCACTCTGATCACATTGCACTGTATTGACTCATTGCACTGTTTGCTTTGACTGCTGCTGTATGTGTCCTGCCTAGTTGTGACGTGTCCTGCACCAACGCTACCCGAACACGGCTACTACACACCGACCTCTAGCTCTGGTGTGTTCAAGTACCAGATGAGCATCGTGTACCAGTGCGATCGACGGCATTACTTGCCGATGGCAGTCGTTGCCACCTGTTCAGAGCATGGAAACTGGAGTGACGACACACCAACATGCCTGCGTAAGTGTGTAACCTGACATTGTGAATGTATCTAGGCTGTTATATTAAGCCTTTGTTCTCCGATTTGTCTCTTGCTTCAAGCAACGAGGCAGCCCGTCTTCTTCTCTTCCATCCCCGGAACATTAAAGAGGTGGGGGGGGGGGGGGGGGGCATTTACACAATATACCATAGACCGACATCCCCAGGCAAGCACACATAAATGCACATGTCTAAGCAAGCGTTTTCTTTCAATATTTCATGGCTGTGGGAGGAGGAGGGGCGGGGGTTGTCCGCACCCTCCAACCCCATGACTACACAGAAGAGCGTGTGTATATACTTATGCTTTGCTGAGTTACGCACGGCATTTATAGCTGACGTTCTATTCGGAGATTTTGTGTGTAGTGCTGGCTTCTATCTCTAATCTATCCACTGCTGATACCCACGTTCATTTTGTCTCCCTGTGCTGTCCTATGTAGCTGCATACTGCAACACAAGCTTCCCTATCCCAGGCAACGCCGTCACAACTCTCGATGGCAGCCGCATGTACGTGCCAGGCGTGGAAGCTCTGAACGCGTCCAACATCACCGCTGTCTGTGACGTGGGATACGAGAGTAACAATACGCTATCAACGTGTGTTGTCGACACGTGGGTTCCACCGTTCCTGCCCGACTGTGTGCGTGTCTCGTGCCCGGGATTGTTCCCATCCGGTGGTGCCAACACGATACGTACCGGAAGTGGTAGTGAATATGGTGATGTGCATACGTTTCAGTGCCAAACCGGCTATGAATGGCCGCTATCGTCACCAAAGCTCTCCGTCTCGTGTCAAAGCAACGGCCAATGGTCCGCCAGTACTCCGAACTGTTCTATAGTCACGTGCCCGCGTCTGACCGTCATAGCAAACGGCATGCTTAGCAGCGATATGGGTGTGTACAACGATACCATCACCGGGCAGTGCGACCCCGGGTACTATGCCCCCTCCGGAAACTGGACCAGGACGTGCCAGGCCGACGGTACGTGGTCGGGAAGCAGCCCCAGTTGCGACCGGGTGTCGTGTCCCCAGGTCGTCGCTCCGGACAACGGTGGCTTTGCGTACAGCGGGAACAAGTTCGGCGATACGGTGACATTCCAGTGTAGTGCTGGGTACGATCTTGGTGCCCAGGCAAGCATGCTGACGTGTCAGTCCAACGCTATGTGGACGCATGCCGTTCCCACTTGTAATAGTAAGTACATGTGCAGGGTGAGGTTGGGGGGGGGGGGGGGGGGGTAGCTTAGTGTGTTCAATGGTAACAGTGTGTGAGTTCAAAATAGGTTTTCTAGGTTTGCGGATTCCACGTGTGGTTGTTCTCTGTGTTGGAAGCGGTGATGAGTAGTTTTCACTCACACCCATGTATACACGCAAGTACGCATACCCCCCCCCCCCCTGTATTCGCACACATTGGGGAAAGCTGACTGTTTCGGCTTACGACGACCCACCAGTGCAGCTACGATCTTCACCCTTTGCGTAACGTCAGTTGCTAACAAAGCGGACGTCGAGACTTCTTCCTGCTACAGGTGTGTAAGCACATGCCTGTGGCAGTGTGTTACTGCTGAACGGCTCACCGGAGTGTTTGTGATGTTCTGACGGAGAATTGTTCTGCTTATTGTGCTCTGCAGGAGTAATATGCTTGAGCCCGGACTTGCCAGCCTATCCATCACTGTCACCCACGCAAGCTAGCATCACCACCACCGGTCCAGTTACAACCGGCAGTTCGATCAGCACCACCAACAGCCCCAGTACACTCGCCACCCCCAGTACAACCACCACCAGCACTAGCACCACCAGTGCAACCACCGCTGCCAGTCAATTCTACGACTACGGTTTCGTGTTCACGTACACGTGCGATGCTGGCTTCTATCTGCAAGGAGATGGTAACACCACTTGTTCACAGCAACGCAGCTGGACTAACCCTGCACCTGCATGTCACGGTGAGCTAAGTCAAAGCCCTGCAAAATATTTCCCTCGTGACGGGTCTAGTTTGAAGTTGCTGGGGTGAAATGGTGTGTTGTAAAACCTTTGCTGTTAGTGTTGAATCTGGCTATGCGTAAAAGGCATGATGGGTCGCAGCACCAAGGCACACAGCATCATTGTGCGTGGAAACTAGTGAGCCCATGTTTGCTGTGTTGTCTATGTCTGTAGGCTGGCGGTGTTTCGCTTTCCCTGTCGTTACCCTGCAATAACAGTCTGTGTGCATGTGCTGCCAACTTCTGGTCAGATACAATAGCGTTCTCTGGTGAAGTATACCGCTAACTTGGTATGCAATGCTGATCACTGACACATTCTGTTAGCAGTTTTGGCGTTCTAACTCAGTTTTGGCTTTTCTTGGCTATCATTTGTGTACAGCTGTCACCTGCAATGTCAGCAGTCTACCCGTGATTGCAAATGGCGGTCACAACGCTAGTTCCGTACAGGTATTGAGTGCAGGCCAGTCCGCGCTGTGGTCATGTGACCATGGCTATGAGCTGCAAGGCGATGCCAGTCAGCGCTGTGTTCACCAGCTGAATATGCCCGGGTACTTTGACGGTGCTGCACCCACATGCACCAGTAAGTGTGAATGCTGACTATGCAACAGTTACCACACATCCCCGATTATAGGTCGCACTCGATTTTAAGTCGCACCCACCTTTCAGGATTGAGCCATATGCTTCAAATATAGTCATATAGGTAGGGTGTAAAACTCGATTGTAAGCCTTCGTTGCCCTTGAAATTGAGTGTAAAATTGTGCGACATACAGTTGTGGCAAGTGAAATCCGACACTTGGCATAAGGGACTGCACCGTGCACCCTGCAGCCTCTGCAGCCCTGCATACGTACAGTACATGTGCTGCATACACCATTATCTGTCTGATGACAGAATTCGTACTCATCACAGTCAAGGTTCAAAAGGTACTGGCAAAAATGAATGGGAATTGGATACCAATACTCCTTATGTGTACCATGTTTGTGAACTGTGTGTATCTAAGCTGTGACCTTTTGACCTGTTTGGGATGCTTACGGCTCTATAGTACAAATTAGGTGCAGTGCATTACATCATTGATGTCCATTTGAGGCGCTGTCCCCTATGGCAAGTGTCGGATTTCACTTGCCACAACTGTACATTCGGGGAAATACGGTATGCGTTTTTCTTCTACTCTCGTGAGTCAGTCAAGTGAGAATTCAAGTCGGCAGGAAAACCGCGAGCTCCCATATAGGGAGCAACACACGCATCCCCTACAATCGCCGAAGTCGCACCAACCTCTCTCCTTTATCACCGTGTTATTGCTCCATGATGTGCAGATTGTGAAGGATGCTATGAGTGATAGCTAGTCTAACGAACATTGTTTGTAGAAGTCTGGTTGTGTTTGAAGGTGGGGGTAATGTTTTCCCGAGAGCATGTGTGTAAAAGTGCGGGGGGGGGGAGGGGGGGGGGGGGTAATGTTTTCCCGAGAGCATGTGTGTAAAAGTTCGGGGGGGGGGGGGGAGGGGTAATGCTTTCTCGAGAGAGTGTGTGTAAAAGTGCGGGGGGGGGGGGGTAATGCTTTCTCGAGAGTGTGTGTGTAAAAGTGCGGGGGGGGGGGGGGTAATGCTTTCTCGAGAGTGTGTGTGTAAAAGTGCGGGGGGGGGGGGGGGGGTAATGCTTTTCTCGAGAGAGTGTGTGTGTAAAAGTGCGGGGGGGGGGGGGGTAATGCTTTCGAGAGAGAGTGTGTGTGTAAAAGTGCCCGGGCGTCCAAGTAACTAGCCTACACTCTATAGAACACCCTCCAAACGGTCTCCGGGCTACACCGGGCAATCACTGACAAAGAATAAGGTGATCTGAATTTTGATTGATTGGAGAGTGTGGTGAGGATATATGGAATCACAACAGTTGTTGGATTATTTGATAATTTGTCTTGTCTGCATGGTTTGCTGCTGCTGCTGCTGCTGCTGCTGCTGCTGCTGCTGCAGGAGTTCAATGCCCTCTGTACGGGAGTGTCAGAAATGGTATCGTGAGTTCTGTTGCCACAGCGTACTCCTATCAGGATGTCGTGCAGATAGACTGCTGGCTGGGCCACGAGATCAGCGCAAACATAAGCAGCACTGACGCAGTCTGTCTCGGTAATGCCACATGGTCACGGACCGTCACGGCGTGCACCGTTGTCAGCTGTGGTGCAATTCCTGAGGTTCCGTTCGCTGCCCGCCGTGGAAACTCTTCCACGTTTGGCAGCAATGTCATCTACTCCTGTCTCGACGGTTACAACATGACTGCTGGGTCGGCCATGATTAGTTGCCAGGACGACAAGACGTGGAATGGAACAGTTCCTACTTGTTCGAGTAAGGTGGTTGGCATTTTTCAGAGCGTTGTGTGAGTGTGTTTGTGTGTTTGCGTGTGCGTGTGTATTTGTTGTGTTTGTATGCGTATGTGTATATGTGTGTTTGTGTGTGTGTGTGTGTTTGGAAGGGGGGGGGGGGGTATGCAGCCATGTTGAACCAAGTTCCATGTATTTCCATTTGAGTGCGTTGACGAATAATTGACCCTGAATGATTTTTACTGTCTGTGCTCAAGGAATCCGCTGTAACCCGCCACCATTACCGCCCCAAGCTCAACTGCTGCCGCCCACAAGCACGGACTATGACTTCGGCAGCAACGTGTCGTTTAGATGTGCCCTAGGGTATGTACTGCAAGCAGGAGCAGGCAGTACTGTATGCTCTGACGGAGGAGAGTTTGATGAAGATCATCCTGGATGTACTAGTAAGTTTGTTAGAGTTTGCGGTAATGTAAGCGGTTGCTTCTGTCTGGTCTTTGCCTTCCAAATATGCAAAGTGATGTCATTTCAACCCAGCTATTTCCATTCAATGTTTGTATCTGTTCGGTAGGCTAAATCCACCGTAAGCAATCAGCGTAAAAGTAAAAAGTAAAGTTCGCACATCCGCATCACCTCCGGTCTTCAATTGTGTGTAGAAACACAACCAAAGAATTTTGCTCATGCCAAGTCACCACCATGCCTGATTATCACAGGGTGGTAGATGCAGCACGGAGACACTAATTTTATGAGAGCAATGATCGATTCTGGAATTTAAAAAGCTTGAAACCCCCACGTATTGTGTTGTTGTGTGGTATTGTCTGCAACATCGATACTCCTTACGTTCCTCAATAGTCTCTAGGCATCCTTAGTTTTGGTTCTATCTCAGTGACTTGACTCCAGCTGTTGGATTGGGTGGAAATGCTATTGTTTGTTCTTTTCCCTTGTTCTTGTGTGCAGTTGTCCAGTGTCCTATAGTGACTGCTGACAACGCTATGCTCTCGCAACCCGACGCCGTGTACCAGGAGAACATCACGCTGACGTGTAACCAAGGCTACGAGATCATGCCGGATGTGTACGCACTCACCACCTTGTGCCTGGCCGACGCGTCATACTCGCTGTGGCCGCTGCCCGATTGTCGGCGCGTGAGCTGCGGACCTCTGCCGCCCATCCTGAACTCCATGACAGCTAGCAGTGCGGGTATGGAGTATGGCGACACGGCGATCATACAGTGTAGAGCCGGGTACGTTGCGTTGAACACTACTACGCTGAGTGCCGCCTACCAGTGTACTAATGCCATGGGTGAGCGGACGTACGCCTGGACTCCGCGCGGTGCGGACATCCTCCAGGGCAGTTGCGATCCTGTAACCTGTACACTTGATAGTCCTACCTCGTTCACCTACAGCTCATACGTGAGAGAACCAATAACATTTGGTGACGTGCTGAACGTTAGTTGTGACCTTGGTCATGAGCTAACTGGTGGTGATCTTGTTCGTCGTTGTGTAGTTGATGTTAGTAATAATGGTGTTGGTATGTTGACTGGCAGTGTTCCTGTATGTTCACCTATACAATGTACTGATCCTGGTATACCAGTGGATGGACAACGTAACACTACTGCTCGTACCTATACTGATGTCATCCAGTATGAGTGTAATAGTGGTTTTCTACTCAACGGTACATCAATTATTCAATGCCAGGCCAATGCTACATGGACCGCACCCACACCACATTGTACAGGTATGCGCTTGACCTCCCTGAATCACTAGTTTAACTTAGGTACATGTTGCCTGGATCTCCGCGACCAATGTTGCCATACTTCCTTGAGTTTCTGTTGCAGCACCATTATTGGGTGTCTAGTGTGTTGTTTCATTATGTTCCTGCAATGATACTATAGACACTTGATTGTAATATCCAGCCACATTTTCGGACTTTAAAGTCTAGTCTTAAACGATGTGACTTAAATTCAGGAAAATGCTTTTAAAAAGATATCCTTCTTCTCCTTCCGAACTTCTTACTGTCTGGGATACATGCATCCAACTCCATTCGTTTACTTGCTTCTTTTTTTCTGCAGCGCTGAACTGTGATCATCCTGGACACAGTGACTACATCAGCCGACATGGAGATGAACATTTCTACAATAGATCTGTGATGTTCCATTGTCCCGTTGGCTTTGATCTGGTGGGCAACAGTGTGTTGTTCTGTCAAGCTGATGGTTCCTGGAACAGCTCCACACCAAGCTGTGTTCCTAAACAGTGTCCAGTGGTAGACAATAGCAATGCACATCGTAGCAGCACTAGTAGAAACAACACAGTAACAAGTGTGATACGTTTTCAATGTGATGTGGGATATGAAACGAGTGATGAACTCTCAGTTTTATGCCAACACAATCAAACATGGAATTCATCATTTCCTAACTGCACCATTGTTTCATGTGGGGATGCACCTATTGGGGAAAACACCCTCTCCACAATCTCTTCAACAAACTTCATGGGAGTTGTCAATTACAGCTGTGTCACAGGTTATAAGCCCGCAAATGGCAGCTCTGAATTGACATGCTTTTCATCTGGCAATTGGTCTGGGCAAGCTCTCAGCTGTGAGATCATCACTTGCCCGTCTCTGCAAGTTCCCAGCAATGGAACGGCGCAGCTCAACAGTGGGAACTTCAGCTACGGTGCGGTGGCTCGGTTTTCTTGTGACGTTGGGTACAACATGCACGGTTCGGCCGTGCGTGAGTGCGGCGGTGATATGGGACGGTGGACTGGAGCGGATACACAATGCACAAGTTAGTGATGTGCGGTCTGAACGCATGTGTGTGTGTGTGTGTGTGTTACCTCTATGTGTGTGGATTTGAACAAACTGACGGCTTTCTTGCCCGTGCTTATGTGTGTAGACTTGCTAGTGTTTGATTCTGAACTTCTACCATTGTATGCTGTGGCCGAGTCTGAGTCCTGTGTATATAATGATAATATCTTTACTTTCATAGAAAAGAAAAAGGACCAAGGAACTACAAGTTACGCTATAATGTCCACTAACACCACAAGTTACTAAACGATCAGCTCATGCGATAACATTGCGCGATGATTTCCTATGTCGTTGGATGATTTTCATATCGAGTCAGTCAAGTGTCTAGTCGAGTCGGTGGAAAACGCGAGCTCCAGCTTGGGGAGTAAACACATTTCCTTATTTTTTTATCAGGATGACCCAAGGGCTGGTCGCCCATCACGGGGTTCATCACATTTCACTGTCCTGATTCGATGCTCCTTGAATATTATCTTTCCGTGTATTGAACTTGTAGTTGTGCAGTGCATCGCCCCAGCGCTACCATTGCATGCCATCACGAACATCAACATCTCCATGACGCCAACCCTGGTGGACTACAGTACAGAGATCCTCTACCAGTGTCATATTGGATACCGGCTAGTCGGTGACGACCGGGCGCAGACCTGCTTGGACACCGGCCTTTGGAATGGCACCACACCAAGCTGCACAAGTAAGTTTGACCCTTCTTAAAATAATGGTTTGGTCGTGGTGCGCTAGCTCTACTGCCGCCGCTTCAGAACACAGAAAACCCTACACAATCATAAAAGCAAGTGGTCTCTTTGCTGCAAAGTTCTATGTTCTCAATCCAAATTCCGATCAGCAGCCATCATCGTCAGGATGCAGGACCAATGCAAATACTTGCACTGTATATAATTGTTATACTGTATTCGCTGATTTTCCTATTCTGTTTTTCTTTCATCTCAGTCGTGACCTGTCCTGATCCGGGCGCCATTTTCAATGGCATTCGCCATGGCAACGTGTACAAGTGGCAGCACAGCATCACGTTTGAGTGCGTCAAGGGTTTCTATCTGATTGGCAACTCGTCACTGACGTGCACGCATCACGGGAATTGGACAGCTGCCGTGCCGACTTGCGTTGGTGAGTTTCGTACTAGCGTCCACAGCACCTTGATAGGAGATATTTCCTTGGTGCACGGCGTGATGTTCTTTCTTGTTGCGTACAGGATCTGTAGTTTATTGACAGGTGTCATGGAGCGGTTTGAACCTCTGCCGTGATGAGAGATTGTATTGCAAAGGAAGATGACCCAGGTATACTCTAAAATTCATGCCCGGCGAAACCGGTCCGGTTGGTCAGGCCATGGCCGGACAAACGTTTTTGTCACCAATGTGTGTTTACTGCTGAGGAGATCATGTGTATATCCTCCATATCATATACAAACTGTGTGAAAGGCTAGGGTATGGCTGGACCAATCAATAACTGTGTCCGCTGGTACTGAAATGCCGTATGACATGACCAGTAATGCACTCCACACAATATTGATCTGCTTGTACCTTTGTGGTTTCCCCTCTTGTTTCTGTAGCGTACACGTGTGACACTAACTTCTCGTCTCCGGACAACGCCATCACACTGACATCCCAGGGCTACTTCAGTACTAACATGCTGCTGCGAGAGGATGACATCATCGTGACCGTGTGCCAGAGTGGTTACCAGAGTGAGGACGCACAGTCGCTGTGCCTCGGCGGTCAGTGGGTGCCAGCGTTTGCGCCCAGCTGCCAGCCGTCGCGCTGCAACCAGTCGCACTTCGTCGCCGGCCGACACACTGAGCAGACGGGCTCTGGGACCGGCATTGGTGCGGCTTATTCTGTTAAATGCATCACGGGGTACTCGTGGTCCTGGCCGCTCACCTACTTCAACATCACGTGCCGGTACAACCTGGAGTGGTCCGGCGCGGCGCCCGATTGTTATCGCACCGCTTGTCCTACGCTATCAAACACTGGTAACGTACAATGGCTCAACGGTGGTAACAGTGGTGTGTTTGAGGACAACATCACTGCCGCATGTCAGTACGGCTACAAGCGGTCATCCGGGGATTTAACCCGGACCTGCCTGGCGAGCGGCTCCTGGTCGGGACAGGGTCTGGCCTGTGCGCGGGTCCAATGCCCCGACGTCGTCCTGCCCGCCAATGCAGTGATCAGTAGCTTCAACGGGCAGCACTTCGGTGACCAGGTCAAGTATGGATGCAGTGAAGGTTACGATCTGGGGAACTACACCTCCGTCCTAACCTGCATGGCTGACGGAAACTGGAGCAGTGAATTTCCCACGTGCCAAGGTGAGAGAGAGAGACGTGAGATAGCAGTCGCGTAGTCACACATAATCTCTGCATACCCCTCTGTTCACACACAGCGCGGGAATACGCTAGTCCATAGTCAGTGCTGTGTGTGTATGTGTGTCTGTGTGGTATACCTGGCTGTTTTGTATAAAGCCTGTTTCGAAAACTCTTTTTTTTTAAGTTTGATTTTCGAAATGCCCTGCTGGCACGTACGCCTGGTTGTGGTGTAGACGTACATAGAACTACCTCGTTTGAAGGCAAGCCTGATACGAATGAAAGCCTAACCGTAAAATCGGCTTCTACAGGAATAAGCCCGGCTTCTGTACGTGACATGCCGGTACCTGTGTCAGGTATGTTAAAATGCACCGTAAAATTCCATTTTGGTTTCTCTCTCTCTCTCTCTCTCTCTCTCTCTCTCTCTCTCTCTCTCTCTCTCTCTCTCTCTCCCCCCCCCCCCTCTCTCTCCCTCTCCCTATCTCCTTCTGTTCTCTAGAAATTACTTGCCCAGCGCCCACGGCACCCATGTACCTATCAGATGCGGATAGTGGCGAGTCTTCCCGGTTCTTGGACCAGTCAAGCTCTGCTAGCACATACAGCTACGGTCACGTGTACAGCTATGTGTGTGATGTTGGTCACTATCTGATTGGTGCAAACAACACTACTTGTTCTCAAACTCACAACTGGACTAATCCACCACCAACATGTCAAGGTAAGTGATTTCATGCACTGGTGTGTGCAAGATCTAAAATCTCCAGGAAACACTATTTCCCCTAAGTAACAAAACATTCTTGTGAAGAAGGCAGCCATTTTGCTAGACTTTGTTTGAGGTGTTCGACTCGATGTTCTTGCTGGTTCTGTAGGCACATTTTGTATGAGAAGAATGTTAGGTTGCTCGTCTTAAGGACATACTGTGTGGAGAAAGGAAGAGAGTCATTGACTCTCGTCAAAGGATGGTCTACTGTGTTGTTGCTTTTAATTGGTCTCGTCTCGAATGACTCCGTAGCTAGCTCTTAAAGGCGGCTAGCTTGCTTACAGCACTTTAAATTATCTCTCTTTCTCTCCCCCTCTTTTCTCTTTGCAGACGTGACCTGCAACGTGTCACAACTACCCGCCATACCGCATGGCAGTCACAGCTCGGCCAATCTCTCGATTACCGTTCTCCAGTACAACGAGAGCATAGTCTGGTCATGTGATCAGGGCTATGAACTACAGACTACTAATACCACTGCTGGTGGTGGTGTTGGTACTAGCGGCGGTGCTGATGGAATACAGCAATGCACACACTACACTAATCAACCTGGATACTTTACTGGAACAACACCAAACTGTACTCGTAAGTGACGAACAAATATCGGGCAAGCACCATTGTAGCAACCCGGTTGCTGGAAGTAAAATGCTTGCATATAGCTATTCTTGTTCATGAAAAGATCCACTATCTTCACCTTGTTTCTGAGATATTTCCCCGCATAATGGTTAAATTTGTACTCGGGTGGTTTGTGATCGAAATTGGTTCATCCCTGTTTATTTATTTTTTAATTGTTTTGTGTTGCTTGGAATTCTTCAGGGGTGTCCTGTCCAGCGTACGGCTCCGTCCTGAATGGTGTTGTGAAGTCCAGTGGTGCTTCACAGAGTCCTCGTTACCAGGACGTCTCCATGGTACAGTGTCTGCAGGGCTATGAACTTGCCGACGGTCAGTCCAGCACTGCCACCGTTACGTGCCTGGCTGCCGGCAACTGGTCGCAGGACATTTCCACGTGTACCGCCGTCAGCTGCGGTGCCATTCCCAATGTTTCCAACGCCGACCGTCAAGGCAATACGTCCACGTTTGGCAGCAACATCGTCTATACCTGTCTCCCCGGTTACAACATGACTGCTGGGTCGGCCGTGATTGGTTGCCAGGACGACAAGACATGGAGTGGGACAGTCCCTACTTGCACACGTAAGTACTGTTCTATCTGATGGCATAAATGCACATACTGCACATAGAGCTGTTGCACAACAATCACATGACCATAAGGGCCAGTCAGCTTGGCTCCAACTCCTCAAATCTGGTGTGCCCACTGTTCACATACCATGTACACTTTCTGCACAAATGCAGTCACAGGACCAGGATGTGAAACCACACTCTATTCCCGTCACAGAGAAGTTCTGACCTTCATTTGCTGCGTGCGTCCATAGTTGTGGCCGCTTGTTGTATGCATAAAAGCTGGCTGGCTTGGATTGACTGGGCAGAGCGTGTGCGTGTGCGTGCAACAGCGTACTGGCTGAAATGCTGCCACTGGCCCTGCGGGTATGAATTATGAATCATGTCACTGACGATCATCCGTGCGTGAGTCTCGTAGCCACTGTGACTGGTACCTAGCCTGATTGTCCCGTATCGTCTCCTCTCCGTGCTCTCTGCAGGTATCCGGTGTCATCCACCGGCACTCGGCTCCCATGCTACAGTCTCAACCAACCGCTCACTGTACGACTGGTCCGAGACGGTCAGTTTCTCCTGCATGACAGGGTACGTGATAAAGTCTGGTGCCAGTGCGACATGGTGCACTGATGCCGGGAGATTTTCTGACGAACATCCGGGATGCGACGGTAAGTGCTCTTCTGCCATGTTCTTCCATCTATGGTGGGTCCCTTTATAACCCAGCGCCATTTGTGCTAAGGAAATTCTGCTGGATTAGGGAGGGTGCTGGATTAACAAATCTGATTTACTGCTGCAATGTGCATGAAGGGGACATTTTGGCTACTGAAAAATTTCCTGGTTTATAGAGGGTGCTGTTTTATGAAGTTCTTGATTGAAGAGGGACTGTGTCTCTGCCTACTATTGTATGTATGTATCCACAGCTGTGGATTGCCCACCGATATCTATTCAGAATGGCCAGCTCTCCTCCACGCAAGGTTCCTTCGGTGACGACAACATCACGCTGCAGTGTGACCGTGGCTATGAACTAAGCGATGGCCAGTACTCCACGGTTCTCACCTGCCTGGCTAGCGGAGCATACTCCACTGCGCCGGTACCGGACTGCCGGCTTGTCACCTGCCCCTTACCGGACTCCGCTAACAACACACGTCGCATCGGCACTAGCAATACGTACGGTTCCACGATACGATTCGAATGTGATGCGGGATTTGTGGGTGCGAACGGCATGCTCACAAGCACGTACACATGTAGCTACCTGAATACCACCTCAGCAATACCGTACAGCTGGACCACGTCTGGTGTGGATATCAGAGTCAATGGCTGCAGACCCGTACAGTGTAATGTGCCCTCAGTGCCGCATCTGAGTTATACAAGCCTACGCGGTGATGTCATTATGTATCGTGATGATGTCATTGGCACTTGCAATCTTGGCTATGAGCTAGCCGGTGGTGATCTGGTTCGTAGTTGTGTAGTTGATGTTAGTAATAATGGTGTTGGTATGTTGACTGGCAGTGTTCCTGTATGTTCACCTATACAATGTACTGATCCTGGTATACCAGTGGATGGACAACGTAACACTACTGCTCGTACCTATACTGATGTCATCCAGTATGAGTGTAATAGTGGTTTTCTACTCAACGGTACATCAATTATTCAATGTCAGGCCAATGCTACATGGACTGCACCCACACCACACTGTACAGGTATGGTCTTTTACCAGTGTTGTCACATTTTGAATCCTTCACTTGTTTGCTTATCAACTCTCTGTGTCTCTGTGACAGAAGACCGCCAAGTTGGTCTTTATTCAAGATCACCGGATGACTTTTTCATCTGGACGACTCCTTGCAACTCCGTTTTTCGCTTTCTTTTTCTTTTTTTCTGCAGCGCTGAACTGTGATCATCCTGGACACAGTGACTACATCAGCCGACATGGAGATGAACATTTCTACAATAGATCTGTGATGTTCCATTGTCCTGTCGGCTTTGATCTGGTGGGCAACAGTGTGTTGTTCTGTCAAGCTGATGGTTCCTGGAACAGCTCCACACCAAGCTGTGTTCCTAAACAGTGTCCAGTGGTAGACAATAGCAATGCACATCGTAGCAGCACTAGTAGAAACAACACAGTAACAAGTGTGATACGTTTTCAATGTGATGTGGGATATGAAACGAGTGATGAGCTCTCAGTTTTATGCCAACACAATCAAACATGGAATTCATCCTTTCCGAACTGTACCATTGTTTCCTGCGGCAATCCACCCAGTGGTGAGAACTCAGTTTTGAGTACAGCCTCCACTGACTTTGGAGCCAGAGCCAGCTATACATGTAATGTTGGCTATCAGCATGTATCAGGTGATCTTGCTGTGGCGTGCACTTCGAACGGAACATGGACAGGCGCAGCCATGGCGTGCGATCTCATCTCTTGTCCGGCCCTTTCCGAACCAACTGGCGGCAGTGCGGATTTGAATGGTGGGAATTTCAGCTATGGCTCAGTGACTGTGTTCAGCTGTGATCTTGGCTACATACAGCACGGGTCTGGTGTGCGCGTGTGTGAAGCCAGCGGCAACTGGAATGGAACAGATGCTACATGTTCAGGTGAGTCAGCACAGGGTTTTGTGGGGGGCTGTCGCATTGCTTTGCCACTTACGTCCAGTGTGTATCTGAGTTTCAAGTGTTTGTGAGTACAGACTGTCAAACTGACCCGCTTCGAGTAGGACAGCTTTCGGTGAGACAGTATTGTTTTTGTTAAAACATTTGTATACATTCGATATGCCCTCGTGTACATCATGTGTGGGTGTCCTGCTTTGGAATGATGGTGAAGAGTCGGACAGCCCGTGATTGCACTGTTCTATGCTGTGTTTCTCGTGTTTGCTTACAGTCGTGCAATGTTTGCTACCCAGTCTACCGGCTCACACTCTACGTTCACTGAACGTGACATCATCTTCATTGAGTGTAGACTACCTGACTGAAGTCAACTATACATGTGTACAAGGGTATAGGCTGGTGGGTAATGTCTCACACACTTGCTTACATACAGGATTCTGGAGTTCACCAACACCTTACTGCACAGGTAAGTGCAAGCATGCAGCTACAATTGGGTTTTGTTACTTTTGTATCTGGTTCTCCTGTGTAATCTCCAAGCTACCGTGGTGAAAAGTGTAAACCAGCCCATGTGTCTCAGCTTTACAAGCTTGCCGAGTTGGATTTCACGTATCACCGCTGTGTGTGCATGCAATACAGCGGTGCAAGTTGAAATTCAACCTCTGCATCCTGGCTTTAGCCAGCTGTGCAGGAGTTGGATTTCACCTTGCACGACTGTCCATGGTCTTCGCAATCACACACCCGCGTGCCTCTTCATGCCCACTCCAATGTGGAAAACATGTACATTCTGCGCCTCTTCATGACCATACCAATGTGGAATATACACACAATTAGAGGCCAGAGAAAGTGTTTTTACTCCGAGTTTCACTGTGACGCACTAAGTGATCATCAGAAAACAGTAATGAGAAATCTGGATCAGTATTGGTTTATATACTCACAAAGCAAAGTGTAGAATGTGGAATATATATACATGATTCTGATGGCCCTGCATACACTAAATTTGATTTCTCCCTGCTCTACTCGACTACAGTGATCACCTGTCCCGAACCAGATCATGTTACCAACGCCCTCCGTCACGGCAACACCTTCAAATGGTCGCTCAGCGTCACGTACGGGTGTTTGAACGGTTTCTATGCCGACGGAGAGACGACGCTGACCTGCACCCAGCAGGGCAACTGGTCGGCACTGCCTCCATCTTGTACTGGTGAGTACAGTGGAGCAGGACTTGGGAATCTCTGTGGGTTGATGTACAACCATGCATGTACAGTTCTGGCTAGAGAAATCCAGCCTCATGAATAAAGTAGCGCTGCGTTCGAGTGCACAGAACAGTGTTTGTAGTGCTAGGGCTGGGCAGCGCCCGGCGGCGATTTCATTGTGCAGCACTGTACAGCCATACGTGTGCCTGCTGCAGTGACTTTCTTGCCACCGGGGGATATCGACATACTTGTTTGGGGTTGCGAACTAAGCCTAAGAAAGAACCTTGTTGTTTTTGTGATTTGCCTATTGAGACCAAGGTATGTGCGTGGTGTGTGCACGATACCTCTGACCCAGTGCATAGCTATAGTGACATTGTTGGTGGTGTGGGGCTGAAGACAGCACAGTGATGGCGGTAGTATCCCATTTACACTCACCATAACATTTTTTTTGGTGATATGGAGCCGCAGCCAGTGCGATGACAATGGTACTATTTCCTATCATCAGAATGCCTGTCCTGTGTTTGCCCTCTGCAGCTCACACGTGTGACACGAACTTCTCCAGTCCGCTCCACGCAACAACGGTCACATCCCGCGGCTCCTTCATGCCAAATATAGCGCTGTACGAGAGTGACGTCATTCTGTCGCTGTGCCACAACGGTTACGAGAGTAGCAACACTCAGTCGTCGGTGTGCCGAGCCGGCCGCTGGGTACCTGGCTTCATGCCCGACTGTCAGGAGACGCTGTGCAACGGTTCAACCCCTCTGGGTGGCAACAACACCGTGAGAACCGGCAGCAGTAACACCTACGGTAGCACACATTCCTATACGTGCGTGGCTGGGTATCGCTGGAGTTGGCCTTTCCCCGTGCTCAACATTACCTGCCAGCATGACATGACCTGGTCAGCCACTGCTCCAGACTGTGTTCGAGTTCAGTGTGCAAGCCTGGACGCGATCAACAACGGAGTCTGGTTGAATGCCACTGCGGACCGTGTGTTCGAAGATACTCTGGTCGGTGTGTGTAGTGACGGATACGAGCTTGCCTCTGGCAACTTGACCCGGACATGCACGGCGGATGGAGCATGGTCCGGAGCAGATCCTGTATGCGCCAGACGTTCCTGCTCTCCCGCCATTCCGCCACGGAATGGGCGCATTGACGCTTACGATGGCAACCGTTTTGGTGACGTGGTGCGGTTCAGCTGTGACGAGGGTTACGAACTGGGCACCAACCAGATTCGTGTATTGATGTGCCACGCCAGTGAACAATGGAACGGGTCTTTCCCCGCCTGTCAACGTAAGTTATTGCTCTTTGACTGACTGCGATTGTATAGTGTATAGTGCTGGTGAGAGATTATCACTTACTGCTACCCTGCTGAAAGATGACATGGTTTAGACCAGCCTAAACACAACAAACTGGAACTGATAATTTTTTCGCGGGGGGGGGGGACAAAATGCGACGAGACTATTGAGACTACAAATAAGCCTGGATTTCGTGTTGACACACTTAGAAATACCTGCTTTGAATACAGGCCTGCTTTGAGTGGAAGCCTAGCACTTACATCGGTGTCTACAGGAATAAGCGTGGATTTACTACCACGGCTAGTATGGATCTGCATTTTCCCCGTTTTCTTTGCTTGTGAGCTGCAAGGATGTGCAATACTGCAGCTACCATATTGCCATGTCCTCTTCTTACTGTCCATGTGTAGAAATCCTGTGCCCAAGTCCACCAACCCCGCTGTATTCCGGCATGCCACCAACACCCGTGTCAACGACATCTTCAGTATCTGGTATCACGTACATCTATGGTCACGTGTACAGCTATGTGTGTGATGTTGGTCACTATCTGATTGGTGCAAACAACACTACTTGTTCTCAAACTCACAACTGGACTAATCCACCACCAACTTGTCAAGGTAATTTGCCAGCATCTCAGCTACTCTAATAATATGGCCTATCTGCATTGACCTCAGATGTGACGTATCTCTGCTTTTCTAAGTACTCGCAGACTCCACTCCAGCCACTAAACATTAGGATACCTCAACTCAAACACGCAACTCAAATACTAAAATGATTTCACCCTCATGATGGGCCATGCACGAAAATTTGGTGAACTCTTTCTAGTGACGTGTGCAGCAAAGGGACCGAGTTTTGAGTGTCTGAGTCGAGGTACCCTAGAGTATCTCTGTTATGTAGTTAATTTGCCATTGCACTGTAGTATCTCACTCCTCTCCTTTGTAGAAAGGACTTGTGACACACAGGCGCGTGCGCCGGTGCCCTTCAAGGGGGGTTTCCGGGGGGCCTCCCCGGGAAATTTTCAAAAAATTGAGCAAAATCTTGCATTTTGAGCGAAAAAAGGGGGGGGGGTTCCGGGCACCCAGGAACCCATACGGGGCACGCGCCTGACACATGGCTTGCCATAGAAGCAATGTAGCGAATTTTCATTTCAGTAAATTTTCAACTTTTCGGACAAATTTGTCTCTTGTTGTTGCCGAATAGCTGGCTCATTGGTTGTACTGGCTTTTGCTTCTGTGCTGTGTGCATGTGTGTGTTTGTCATAGGTGTGGAGTGTGACATCTCCTTACTGCCGGCCATTCCCAACGGTGAGCATAGCATTGCAAACACCACCAACACCATTAATGCCACCACTGCTAGAATGGCACTGTCGTACAACCAGACAGTCACCTGGTCGTGTGATGCTGGCTATCAGCTGTCCACCGTTACCAATGACGACGACAATGGCGGTGATGGCAGCGACGGTGAAGACTGGTCACAACGTTGCGTACACCGCGTCAATCAGCCTGGATACTGGGATGGCACAGTGCCAAACTGTACACGTGAGTTCTGCTCCTTCTGCTCACATCTCCATGTCTCACTGCTCAGGTTTTCGTCTGCACAAGTCAGGGGTGATCCAGGAGGGGTTCCAGGGGTTCCAGGGGTTCCACGGAACCCCCCAAATTTCGTAAAATGTACTACTGGTAACCATATTCGTGTCCATATACATGTACATGTATCAGCTATTCAGTTTTGACTATACTGGAACCCCGCTGTAGAGATCGCTGGATCCGCCGCTGCAAGTGATTTGCCTGTGTCTTTGACAGATGAACATAATTATCTTGCTCCTTGTGTTGTAACGACGTTTTGCAACGAGGTCCTTGTATATTTTGCTATTTTTTCATCACAACGCAATCATCATGGAAAGATCCAATATGCAATACTAGTGAACTTGTTTTCACTCTATTTTATTGCCACCTGCGCGTTTCTTGTGGTTTATGTATGTATGCATCCTGCCCTTTCTCTATTTTACATTCCTGTGTGCAGGAGTGGAGTGTCCAGTGTTTGTAAGTGTACCCAACGGACTGGTTGAGCCAGCATTACCAAATCCTGCATTCCAGGACGTTGTCACGATACGCTGCCTTCCTGGCCATGAGCTCATCGACGGTGTGGCAAGCTCGAATTCAACCTGCCAGCCTGCAGGCAACTGGTCACTGGAAACAACCTCATGTGTAATCATCAACTGTGGAGCCATTCCGAATGTTTCCAATGCCGATTGGCAAGGGAATGCATCCATCTTTGGCAGTAACGTTATCTACACCTGTCTGCCTGGTTACAAAATGACGGCTGGGTCGGCCATGATTAGTTGCCAGGAAGACAGGATGTGGAGTGGGACAGTCCCTACTTGCAGGAGTAAGTCCATGCATGCCGTGAGTTCCAGCATGTACGGGTATGTGCAGCGTGTTGCCACTATTTGCCGGCGGCGGTACAGGATATTCTGTTGTACAGTACCGAGTCAGATGGGGCGCGATGTGTGGTATACTGGTAGCTGCGTTGTTTACTCCTCTGTACACTCTCACCGACTGCTCCTAAGTCTTTGATGACTCCACTTCATGTACATGTACTCTGCTGCTCAATGAAATCAGTTTGCTTCAGTCAAGTTTTCACCGGGCTTCGTCTCACACCCCAGTGTTCACCGATCTAGGGCTGTACAGTGCCCGGCATGACATTGACTTGCTTCATCCGATTGTGTTGAGCAGCACTGTAACCCCCATGCTTCCCCGGATACTTTAGCCTACTAACATCGCCTGTACACAGTATGAATAGCTGTGGACAATTTCCCACTCACACCATCCTTTTTCCTTCCCGTTCTCGTTGCGTGTGGTTCTCCAGGAATAACATGCAGTCGTGCAGCCTTACCAGCTCATTCTCTGGTTCATCCAGCACTGCCTGTGTACGACTGGAACGAGCACATTACCTATAACTGTGGTACTGGACACCGTCTGATGGCGGGTGCAACCACTGGAAGGTGCTCAGACGACGGCCAATTTGATAATGATCATCCGGGATGCCAGGGTATGTATGGTATGTGTTGTGCATGGGTGTCCACCGTGAGGCATGGGTTATCATCTTGTATTATGTCATATGTATGAATGTGGGGAGGGAGGGTCAGTGAGATTTTGATGAGGATGTGGAGAAAAGAGCATGTCACATAGTATTTTTGCCACTCAAAGTTCTTTTATATCAGAGTTTCTGGCTGGGAAACTTTCTGCTCACACTTTACTCGTAAATGGGCATTTTGCCACTCAGCTAGCTCCCATAATAATATAAGATGGATTTGGCATCATAGCATATCCCCTGCAGCATTATAGCTGATGGTTTTTGATTTGTTCTTGTTCGCTGTTCTGCAGTCGTTCAGTGCCCTCCGATCACTGCTCAGAACGGCATACTCTCGTCCAACCAGGGTTCATACAGTGATAACATCACACTGCAATGCGATGTAGGTTATCATCTAACCAGTGGTGTCTACAATACAGCGCTCACATGTTTGGAGAATGGCACCTACTCCATCGCCACCTTGCCAGAGTGTGTGCCCGTGACGTGCCCTGCCATCAGCAACCTCACCAACGCATTCACTTTGGACACTGACGCGTCGTTCAATGCAGTTGCGCGATTAACATGTAACCACGGCTTTGTGGGCGCAAACCGTACACTTCAGAGCACATTCGGTTGCAGCTTCTTGAACGCATCGAATGCCACCATACCGTACGCGTGGGTAGCCCAGGGGCTCGATATCCGACAAGGTGGTTGTAGTCCGGTGCAGTGTTTGGTGCCGAGTGTATCTAACTTTGACTACATTGCCCACAGGAGCACTGCTACCTATGGTGATACTGTTGGAGGGGATTGTGCTCTTGGTCACGAGCTCGCCGGTGGTGATCTTGTTCGTAGTTGTGTAGTTGATGTTAGTAATAATGCTGTTGGTATGTTGACTGGCAGTGTTCCTGTGTGTTCACCTATACAATGTACTGATCCTGGTATACCAGTGGATGGACAACGTAACACTACTGCTCGTACCTATACTGATGTCATCCAGTATGAGTGTAATAGTGGTTTTCTACTCAACGGTACATCAATTATTCAATGTCAGGCCAATGCTACATGGACTGCACCCACACCACACTGTACAGGTAAGCTAGAAGCCGCTTCAACATTGCAAATGTATTCATGCTTGGAGTCTTGTCCTCAGTTTTGTGTTCTCTATTTTGTGGGTTGATCATTTGCATTTCTTTGTCCTTTTCGATGGTGATTTTGTGATTTTTGTGTCGTTTCCTGCAGCTATGAACTGTGATCATCCTGGACACAGTGACTACATCAGCCGACATGGAGATGAACATTTCTACAATAGATCTGTGATGTTTCATTGTCCTGTCGGCTTTGATCTGGTGGGCAACAGTGTGTTGCTCTGTCAAGCTGATGGTTCCTGGAACAGCTCCACACCAAGCTGTGTTCCTAAACAGTGTCCAGTGGTAGACAATAGCAATGCACATCGTAGCAGCACTAGTAGAAACAACACAGTAACAAGTGTGATACGTTTTCAATGTGATGTGGGATATGAAACGAGTGATGAACTCTCAATTGTATGCCAACACAATCAAACATGGAATTCATCCTTTCCAAACTGTACCATTATTTCCTGTGGCAGTCCACCCAGTGGAGAGAATGCGGTCGCGTCTTACACCTCGACAACTTACAACAGTGTGGTTCAATATTCCTGCAGAGCAGGTTACACAAGTGTGTCGGGATCTACCGACATAACATGTTCAGATTCTGGTAACTGGACGAGTGATCCTCTCAGTTGCACTCTTATCGAATGTCCTTCTCTCGATGCACCCACTAACGGTGCTGCGGACTTGAACGATGGCAATTTCAGCTACAGTTCAGTGATTCGATTCAGTTGTGATGTCGGTTACACACAGTCCGGGTCTGATGTTCGTGTGTGTGGTGAAAATGGCCAATGGAATGGAACTGATACGCTGTGCTCAAGTAAGTCAGGGCACAGCTCTGTAGCCGGTTGGTTATCTCTCTATGGCCCCAATGCTGGGGATGGCTTACTACACTGCCCGTGGTCTCATTGTTTGGATATACACCCTGATTTTACACTTTGCTGCTGTGGTGGGCTGGTCTACTCGCCTGTCACCACTTTAGGAGCTGCATCTGCACCTTAGATCTTTGCAGGGTGGTGGCGTTCCTACGGATGCTGACAGCTCAGTCTAACTGAGTCTCAAGCAAACCATGAATTTGTTTACACATTTCATGTATAATACTTTTATGCTGATGTGAAGAGTTCATGACCACATGAACTGTTGCTGATATGGAATATTTCATTTCCAAGATCTCTCCGACATGCTCAATGTGTTGTTCATTCTGTTTGTGTGGCTCATTTTGAACTTTGCCCAAGAGAGCTCGACTAGCTGCTACGACTTCTCAAACTGTGTTGCTTGTTCACTTTGTGACTCTGTGCTTGCACTGTTCTATGCTGTGTTTCTCGTGTTTGCTTGCAGTCGTGCAATGTTTGCTACCCAGTCTACCGGCTCACACTCTACGTTCACTGAACATGACATCATCTTCATTGAGTGTAGACTACCTGACTGAAGTCAACTATACATGTGTACAAGGGTATAGGCTGGTGGGTAATGCATCACACACTTGCTTACATACAGGATTCTGGAGTTCACCAGCACCTTATTGTACAGGTAAGTGCAGGCATGCAGCTACAACTTGGTTTAATATCTGGTTCCTCTGTGTGTGTTTCCAAGCTACCGTGTTGCAAAGTGTAAACCAACCTTTGCGTCTCAGCTTTACAAGCTTGCCGTGTTGGATTTCACATATCACCACTGAATGTGTGCATGCAGTACAGTGGTGTAAGGTGAAATCCAACCCTGCATCTCTGCGCCAATGTGGAATACATACACTGTCAACTTTGCGTATAACGACACTCGGCGGGGCAGCAGAAACGTGCCCTTATTCGCGAAGTGTCTTTGTACCCGAAGTCTCATTATGTATTACAGTTAGACGGGACTTTGTTCTGGGCATGGAAATTCTGTCGTTATTCGCGAATTGTCGTTATATCCGCAGTCGTTATAAGCGAAGTTGACTGTACATTCTGATGGCCCTGCATACACTAAAATTAATTTGATTTCTCCCTGCTCTACTCGACTACAGTGATAACCTGTCCCCAACCAGATCATGTTACCAACGCCCTCCGTCACGGCAACGCATTCAAATGGTCGCACAGCGTCGCGTACGAATGTTTGAACGGTTTCTATGCCGACGGAGAGACGACGCTGACCTGCACCCAGCACGGCAACTGGTCGGCACTGCCTCCATCTTGTATAGGTGAGTACAGTGGAGCAGGACTTGGGAATACTAGTATCTGCAGTTTGTATGTACCATATTTTCCGGAGTATAAGCCGCACTGAAGTGCACGCTGCACTCAGATTTTTTTGTTACGAAATACAGACATCCACCATGTATTTCACGGTTCATTAGACCATCGTAGTTAAAGCTGCTTATACTCCGAAAATAATGGAAGTTGCAAACTACACCTAGGGAAGAACTTTGTTGCTTTTCATCTGTGATCTGTCTAAGGAGGCCATGGCATGTGCGTCGTATGTGCACCATACCTTCCACCCATTGCTTAGCATGTGTGGTGAATTGGGGCTGTAGCCAGCGCAGGATTGAACTTGATGCCATCACCATACTTACACGGTCCTGCCATGCCTGTTCTGTGTTTGCTCTCTGCAGCTTACATGTGCGACACGAACTTCTCCAGTCCGCTCCACGCAACAACGGTCACATCCCGCGGTTCCTTCATGCCAAATATGGCGCTGTACGAGAGTGACGTCATTCTGTCGCTGTGCCACAACGGTTACGAGAGTAGCAACGCTCAGTCGTCGGTGTGCCGAGCCAGCCGCTGGGTGCCTGGCTTCATGCCCGACTGCCAGGAGACGCAGTGCAACGGTTCAGCCCCTCTGGGTGGCAACAACACGCTGAGAACCGGCAGCAGTAACACCTACGGTAGCACACATTCCTATACGTGCCTGGCCGGGTATCGCTGGAGTTGGCCTTTCCCCGTGCTCAACATTACCTGCCAGCATGACATGACCTGGTCGACCATAGCACCAGACTGTGTTCGAGTTCAGTGTGAAAGCCTGGACGCGATCAATAACGGAGTCTGGTTGAATGCCACTGCGGACCGTGTGTTCGAAGATACTCTGGTCGGTGTGTGCAGTGTTGGACACGAGCTTGTCTCTGGCAACTTGACCCGGACATGCATAGCGGATGAAACATGGTCTGGAGCAGATCCTGTATGCGTTAGACGTTCATGCTCCCCCGCCATTCCGCCACAGAACGGGCGCATTGACGCTTACGATGGCAATCGTTTTGGTGACACTGTGCGGTTCAGCTGTGACGAGGGTTACGAACTGGGCACCAACCAAAGTGGTGTGTTGACGTGCCAAGCCAGTGAACAATGGAACGGGTCTTTCCCCGCCTGTCAACGTAAGTTATTGCGCTTTGACTGATTGCATGGTGCGAGTGAGAGAATATCACTTATTGCTACCCTGCTGAAAGATGACATGGTTTAGACCATCCCAAACACAACAAACTCAAGCTGAAATATGATAAATTCTTTCGGGGAGGGGGGGGGGGAGGGGGGGACAAAATGCGACAAGACTATTGAGGCTACAAATAAGCCTAGTTTCAGTGTTGACATACAAAGAAGTACCTGGTTTGAATACAAGCCAGACTTGAATGCAAGCCTAGCACTGACATCGGCTTCTACAGGAATAAGCACGGATTTACTACCACGGCTACGGGTATATGCCATGGATCTGCATTTTCCCCATGGTCTGTGTTTGCTAGCTGCAAGGATGCGCGATACTGCAGCTACCACCTTGCCATGTTCTCTTCTTACTGTCCATGTGTAGAAATCCTGTGCCCAAGTCCACCAACCCCGCTGTATTCCGGCATGCAGCCAACAGCTGTGTCAACGACATCTTCAGCATCTGGTATCATGTACATCTATGGTCACGTGTACAGCTATGTGTGTGATGTTGGTCACTATCTGATTGGTGCAAACAACACTACTTGTTCTCAAACTCACAACTGGACTAATCCACCACCAATTTGTCAAGGTACTGTGCGAACATCTCAGCTGCTACAATGCTATTATGGCCTACAAGTATCTCCATTCACCTTAGATGTGACATTGCCTCCAGCAGTATCTCTCCAGTATCTCTCCTTTGTCGTTTATTCTAAGCCGCCATTGCACTTGCATTTCACTCCCTCCGTAAAAAGAACTCATGGTACATGGCTTGGGATAGAAACAATGTAGCGAATTTTCATTTCCGTCAATTTTCAACTTTCCCGACAAATTTGTCTCTTGTTGTTGCCGAATAACTGGCTCATTGGCTGTACTGGTACTTGCTTCTGCGCTGTGCAAATGTGTGTGTCGTAGGTGTGCAGTGTGACATCTCCTCACTGCCTGCTATTCCTAACGGTGAGCATAGCATGGCAAACACCACTATCAACACCACCACTGCTAGGACGGCATTGTCGTACAACCAGACAGTCACCTGGTCGTGTGATGCTGGCTATCAGCTGTCTACCGTTACCAACGATGACGACGGCGGCGATGGCCGCGACGGAGAAGACTGGTCACAGCGTTGCGTACACAGCGTCAATCAGCCTGGATACTGGGATGGCTCAGCACCAAACTGTACACGTGAGTTTGCTCCTTCTGTTCACATCTCCATGTCTCACTGCTCAGGTTTTGGTCTGCACAAGTGATGTGTGTTCGTCTTTGATAGATAAAGATACTGTTTTCATTGTGTTGTAAGAATTTCTCACAATGCAATCGTCACTGAAAGGTTGCGCTGTCCAATGATTGACTTCATTCGATTTTCTTGCCACCTGCACATTCCTTTCGGTTTATGTATGCATCCTGCCCTGTCTCTCTTCTACATTCCTGTGTGCAGGAGTGGAGTGTCCGGTGTTTGTAAGTGTACCCAATGGACTGGTTGAACCAGCATTACCAAGTCCTGCATTCCAGGACGTTGTCACGGTACGCTGCCTTCCTGGCCACGAGCTCACCGGCGGTGTGGCAAGCTCTAATTCTACATGCCAGCCGACGGGAAACTGGTCGCTGGAAACAGCCTCGTGTGCAATCATCAACTGTGGAGCCATTCCGAATGTTTCCAATGCCGATTGGCAAGGGAATGCATCCACCTTTGGCAGCAATATCATCTACACCTGTCTACCTGGTTACGAAATGACGTCTGGGTCGGCCATGATTAGTTGCCAGGACGACAAGACATGGAGTGGTACAGTCCCTACTTGCACGAGTAAGTCCACGCATGCAGTGAGTTCCAAGAAGTATGTGCAGTGTGTTGTCACTATTAGCGGGCGGTACAGGATATTCTGTTGTACAGTACCGAGTCAGATGGGGCGCGATGTGTGGTATACTAGTAGCTGTGTTGTTTACTCCTCTGTGCACTCTCACCGACTGCTCCTAAGTCTTTGATGACTCCACTGCATGTATATGTACTCTGCTGCTCAATGAAATCAGTTCGCTTCAGTCAAGTTTTCATCCGGCTTCGTCTCACACCCCAGTGTTCACAGATCTTGAGTTGTACAGCGCCCGGCATGACATTGACTTGCTTCATTCGATTCCGTTGAGCAGCACTGTAAACTATGCTTCCCCGGCTACTTTAGCCTACTAGCATCATGTGTACACATTATGAACAGCTGTGGACAATTTCCCACTCACACCATCCTTTTTCCTTCCCATTCTCGTTGTGTGTGGTTCTCCAGGAATAACATGCAGTCCTGCAGCACTGCCAGCTCATTCCCTAGTTCATCCAGCACTGTCTGTGTATGACTGGGGTGACCAGATCACCTATAACTGTGATACTGGACACCGTCTGATGGCGGGTGCAACCGCTGGAAGGTGCTCGGACGACGGCCAATTTAATAATGATCATCCAGGATGCCAGGGTATGTATACATGTCGTGCATGGATGTCTGCCGTGAGGCATGGGCTATCATCTTGTATTATGACTGTGGGGAGGGAGGATCAGTGAGATTTTGATGAGGATGTGGAGAAACGAGTGTGGACTGTTAGAATCCACCATGGCCTCGGCTTGACAGAACTCATTCACCACGTCCCCAACTCTGCCTCTGTTTCGCTGAAGCACGGTGTTGTACTGTGTGAGATGGTGTCTGTAATTGTAGCATTTAATATAGAGCTTATGAAAATGCACGTCACATAGTATGTCTGCCGCCCAAAGTTCTTCTACATATTAAATAAAGGGCTTCTGGCTGGGAAATTTTCTGCTCACACTTTAACCGTAAATGGGCGTTTTGCCACTCAGCTAGCTGCCGTAATACGTAAGACAGATTTGGCATCATAGCATATCCCCTGCAGCATTATAGCTGAAAGTGTTTGATTTGTTCTTGTTCTCTGTTCTGCAGTTGTTCAGTGCCCTCCGATCACTGCTCAGAACGGCATACTCTCATCCAACCAGGGTTCATACGGTGATAACATCACACTGCAATGCGATGTAGGTTACCATGTAACCAGTGGTGTGTACTCTGCAGCGTTCACATGCTTGGAGAATGGCACCTACTCCGCTGCAACCTTGCCAGAGTGTGTACCTGTGACGTGCTCTGCCCTCCGCAACCTCACCAACGCATTCACTTTGGACACTGACGCGTCGTTCAATGCAGTTATGCAATTAACATGCAACCACGGCTTTGTGGGCGCAAACCGTACACTTCAGAGCACATTCGGTTGCAACTTCTTGAACGCATCGAATGCCACCATACCGTACGCGTGGGTAGCCCAGGGGCTCGATATCCGACAAGATGGTTGTAGTCCGGTGCAGTGTTTGGTGCCAAGCGTTGCTAACTTTGACTACATTGCCCACATGAGCACTGCTACCTATGGTGATACTGTTGGAGGGGATTGTGTCCCTGGTCATGAGCTAACCGGTGGTGATGTTGTTCGTAGTTGTGTAGTTGATGTTAGTAATAATGGTGTTGGTATGTTGACTGGCAATGTTCCTGTATGTTCACCTGTACAATGTACTGATCCTGGTATACCAGTGGATGGACAACGTAACACTACTGCTCGTAGCTATACTGATGTCATCCAGTATGAGTGTAATAGTGGTTTTCTACTCAATGGTACATCAATTATTCAATGCCAGGCCAATGCTTCATGGACTGCACCCACACCTCACTGCACAGGTAAGCCTTAGGCCTCCCTGAATCCTGATGAGCCTCTTCTCTCTCTTACTAGTGGATCTGATGTATTGCCCCCCCCCTCCCCCCCCCCCCCCTCCCCACCTTGCCCCCACCTGCACCGCTTACGACCTGAATCTGACAACCGGTCAAGGTAGGTAGCCTACATTTGTTTCGTCTACACAGATCTGTGATATTTACCACTTTAAAAAAATGTGTTGGTGGACTTCCCATACATTTCTCCGAGTCTCAGGACTTATCCAAAATTGCTCGTCTACTCTGGTACATCAGCCTTGGCCTAAATACGTATACATGTACCTGACTCGCCTCTGGGCATCGACGTAGTGCTCGTTATTGAAGTAATAGCAAGCTGCACTGGGTAATCTCATCAAACTCCCTTTCATTGCGCATAAGGGCTCGTATTTTCTGTATCTCAGAGTTTCATGGCTGAACAGCCATTGTCTGATGATTGGTTTTCAAACCAGGAAACTTTGAGTGACAACAAACAAGCCATTCCTTTCCTTTGCGCGCCTCTTATGTACTATCGTAGGCAGTGGGAAGTCTAGCAGGTTAAGGCGTACTGTCGCTGTAATTCCTTTCGTATACTTCTTTTCTGTCTACAGCCCGGAACTGTGATCATCCTGGACACAGTGACTACATCAGCCGACATGGAGATGAACATTTCTACAATAGATCTGTGATGTTCCATTGTCCTGTTGGCTTTGATCTGGTGGGCAACAGTGTGTTGTTCTGTCAAGCTGATGGTTCCTGGAACAGCTCCACACCAAGCTGTGTTCCTAAACAGTGTCCAATGGTAGACAATAGCAATGCACATCGTAGCAGCACTAGTAGAAACAACACAGTAACAAGTGTGATACGTTTTCAATGTGATGTGGGATATGAAACGAGTGATGAACTCTCAGTTTTATGCCAACACAATCAAACATGGAATTCATCCTTTCCAAACTGTACCATTATTTCCTGTGGCAGTCCACCCAGTGGAGAAAATGCGGTTGCATCCTACACCTCAAGAACGTACAGCAGTGTGGTTCAGTATGCCTGCAGAACAGGTTACACAAGTGTGTCGGGATCCACCGACATAATGTGTTCAGATTCTGGTAACTGGACGGGTGATCCTCTCAGTTGTACTCTTATCGAATGTCCTTCTCTCAATGCACCCGCTGACGGTGCTGCGGACTTGAACGATGGCAATTTCAGCTACAGTTCAGTGACTCGGTTCAGCTGTGATGTTGGTTACACGCAGTCCGGGTCTGGTGTTCGTGTGTGTGGTGAAAATGGCCAATGGAATGGAACTGAAACGCAGTGTTCAAGTAAGTGAGGGCAGAGCTCTGTAGCCGGTTGGTTATCTCTCTATGGCCGTGGACGTCGGGGATGGTTTGAACTGCCCGTGTTCTTATTGTTTGGATATACACCCTGATTTTACACTTTGCTGTTGGGCTTATCTACTCACCTCCCACCGCTGTAGGAGCTGCATCTGCGCCATAGAGCCTTGCAGAGTGGTGGCGTTCCTACAGATGCTGAAAATTCATTCTAACCGAGTCTCAAGCGAACCATGAAATTTGTTCACACATTTGATGTATAATACTTTTATGCTGATGTGAAGAGTTCATGACCACATGAACTGTTGCTGATATGGAATATTTCATTTCCAAGATCTCTCCGACATGCTCAATGTGTTGTTCATTCTGTTTGTGTGGCTCGTCTTGAACTTGCCCAAGAGTGCTCGACTGACTGCTACGACTTTTCTTAAACTGTGTTACTTGTATGCTCTCTTCTCGTGTTTGCTTACAGTCGTTCAGTGTTTGCTACCCAGTCTAGCGGCTCACACTCTACGTTCACTGAACGTGACATCATCTTTATTGAGTGTAGACTACCTGACTGAAGTCAACTATGCATGTGTACAAGGGTATAGACTGGTGGGTAATGTATCACACACTTGCTTACATACAGGATTCTGGAGTTCACCAACACCTTACTGTACAGGTACGGCCAGGTATTATGTTGTGCAATCTTCCAGTGAGCAGTATTGAGATCATCAGATGACTAAGGCTAGGATCCCGTGGTTGTTATGTGAGGCCTTGTTTTGTGGAATTTACAACTCGTCAAATATTCCTTTGCGCTATTCCATAACCTTTCTGCTATAGTTAAAGAAACTGGAATGTGTGCTCTTTCGAAGTGTTCTATTCCTCTCTGCTCACTAATTTTATGGCCAGCATATTTCATTTGGCGCAGAGCTGTATTAGCGCCCTATCACATTGCCACATTTTTTGGCCCTATTTGTGCACCATGCTGTTGAACCTGTTCTTTTGCTCTCTCTCCTGTGTACACCTCCATCTTACTAGGAGAAGGTGAAGAGCCCAGCATTCCGTCATTATACTTCTTCAAGTAGAAGTCCGTTCCGTTTCACAATCGTCCTCGTCTGCACGTGTATGTTGTGTGTTGTTTTCCTGTGCAGTCGTGACGTGTCCCAACCCTGGACACACGCCTAACGCCCTACGTCACGGTGACATCTACACATGGCAGCATAACATCACGTATGAGTGCATCACGGGCTACTACGCCATGGGAAGCACCACACTGACTTGTACACAGAATGGTAACTGGTCGTCACCATCACCACCCAAGTGCATTGGTACGCGAACGGGTCCATAAACTGATGCATTCGTTTTCATTCTGATTTTTCAGTACTTGGACTTAAACGTGTCTCTCAAGTGTTCATTGTGGTTGTCTTGAATGTGTAGCCATGCCCAGCCTACTACTGCTGTTGTGTTAGCTAAGACCACGCACGGCACAAATAGATCACAGACATTCTACTTGAAAATGAATGGAAGAGCAATTATTGTCCCGCTTCGCTTTGTTGCTGTCCAGTTGTCATGTGTGTGTGTGTTTTTTGTTTTTTTGTTTTTTTACAAAGACCACTTAAATGCCAAACATGAGATGCAGCTAGGGGAAGCATGCACAACCTGAATCGTGGCAGTGGTGGTGAGGTTTAGGGAGCTCCGCCGACCTAGGGTCTCGACTTCATGGCCACCTAGACCCACCATGTGTGTTGTTTGCTTTGCACATTGGCATTCTCCGGCTTGTCCAGCATGTCCATCACATTGTCCTTCTCCTGTGTGTCTGTTTCGTTTGTTGTTGCTACCACAGCGTACACGTGTGACACAAACTTCTCCACGCCAGCCGACGCCGAGACTCTGACATCGCGCGGCGACTTTGTTCCGGATATTGTTCTGCGCGAGTCTGACGTCATCCTGACGAGCTGCCATGCGGGCTTTGAAAGCGCAAACACCAAGGCCGTGTGTCGGCGCGGACAATGGGAGCCAGCATACATGCCCAACTGCCGGCGTACGGCGTGCAACGGATCTGCGCCGATGGGCGGCGCCAACACAGTACGCTCCGGGGCGGGCAACACGTTTGGGAGTGTTCATTCGTTCCGCTGCTTGCCCGGTTTTGACTGGCTGTGGCCTTGGCGTGCGTACAATGCTACCTGCCAGCATGACATGCGCTGGTCCAGTGTTGTCCCGGATTGCTCACGGGTAGTGTGTCCATCCCTGGCGGCCATCGCCAATGGCGTGTGGCTCAACGACACAGATGCTCAGGTGTACGAAGACTCAGCGCCGGGTGCATGTAGCCCGGGGTATGTGCGTACAGCGGGCAATCTGACCCGGACCTGCATGTCTGATGGTACATGGTCGGGGACCGACCCGGTTTGCACCCGGGTGAAATGCCCGATCAGCCCTGTACCTGATAATGGCAGGACCCTGGTCAATGAGGGTAACTCGTTCGGTGACATGGTCTCGTTCTCTTGTGATGATGGATACGAGATTGCAAGCAGTCAAAGCAGCACACTGGTTTGTCAGGCGAACAAAACCTGGAGTGATGAGTTTCCAGTTTGCAAACGTAAGTTTTTTTTTTGTTTTTCCTCGAGTGGGGAGTGATGTACCTCTGAGTAGTGCCTGCGATGCTGCCTTGACTGGTTTCATCGGACTGTGAAAGGTAGCTGGCTTGTTTCTTGTCCAGATGCATAGTTGGTTTGCTTCTCCGTCAGAAGCAGGGTTATACTCGTATGTCAGTGAGATTGCAGCCCGTGATGTTCAAAGCTCAATTGAGTGAAAGGTCCTTCGATATGAGTAAAATAGATGGGTAGTGTTGATGTTTTCTTTGTTTGCGTTTTTTCAGGAGTTACTTGCGCAGCTCCAGCCATTCCAGCGCACACACCACCAAGCACTGCAGCAACTCCAACGCCCTTGCCCACCTCTACCGCGTCGTTTGACTATGGCCACGTATACAGCTATGTGTGTGATGTTGGTCACTATCTGATTGGTGCAAACAACACTACTTGTTCTCAAACTCACAACTGGACTAATCCACCACCAACATGTCAAGGTTAGGCATGCTGCAGTTGCGCTCGCTGAAATCCGACCCAAAGTGCAAAACTGACGTCCTGGACCAGTTCTGATTACATCATCGTATTTGTTCATGAGTACGAACGTCCAGCCGCATCCTTCCCACTTCCAGGGGAGTGGGCGTCAAGGGCCGTGCAAGTTGAGGGCGCCAAATATGCACTCTAGGTCGGGTTTCACCGAGCACAACTGTACATCGTTATTGTTTGTGCGTTTCTCAAAGACTAGCTAGAAATCTTTTTCATCAATATTGTGGATTCCTTGAGCCATAACATGACAGACAGCATGGCAGTAAAGCTTTCTTCTCAAAGCACACAGCTCTTCCAGTCCCATGTGCTGTAGAGGGAAAGCTTCAGTGGGGTACTGTTTCTGAGAGCCGTCTGGCGTTTGTCTGGTCTTTAACACTCAAATTGCAATATGTCCATATTGTGTGCTTGGATTTGCGTGTGGTATTTCTTGATTAGCCGTTGAGTGTAACATCTCGTCTCTGCCGACGGCCTCCAATGCTTACCATGACTACTCTAATCGTACCGTTCTCCATTACAACGAGAGCATAGTCTGGTCATGTGATCAGGGCTATGAGCTACAGACTACCAATACTACTGCTGCTGCGGGTGGTGGTGGTGGCGGTGATACTGGCGGTGCTGATGGAATACAGCAATGCACACACTACACTAATCAACCCGGATACTTTAGTGGAACAACACCTCGCTGTGTCAGTAAGTGGCACTTGAACTGAGATGGCAGGAACCAATGTAAACTGTGGAGATACGCTAGCAGAGATGATGTAATCTTAGGCTAGCAGTGATGACGTCGTCATATTGTGTGATGATGTCATCTTGTATTACAACCTGAACCCGTCTTTGCCACCGTGCTTCTAATAGTTATGTCATATGTAGGACTTGTGCAGCTCTGCTGTAAAAATTAAAATCCATGCCTTGTGCAAAGCCGGTGTGTATTTTATTCCGGTACCGAGCAGTGTTTCGTTTTGCTAAGAGGTTGTGTATTTTGCAGAACAGTAGAATGATCAGATCAGTTTGCTCGAATTTTCTGTTCCTAACAGAAGACCTGTGTTTTGTTCGCTCTTTTTCGTCTTCTTTAACTCCAGGAGTTTCATGTCCGCTCTACCCTAATGTTACACATGCTATCAGCATTACTAACTCCACCAGTTTTGTGTATGAAGACGTCATCTCGATTCACTGCCTGCCGGGCCACGAGACTGCGACCGGTGGTTTTGCCATGACAGTGATCACATGTCTTGCAAACGGCACGTGGTCGGAGAACATCACACGCTGCACGCCGGTCCAGTGTGCTGCCTTGCCGTCCGTACCACACGCTCTTCACAGTGTTGCTGCTGGTGCGGGTGGTGATGGTAGCGGAACGTCTTTCGGCACAACCGTGTCGTACCGCTGCGAGAGTGGCTATCGTACGACTGCCGCCAGTGATTCCAGTCTGACATGTCAACACAATCGCACTTGGGATGGCAGCATTCCCGTCTGTACAGGTGAGGAACCATTCTTGTACATGTACATGTATCCACTGTGATTGATGATACGGGGGTAAGCGTTCGGCCTGTTCATCAGTGAACTAGTTCCACCTCCACCACATGCGCACTTTGGCCGACCCTCAGTGACACCAGCAACATGACTCCAAGTTGAGTTGTAGATAATAGATATTGATATCTACTTTGCCCCTGGTTTTAAGAGTGTAATATAAATATGGAAGTACAAGAACAGTGGATCACTGATAAAACGTACCCCGTGGGTAGCAGGAAAATGCATTTAGTATCCGAGGTATTGTCTAACCAAGTCCTTTTTAGTCGATATCATGTAATTAGGCAAATTTGCCTGTTTGTTCTTCGACTCTAAATAAACAAACAACAACAACAAGCCCGCCGGAAGCGGTCCGGTTGGTCAGGTTAGCACCGGACCAACTTTGTAGCTACCAATGCACGTTTGCTGCTGAGGAGGACATACGTCCCCGCCATATTATACACAAACTGTATGAAAGACTAGGGTACGATCGGACCAATTGAAAACTGCTTCCGGCGATGCTGCTAACCACTTTGCTGGGTCTGTCTGTTCTACTTATCCCCACCACTTGCACCTCTTCCTAATAGTACTTGCTGCAAATTTCTCTGCTCTTTTTCCGTCTGTTGTTCTCAGGTATCACTTGTCCTGCGCCAGCGCTACCCCAGGCGTCCGTGGCACTTCTCCAGCCATTGTCGAGTGTGTATAATTGGAGTGACTCCGTGGAGTTCTCCTGTATTCGGGGATATCAACTCAGACCCGGTTCCAACCAGTCGCAATGTTCAGATGACGGCATGTTCACCCATCCTCACCCAGGATGTGACAGTGAGTACCTCATTCACCGGCTCATCCACCCCCTTTGATTGTTCTCAGATTGCAGCTAGTGCTCAGGCCAAAGCACAGGAACTATTTTGTGCTGCAGCACCAAAAAACAAACAGACTAGACTTCTTACTAAGCACAGGATGCCTGTGTGTGCATGGTGGCTCAGCTATAAAGAGATGTCTACAACAAGAAGAAGAGGACGAAGAAAGTGTTGTTGCCCCGAGTTTCACACACTAGCCGATCATCAGACAACAACTTTAGAGACACTTCTACATGAAGATAAGAGTGGTCAACTCTCCCCCCCCCCCCCCCCCCCCCCCAGTTCTTCAGCACCAGACCGTACTGTAGTGAAAGTAAGCTTGAGAACGAACCCTGTTGTGAAAAAGTAGAGCCCTGCCAACCAACTGAACAAATGGTGTCCACGTTATCCTGAAGAAAAAACTATTTGTTTCAGCCCGAATAGCAAAAGTTTCTGAAAAATTTCGAGCAGAATTCTACCTTCATGTTGCTCACAGCTACAGATGGGGAGAGAGCGATAACGTAGAAGACCGAGCTGCAGAACTAACTAGCATGAAATGAAGTCTACTTATATCGTGTGTTTCCGTAGTGTAGTGGTTATCACGTGTGCTTCACACGCACAAGGTCCTCGGTTCGAACCCGAGCGGAAACATTTTTTCTTCTCTTTTTATGTTCTATGTATCATTTACTCTCCATGATCCGATGCATTTCTTCTGTCTTCTTGGGTGAAGCATCGATCTATCTTTGATGTCTCGAGTTAATCATTTTGACTTCTGTTGAACTTATCTCCTCCTCTCGTAGTTGTTCAATGCCCACAAGCTAGGCTGCTCAATGCCATACTCTCATCCAGTGTGGCCGTGTTTGGTGACATCGTCACGGCAACGTGTAACCTTGGCTACGAAATCAAACCGGGTGTGTACTCACTGAAAATATCCTGCGAGGCTAATGGCAGTTACAACGTGTGGCCTTTGCCTTCATGCAGTGTAGTTGAGTGCGGCGCGTTGCCAGATCTCCTGCACGCCAATAGTAGCAGCAGTGATGTGTCCTACGGAAGCCTGGTGACGGTTACCTGCGATCACGGTTACGTGGGTGAGAACGCGACGCTCAGTGCGACGTATGAGTGCGCTCACACTCCCAACACGCAGCAGAGCGAGCAATACGACTGGGTAACGGCGTCCAGTGACTTGCGCAACAGCAGCAGTGGTTGCAAACCAGTCCAATGCCAAGTGCCAACCGTACCTAACTTCAACCAGAGGAGTATGTCAGGAAGTGGGAGTGGAAGTAGTAGTAGTAGTAGTGCGCCAACCACTCCTGCCAACCTACTTTACACAGAGGTACTTGATGGTGTCTGTGATCTTGGCTATGAGCTAACTGGCGGTGATCGGGTTCGTAGTTGTGTAGTTGATGTTAGTAATAATGGTGTTGGTATGTTGACTGGCAGTGTTCCTGTATGTTCACCTATACAATGTACTGATCCTGGTATACCAGTGGATGGACAACGTAACACTACTGCTCGTACCTATACTGATGTCATCCAGTATGAGTGTAATAGTGGTTTTCTACTCAACGGTACATCAATTATTCAATGTCAGGCCAATGCTACATGGACTGCACCCACACCACACTGCACAGGTATGGTCTTTTATCAGTGTTGTCTCATTTTAAAATTAAATTTTAAATCCTTCACTTATTTGCTAATCAACTCTCTGAGTCTCTGTAACAGACGAGAGCCAAATATGTCTCCTTCATTCAAGATCACTTGATGACGTGTGTGTACGTGTTCCATTGACTCCTTGAAACTCCGTCTTTTATTGTCCATTTTTTCTTGCAGCTCTGAACTGTGATCATCCTGGACACAGTGACTACATCAGCCGACATGGAGATGAACATTTCTACAATAGATCTGTGATGTTCCATTGTCCTGTTGGCTTTGATCTGGTGGGCAACAGTGTGTTGTTCTGTCAAGCTGATGGTTCCTGGAACAGCTCCACACCAAGCTGTATTCCTAAACAGTGTCCAGTGGTAGACAATAGCAATGCACATCGTAGCAGCACTAGTAGAAACAACACAGTAACAAGTGTGATACGTTTTCAATGTGATGTGGGATATGAAACGAGTGATGTACTCTCAGTGTTATGCCAACACAATCAAACCTGGAATTCATCCTTTCCAAACTGTACCATTGTTTCATGCGGCCCTGCTCCCACATCATTGTACACAACGCTGTCACTGACAACAACGGACTTTGGCGGTGCTGCAGCATATAGCTGCATTGCTGGATACAAATCAATCGATGGAGATCAGCAATTATCTTGCACATCCAACGGTACTTGGACAGGCCAGCCACTACAGTGTGTGGAAGTTACCTGTCCTCCGCTCCTAGCTCCCGACAATGGTAACATTAGTCTTGATGCCGCAAGCTTTGCCTACTCTGCAATGGCAAACTTGACATGCGATACTGGCTACATTCTTGCAGGCTCTAGTCAACGTACATGTCTGCAATCCGGAATGTGGAGCGGAGTGGCCGCAACCTGCAATAGTAAGCAATGTGCCCCTGCATGATAATAATTATTACGATTCTTCCATGGCTCAGTACCAGCATGCCATGTTAGCCCAGTATTAATGTTACGTGTGCACAGCTACAGTCCATTTCAAAACTATAGACGCGTACCTAGGCAAAAACCGTTATGCCAGCATCTATACCGCATAAAATCTGTGATCACTTTGTGCATAATTTTTCCCGAATTGGGCATCTGTTATCCAATCGTTTAGAAACTATATGAGAGTAATTGTGGAGCGGTCCTGAGCAATATTCCGAAAACTATTCTCAAAAAGTTCCAGCCAAATTTGAGATAATTATTTCAAAAACCCTACACGTCTATAGTTTTGAAATGGACTGTAGCATGGATCTTTTTTCATCTTTTTTGGGGGGGGGGGAGGGGGAGGGGTGATCCTGTGCTGTACTTGGTGTGCTTGAAGTAAGACTTACGCGAATGGCAAATATTTGGGGTGCCCAAGACTTGTGAATCCCCCTAACACACCTTTGCTTGTTTGTGCATAATGTCAGGCTGCAGGGTTGTGATTTCCTTGAAGTAAAGATGTAAGATGTGGGTGCTGCTAAAGTGTGCGTTTGAAGTAAGGCACGCCTACGCGAGTGATTGATGGTTGGTTTCATCGCCCCTCCACTTTTAGTCTGTGTTCATTCGAGAATAGGAGTATACTGCGGGGTGGTGAGGGTGGGTGGGTGGGAATGTCTTCTCCATTGGCCGGCATAGCAGTCGTGAAATAGACTTGTCTATTACGTTCACGAAGCCCTAGACGTTTGGCGTCATCACCTCACACAGCATGTGGTGCTTTCATGTCTGTACTCTTCAGTTGTACTGTGTCCAGTGAATGACCTGACCAAGCATCTACACGCGAATGTCAACACAAGCGGCCTCACACACCTGGACTTCTCCACCGGTGTCCGCTACTCCTGCACCCGTGGCTACAAGCTGCTGGGAGCAGAGATGCAGCACTGCTTGGACACCGGGCACTGGAGCTCACCGACACCCACCTGTACTGGTAAGTAGCCAGTAGCTGAAGAGTATGAATGTATTCTGACTGACACCTTGTTGTTCTCTGTGTACACTGTTGGGCTACAGCCTGTCAGGGTTTTGCTTTCCTTGAAGTAAAGATGTACTTACAATGTGGTGCTGCTATAGTGTCCATTTGGATTAGCGCAAACCCTGCGTGGAAGCTGATGGTTGGTCTATCATACATCCCCTTGTAGTCTGTGCTCATTCGAGAATAGGAGTATACTGCGGGTGGTGATAGTTGTAAAACTGTAAAAGCCCTTCCAGGGAAGACCTGCTTGTCTCTTTAAATAGTTGCTTGATGATAGTGAATAACGTACTCAGAGTTGTAACATAGCTTCCTTCTATCTCTTTCCTGACTGTGTCTATTCAAACCTTTCTTTGTCAATACACTATAATATATATTCAATATATGATTTGGTTGCAATCACTGCTTATCCATGCCGGTTCCTTTTCTTCTCCTCCCCTTCTCCCTTCCTTGCCGTGGTTGGCTAGCACCCTCTCTCTTTGTATTGGCCGGTGTTCTCACTGTGCTATGAGATGCTGCAATAAATAAATAAATAAATAAATAAAATAAATAAATACACCCGTATATCTGTCTCCGTCTTTCTCTCTTGCTCTCTGTCTTTTCTCTCTGTCTCCCTCTGTCTCTGTCTCTCCATCTTGTGCCAATGTGTGTGTGTGTGTGTTTGCAGTCGTGACTTGCCCCCATCCTGGCGAGCCCGAGAGCGGCGTTCGCATTCCCGGCCGTGTCTTCGTCTGGCAGCAGAACATCACGGTGGCATGCGCTCGCGGTCATCAGCTTGTCGGTGACGGCACACTGGTGTGCACTGAGCATGGGAACTGGTCAGCACCGGTACCCCAGTGCCAAGGTACGGCTTGACACCACACACCTCACAGTTTAATTAAAAAAATATACTGACACCATTGAGTTCACATCTGCATCATGTGACTACATTTAGAAAAGCGATCCTGTCAGCTTTTCTATTATTGTGGTCACATTTGTTTTACAAAGCTGCCATAAAGCAGTTTTTATTGGTATAATTTAAGAGGGTGATCATGCCATGTGCGCAGTGGATCTAACATGGCCAACACCACGTGATCTGTAGATGCAGGGCTTGACTGGAGTGGGAATCAACATGGCTGTCCCATAATTATGGTCATGTGAAACCACTCTACGAGTGGATGCGCAGCGATACTGCACTTCTGGTGGACGAAATGCTATGACTTGCAGATGGACACAGCTTTCTAGTTTCACTGCTCCGGGCACCCATGCAGAAAGTCACAAGCTGCACACTCTGGGTTCCATACACTCATGACGCAAAACACAAAGGCAACTGTACGAATGAAAAATAAAAATTAGAAATATAAAAATATAAATTCGTGATTGTACCGGTTAGTGATCAGAGAAGCCCACCATTATCAAGAGTTCATAACCCCCAAGAGTGTGCAACTCCTGATCAGTCCGTGTATGGAAGGCCGCTCGGCGGAATTCCTTCATTGCGTCATTTTTGGTGCAGTGCGATGAGTCACGCCGATGAATTCTTCTAAAATTTACAGTCAAACCAGGATGCTTCCCCAGGGTAAACTGCCTAAACTGCGATTCTAGTCTGAGCCTCAAGATCAAGAAGCAAAAGTAAAACAAAGCACACGAACGATCCTATTAAAGACAAAACTATTATTTTATTTTTTCGATGCAATGGTGACTCTTCATCGCCTTCTTCTTTCACCAGTGCAGTCAGTCTCTTCAAGAACAATTTCTTCCCAAGGCCATCGGCATATTTCCGGTGCTTTCCTCGAAGATGATTTCAAATGGTTGAGGAACTTGAGAGAATAAGTGGAAGGAGCATTTTTCGGCTGAGTTGCACAGCTATCAGAATGATTGTCCTCGACGGCAATGCATTATTTTTAACAGCGTCCTCACTTCTTCCTGTCGCGATATCGCGATGTCCATGCATGGATTCTTGGAGAAAGAGTTTGTTTTTGAGAAAGTACGACTTGTACGTCCGAAATGTCTTCAAAAAAAGCTTCGAAAAGTCGAGGCTACAACCTTGAGTTAGGAGCGGTTCAGGGTATAGTTTCCAGAAATCGCAAAGAACCCAAATTTACCTCGGATGACAAGCTGCGCATGACGTAATGTAGGAATTTCGCCGAGCGCTGGGTCTATGCCCGTTGCACACTCTTGGGGGTTATGAACTCTTGCCATTATCAATCATGAAAGCGATGCGTGCTGTGAAAGCCGTGGACGCCCCCGTGGCGCAATGGATTAGCGCATTGGACTTCTAATCGGGCTAGCTGCTTGACGGCATTCAAAGGTTGTGGGTTCGAATCCCACCGGGGGTGCATTCCTTTTTCTTTTCTTTTTTTCTTTTTCAGTTTTGTACCGTTGGCACGTATTCTTGTTTTTTGATTATCTATGTTGTGTTTTTGCACTGGTACAGCACTGACAGCAGTGCAATAGTTCTATACGTCCAGTACACTCGCCACACAAGCACATGTGCAGATATGCACCCACCCGCACACTCACGCACACACGCACACGCACACATAAGCAGATATGCATCCACCCACAAAAGGACAGAAGCTCACAAGCAGACGTGTGCAGGTCACATACCCGTGCAAGTAATCCCCGTCTGATGTACATCTCTTACTTTATTTTTCCCCCATGCTTGCAGCACTCCTGTGTAACACCAGCTTTGCGAGCCCAGCAAACGCCGTGACGGTCACATCTGCCGGTGTGTTCCAACCCGGCATTGCCCTACCAGAGTACACCGTCATACTGGCTGTTTGCCAGCCAGGTTACACGAGTTACTCCAATACAAACTCAGTCTGCCACAGCGGACAATGGCAGCCAGCGTTCGAGCCCCGGTGCATGCGACACACATGCCCGCCGATCAAGGACCATGGCGCCAATACTCAGCACGTTGGCGGCGGAAATCTCTTCGGCGATGTAGTCAGCTATCGTTGCCAGTACGGACACGAGTGGTCGTGGCCGCTCGGCACGTTCAACACCTCCTGTACGTACAACATGACGTGGTCCGCTCTAGCGCCAGACTGTCATCCAGTGCAGTGTCCACCGCTCGCCGATATCACCAGTGGCAGCTGGAACAACGCAAGCTTAGCTGCGTCTCTATTCAACACCACAGCCGTCGGCCATTGCGACCATGGTTACGAACTAGCGTCTGGAAATCTGACGCGGACATGCCAGCATAGTAGACGCTGGACTGGAGATCAGCCATCGTGTCAGAAGGTCACCTGTCCACAGCCAACAGTGCCCGCTAACGGGGAGATGTTGCACTACCGAGGCAACACATACTTGGCCAGTGTCAGCTTCCGTTGCGATGACGGTTATGAGCTGAGTGGAGTGATGACCGTCCACTGTCAGGCAAACAGGACCTGGTCCGCTGATCTGCCGACCTGTGTTCGTAAGTATGGCGGTGTGTGTGTGTGTGTGTGTGTGTGTGTGTGTTTGGTACTGGGTTCGGCTTGTTGTCACAACACCGTGCTTTCGTTATGGCACAACAAGTGCCTACCTGATGAGTCTTAGTTCACTGTAACTCCCTCTCTCCTTACCTCCCTCCTGTCCTCCCTCCTTCCCTCCCTCCTGTCCTCTCTCCTTCCCTCCCTCCTGTCCTCTCTCCTTCCCTCCTTTCCACCCTCCCTCCCTCCCTCCCCTCCCCCCCCCCCTCTCTCTCTCTCTCTCTCAAGTTCTTTTCAAAGATCACACGTACAGCCAAACAGACTACAGTCACGTGTGTTTCTGCAAATGAAATTCTGTGTTTGGTTGTGTGTTGTATGTACACAGGTGTGACGTGCTCCGAACCTCTACCACCAGTATACGTACCGCTGCACGCCATCAACCAGACGGACATTGTGCACGGGGATTGGCAGCCGTCACGCAAGCACACGTTTGGAGCGGTGTTTGTCTACAGCTGTAACCCAGGCTACTACCTACAGAACACGTCCTACTCAGCCACGTGTCTGCAGAACCACAGCTGGAGTGCGGAGCAGCCAGAGTGTCTAGGTAAGCCGAAAGTCCAGGTACCGCATTTCCCTGGTTGTACGGTGCACCCCCATTTCCAGGTCTGTCGCATCATTTCAATATAATATGAATTTCAGTAGTAAGTCGTACTAGGCACCTAACTGGCAGAGTACTCAAATATTCAACAACCTGACACCTAGCTCCAACACATCCCCCAGGCGCAAATGAACAACCTTCCAACTTGTAAGGTTCACGGTTGCGCACAACTTGTATTCATGTATCTGTATTCTTCCTACCTTCCTTCTGCAATTACTAAATCCGAGTTTAGATTGCAATGAATTCATTCTAATAATGAGATCTGTGCTGTTCTGTTCAATGTGTCTTGTTGATGTCTTCGCACACATCTACATTGTTTAGCTGTTCGGTGCAGTGTTGCCGAGTTGCCCATTGTCCTCAATGGCCGCCATAACAACACCATCGGCAACGGCAGTGCCCAGCTGTCATACGCTGCAAGCCTGTCGTGGACGTGTGACTTGGGCTACACGCTGAGTAGTGGTGATGCAGTGCGCACCTGTGTGCAGATGAACAGCTCTGCCGGCTACTTCAGTGGCTCAGGACCAACTTGTTCAAGTGAGTAGCGGCGGGCTTTGGTAGCTGAACAGTGGTTGTGTGCGCATCTTAGAAACAGTTTACTGCAGTCTCTCAGTCCTCTCTCATTCCTCTCTCTCTATCTCTCATCTCTCTTCCATCTAGGTAGGTCAGATGTCTTGTCCTGTAAAATTTGTGCCTTTTAAAAGCATAGTGATGGGAGAGTATTTTTTTAAAACTATTAATTTTATCATACCCCATGGAGTGAAGCACAACCCTGAATGGTCTTTTGTTGTGTTGTTTCTGCTGACATGGGTTTTGTTGTCAATCTGACTTCTGATTTGGCTACGTTGTGCTCCGCTTCCCCAAATCTACCAACGCACACACAAACGTTCACATACATGCAGAAATGCAGTGTCCCGTATACCCGCTCATCACCAACGGCATCCTGCGTCGTCGTCGCAGTTACTACGAGTACGGAGATCGCCTGCAGATCCAGTGCATCGCTGGCCACGAGCTACCCACCACGCTGGGGTTGCGCAACACCACGCTAGAATGCTTGGCCAACAGCACCTGGTCAGATCAGTTCACCGAGTGCTCGATCATCAGTTGTCCTCCACTTGCGGACGTTCCGAACGCCAATTCCCAGGGCACCAATCTCACTTTCAATAGTGGAATCACCTACTCGTGTCATGCTGGCTTCGAAATGACCGCCGGTACAGCCAGGCGCAGTTGCCTTGACGACAAGACGTGGAGCGGCAGCTCGCCGACATGTACAAGTGAGTTAAACGCACACACGATGACCTGCTTCCAGGCTTCAAGCAAATTGTTTGTCGTTCCCTAAAGTGATTGGATCTGATGATATCATCCACTTGTTTACGACTCGTACCTTTTGCAAAGAGGTTTTCCATGGTAGATTCATGCTGCAATAAAAGATCTCGTGGTGTCATACATAAAATGTGGAAAGTCAATTTTACCTCTTGGTTTAGTCGGTGATGCTATATTGGCCAGAGCAGGTGTGATGTCTTCATGCTAAAGCGTCATTGTGAGTCTCCTTTGCCGTGGACAAACTGACAAACGTCAAGCAACACAGTTCATGTGTTTAGAAGAGGGAAGGATCGCTCGTTGTGATACGCGTCTTTCCTCGCTCAATCCTGTACCTTTGTGTCGCATCTCTCGCCTGTGTGTGTGCAGGGATCACATGCAAAACGCCGACTGCCAGCGGTCAGGAATCAGTAACACCGACCAGCATGTCACATGACTGGAACACAACCGTCGACTTCATCTGCAACGCTGGCTACCTGCTGAATGCTGGTCAGGCACAGGCTATGTGTGCTGACGATGGCAAGTTTGACAATCAACATCCAGGATGCAGCGGTAGGTCACGACTCACTAGTAGACGCACTACTCTGAATCAGGAATATTTGGTTCATGAAAATGTTTGCACGTTTTCGTCTCAAACCCGTTCACATGCTGAGTATTTTCGGTTTTTTTTTTCACTCGTATGAGATGGTCCACCGTACGTTCAGTGTATAAAGGTTTGCTAAGTACTCATTTTCGCTATGTATGCAGTCTAGCCCAGCGGAGCATTCTTGATGTATACAGTACATTGCCAACGACATCAATGTAACCCGCTCACTGTGCACGTTTTGCATTTAGCACTCTCGTGATGTCACGTACAAAATGTTGTCCTCGACCTTACATATTTTTAGCTGTTGCTCTCATGCCCCGAGATACAATCTGACTGAGTGTCTTTGTAGACAGTGGTGATTTGTGGCAGACATTCCTGTGCGCTGCGGCTGCATGCTTGCTCCCTTGTTTCACATGCTAGAACATGTCCCATGCTGTTTGCTGCTGTATCTTTCACTCCACTTCTGTGCTCAGCTGTTCAATGTCTGCCTCTCAATGTTGCCAATGCGCAACTCTCCGCCACAGCGGCACAGTACGGCGACAACATCACGGTGACCTGCGATCGCGGCTTTGAGCTGAGCGTCGGCAAGTATTCAACGGACATCACGTGCCAGGCGCACGGCAATTACTCGATACGTGTACCGGCCGCTTGCACCCGGATTGAGTGCGATCCGCTGCCAACGCTTTCCTACTCGCATCAGAGCTCTACCAATGTTCTCTATCAGTCGGTGGTCGATATCATCTGCGACTCCGGGTACGTGGGCGCTAGCAATGTGCTGTCTGCACGTTACCAGTGTGCGTTCATACCAAATAGCCGAGCTGCCATTCCCTACGGCTGGGTGAATATCACTGCAGACTTGCGACCGACAGGATGTGCTCCAGTCTCTTGCCTGTACACACCGACGATAAATAATTTCATTTTCGACAATACAACTCTGCCGGCATCGCTCCAATATCTGGATACTCTCTCCGGTAGTTGTGACCTTGGCTATGAGCTAACTGATGGTGATCTGGTTCGTAGTTGTGTAGTTGATGTTCGTAATAATGGTGTTGGTATGTTGACTGGCAGTGTTCCTGTATGTTCACCTATACAATGTACTGATCCTGGTATACCAGTGGATGGACAACGTAACACTACTGCTCGTAGCTATACTGATGTCACCCAGTATGAGTGTAATAGTGGTTTTCTACTCAACGGTACATCAATTATTCAATGTCAGGCCAATGCTACATGGACTGCGCCCACACCGCACTGTACAGGTATGGTTTTTTTGCCAGCATGGTCTCGTTTTGAATCCTTCACTTGTTTGCTTACATGCTCTCTCTCTCTCTCTCTCTCTCTCTCTCTCTCTCTCTCTCTCTCTCTGTGACTCTGTGACAGAAAGCAGCTGAATTTGTATTCTTCATTCAAGATCCCTTGGATGACTTGTGTATCTAGACAATTCGTGGCAACTCTGTTTTTCTTTCTCTTTTTCTGCAGCTATCAACTGTGATCATCCTGGACACAGTAACTACATCAGCCGACATGGAGATGAACATTTCTACAATAGATCTGTGATGTTCCATTGTCCTGTTGGCTTTGATCTGGTGGGCAACAGTGTGTTGTTCTGTCAAGCTGATGGTTCCTGGAACAGCTCCACACCAAGCTGTGTTCCTAAACAGTGTCCAATGGTAGACAATAGCAATGCACATCGTAGCAGCACTAGTAGAAACAACACAGTAACAAGTGTGATACGTTTTCAATGTGATGTGGGATATGAAACGAGTGATGAACTCTCAGTTTTATGCCAACACGATCAAACCTGGAATTCATCATTTCCAAACTGTACCATTATTTCCTGTGGCACACCTCCCTCTGGTAAAAACTCGACAGTTACCTTTTCTTCCGTAGTGTATCAATCGGTGGCTGCATTCAATTGTAATATGGATTCAATATATGAACAGGGCAACATGCAGAGTGTGTGCCAGGCTGATGGTACCTGGTCCGGTTCACCTCTGGAGTGCACCGTCACACGTTGTCCATCCTTATCTGCTCCCGCCAACGGCAGTGTCGTGGTGAGCCACAGCAACTTCACAATAGGCACCGTGGTGACGCACTCGTGTGTTCGAGGCTATACGCTGGTCGGGGCTACGGCCACTGTGTGTGAAGAGGGAGGCTTCTGGAGTGATGCACCAGCAACATGCACGAGTAAGCTATGGGTGATTATAATACATTACCTTTGTGACCTACATGTAATGGCCACCTGTCTTGAGGGGACGGGTTTTTTCTAAATAATTTTTTTCATGTTGGAGAGTCTTTATGTTCAAGCTTCCGTTTAAATTGTTCCCAGCCCTGCAGTGTAGGATACCACTTCCCCGTCTCTGGTCTCTGCCGTGTGGTTTCAGTAACCTCACGTGAGAAATAGGTCTACTTCGACAATGGACTTTTGTTAAAAAAAGATGACTTTTATCCGGATACGTATGGAAATTGTTCTTCTGTGTCCCCGGGTTACCATCCCTCTAAAACATTTTGCCAACGGCCTGCAGCGGGACCAACATTGCACAATTTGTTCACATGGCTGCTGTTCATTTTTCTTTTGTGTGTGTGTGTGCGTGTGTGTGTGTGCTGTATCGCTGCAGTTGTGCGCTGTCCGATAAGTGCTACTCCGCGCCACGCTCAGCGTGTGCCCGCATTCAACGACACGTCCACCGTCACTTACGGCACGCTGATTCACTACAGCTGCAATGCCGGCCATACCCTGGTTGGCGCAGCCATGCTGGAGTGTCTGGAGGACGGCTACTTGGATTTCCGCAGTCCGTACTGTGTTGGTAAGATATGCGTAACAGTGTGTACTGGCAGCAGCAGTATAGGGTGAAATTTTGATGCGGCCCGCCGAAATGTTTTTTAGCCCTTTGGCGGCGGAAATTAAATTTTAAACGCGCGTCGAAAATATGCAGATTACCAGTAACTTAGATGTACTCTGCTTTGTTGCCTTTTCTGCTTTTCTGTACCTGTCCACACAGTATCAGCGTGTCCAGTGCCTGACAGCGTGGCTAACTCCGTACGTCATGGTGATATCTACAAGTTCAACCACACTGTAGCCTATCAATGTAATACAGGCTTCTATCTGCTGGGCACGGCCAAGCTGACGTGTACACGCCATGGGAACTGGTCGGCTCAGCTGCCCTTCTGCCGGAGTGAGTAGTGAGTATGCAGGGAGGTTGTTTTGCTTCGCGTGGGTGGATGAAAGTATTTCAGAATGTTTGGACAGTTACCGGCTTGGCCAATAGCATCATCATGCTGCCTGATGATAGCGTAAGCATGAAACTCAGAGTAGCGACAAACTAGCCTTGCTTGCCATTGTTGTTGTTCTGTGTGATTGGATACTGTAAGTCAAATATTCGGCGCATATTTATTTTCGGCCTGATCATATTTGGCCGAAAGTTTGTTGCAGCCGAAAGTTTGTTTTGCAAGCTTCGGTGTGACAGTGTGTACAGGTAGCAGCAGTACAGGCCGGACATGTAATGCGGCCGAAATGTGTTTTAGCCCTGGGAGGCCGATATTTGAATGGCGTGAACATTTGTAGACCTACAGTAGTTGGGTAATTGTTTGAGCAACGGCCGAATCATTTGAGTGTACATTGCGTGTGCACGCGGTTCTTTCTGTTTCTGTTCAAAGTGGGCAAGGTATGACGAGTACAATGCGTAGCGCTCGTGCCCACGTCAGGTGTTTTTTAGCTTCCGTCTAGCTCACTCACACACACACACCAGAAAATTAGATTGCTCCAGCCAACAGCATCCTCTTCAGCAGCTCAAGTCAAGCAACAGACCTCCCCTGAAAGCATACTTTTTGATCTGCTTAATTATAAATTAAAATGTATTCTTCTTCTTTTCAGCATATGAATGTGATACAAGTTTTCCACCACCTGCGGAAGGCACAACCATCACCAGCCAAGGCCCGTTCTCGACTAACATCACGCTACACGAAGGTGACACGATCATTACGCAGTGCAACGCCGGCTATGACAGCACGCTGCCTCTCAGCGCACTGTGCCGCGGTGGCAACTGGACGCCTGTGTTTGCGCCGAACTGCACGCGGCTCATCTGCCCGGCACCGATTTCGTCCGGCAACAATTCCGTGCGAGTGTTTGCCGGCACGCCACAGGAGGATGTGCATGTGTTCCATTGCCAGCGCGGCTACTCCTGGCTTTGGCCCTTCCCTACGTACACGCTGACCTGCGGGCATGACTTGCAATGGTCCGGTACGGTTCCCAACTGCACGCTCGTCGCATGCCCTCCGCTGCCGGTCAGTCCGTCAGTCACATGGAGCAGCCCCAGCGGCGTGTTCCAGGATGCGGTCACTGGGCAGTGCAAGCTGGGCTTTGAGCTGGTACGTGGTAACCTGACGCAGGTCTGCCAGGCCGGCGGCCAGTGGTCGGGCGACATGCCCGTGTGCGAAGCCGTGCAGTGTCCGGCGTTCCAGCTGCCGCCCAACGTCGTCCTCTCCTACTTTGAGGGCAACTCGTACAGTAATAGTCTGTGGTTTACCTGCACCGTGGGTTACAAGCTAACGCCGCCTACCGTAATCACATGCACTGCGAACAGCACATGGTCAAATCCAATACCCAACTGCCATCGTAAGTACACGTACCAGCACTGCTCTGTGTTTTCCATGTTTCTATCTAAGCTGTGGGGTTTTCCCCAAGTTCCTCTCTTATCTGTTTTCCCCAAGTTCCTCTGTAGTCTATGTTGTCCCGTAATCCCTCTGCAATCTATGTTCAAGTTGTTCCATAATCTGTGTTGTCCAAGTTGTTACGTAATCTGTGTTTTCCAAGTTCGTCTATGGTCCATAGTGCGACATCCTCGCAGTTCTCAGTACTCAGCAGTCGTGTGGGGCATATCCACATGGGCAACACACTACTCCTGGAAGCAGAAACTCCTTGCTGTGACTCTTCACCCACGCACCTATTGCTCCTGTAAGAGTATTACTTGAACTGTTCAATTTGTGCTCCACACACACACACTTACACACTCTTGCACTGTGACACAGGTATCAACTGCCCGCCAGTACCACAGCTGACCTACCCGAGCGGTATCATATCATCATCACAGAGTAGCAGCAGCAGCAGCAGTTCCGTATCATCACGTATGGACTTCAGCACCGTTGTACACTACATGTGTATGCCTGGCTACTCTCTGGACGGTGCGTGGAACACCACCTGCTCGGAGCACAGCAACTGGACCAATCCGGCACCCACCTGCCGACGTAAGCTATGCTATCGTCTGTCTAGCGTGTGTGTGTGTGTGTGTGTGTGTGTGTGTGTGTGTGTGTGTGTGTGTGTGCGTGCGTGTGTGTGTGTGCGTGCGTGTGCGTGTGTGTGTGTGTGTGTTTGTTTGGGGGGGGGGGCTTGGGGAAATAAGAAGCCACACCACTCTTGTTCATCACGAACAATTTTACGCCGCTTGATCTTGTTTACATTCAGCCATGTTGCAGTCCTTTTCTTTGAATGCAAAACAAGGTAAATTGTAAAGAGAAAAGGTTACTAGTTATGACTAACAGTCCACCAAGGTAACGAGATAGTATACAGTCAGATAGTGCGACAACAAGCCACAAAACTGACAAGGATGTTGAGACATTCTCTTGACATACTGCTATTGGCTCAACATCCGAGTTTTTATTAAGATAAGTTGTGTTCATGATTCTTTGAGCTGTGTATTTCAGACTACTAGTATTATTATTATTTCTACAGGCATTTCGTTCTCAATCCTCACTTTGTCTTTGCTCGTTGTGTTTTCTCTGTTTGCCACCGCAGCCATCTCGTGTAACGTCTCCGACCTGGGCGGGGTTCAGAACGGCTACCACAGTGTCCTGTCATTCGCGCCGGCCTTCTTTGGCCAGGCTGTCACGTGGCGCTGTCAAGCCGGCTTCCGTCTCATCGGTTCGGCAACGCAGACCTGTACGCAGGACACCAACTTGCCGGGACGCTGGAGTGGAATGAAACCCGTGTGTGATAGTGAGTAAAACAGTGATCTGTCTTGTCAAAAAAATTTTCCAACTTGACCAATACAAATTGATGGTACATGTAGCGACTCCAGCGATAATCATAAGAAGGCTGGCTGCTCGCAACACTGGAACTCTCACTTTTCCCACCTCCGACTTTACTTGACACTTTACTGACTCTGGACTGCCAACCAGAGCACACGCGAAGTCCATCGAACCGTCCACTCGACAAGCCTGCAAGAAAGCACCACTCCCTACCCAATACACAGTGTTTCGGGGAATTCACCCCCCATCAGTTGAGCTTGGATAGGCTAGGGATGATTGTGCCTGAGGAGCACCGCTTTAATAGTGCTCTCCGGGCCAAAACATCATCACTAATATCGCCAAAACATCAAAATTCATCATCAAAATTGTCTCCATTCGTTTGTATCTTTGATGTTAACCTCTGTCTGTCTGTCTGTCTGTCTGTCTGTCTGTCTGTCTGTCTGTCTGTCTGTCTGTATGTCTGTCTGTCTGTCTGCCTGTCTGTCTGCCTGCCGGCCTGTCTGCCTGCCTGCCCGCCCGCCCGCCCGCCCGCCCGCCCGCCCGCCCGCCCGCCCGCCCGCCCGCCCGCCCGCCTGCCTGCCTCTCTTCCTGCCTGCTTGTCTACCAACACACCATTCCCTGCAGCAATCAAATGTCCTAACTACACCGCAGTACCGAACGCCAATATCCTGTCCGATGACGGCGCTGCTGCTCCCGGTGGTGTGGAATTCACCGCCGGCGACCGTATCACCATCCAGTGCCACACTGGCCATGAACTACCCACCGGCGAGACTAACATCACAGCGCACTGCTGGGCTGACGGACGCTGGTCCCTGGCCGTCGTCGCCTGCCTGCCCGTCTCCTGCTTTGCGCTGCATGCACCGCCACACGCCACCCTGCTCCCGCCCACCAGCGCCACCGCCAGCGCACACACGTACGGCAATGTGGTGACGTATGGTTGCCATGACGGACACAAGCTGATTGGTGGCAATCTCACCAGGACGTGTACGGCTAACCGGCAGTGGACTGGCACGGAACCACGTTGTCAAAGTAAGCTATAGCCGGTTCTCAAGCCAGTCCCGTTTTTAGTGAGACAGTCCGGAGTTGGACTGGCACGTGTGTATATTATCAGTACTAGTATGCATGACATTGTACGTTTAGAATAAACACCGATGTTGCAGTGTTTGTGGGAATATACACCGTGTCAAGGTCTTTACCTACATGTATCTGTGCTGGCTGGTTGACCCGGCTTTGTGAGTGTGTGTGCGTGTGTGAGATTACATGTCCGATGAGCAAGGACACACAACATGTATGGTTGTTAGCTGTGGCGTAATCACTCCTTTCCGCCTTCTGGTAGAGAGATTACGGCAACGTGTAATGAGGATTCTGCCAAAGCTGAATCTAGTCTTATCCCTATTCCCTTGAGCTACTCTCAAGCTCACTGTTCCATCCATTGGTATGCGAACAAGTTTTTATTTCTGTGTTGAACTGATGTGCTTCCGTGTGCAGTTGTGATCTGTCAGATTCCGACGGTGCCGCTCGGTTTCCATGGCACTCACGATGTCAACAGCTCCGCGCAGCTGCTGTACGGGCAGTCGGTGACCTGGTCGTGCGATTACGGTTACGCAATCACGGGTACTGCTCAGCAGCTGTGCACAGATGCTGGCACTCTGTTACCAGCTGTCAATCCACAGTGCACTGGTAAGTGTTTGGAGTAGAGGATACCAGTCAGAGTGATTATGTCATACCAGTCAGAGTGATTATGTCATACCAGTCAGAGTGATTATGTCATACCAGTCAGAGTGATTATGTCATACCAGTCAGAGTGATTATGTCATACCAGTCAGAGTGATTATGTCATACCAGTCAGAGTGATTATGTCATACCAGTCAGAGTGATTATGTCATAAGACCAAGAGTACATAACCCCAAGAGTGTGCAACTGCCTGCACAATCTCTATGCTGTGCTGCGACGGCAGAACTTCACATCACGTGACATGGTTCAAAAGGTTATGCTGGCAAACAGTGCAAAGTGACCACAAGAGAGTTGTACCCAAAGCTGGGCTGCGTACAACCCTCCCTGTATCTATCATGCACAGAGTGCAAATAATGTGTACGGGTTCATCACGTGATGTGAAGTTCTGCCGTCGCAGACCCCATAGCTGGAGTTGCACACTCTTGGGTTATGTACTCTTGATAAGACTCACAACAACTGTAAAAGCAGAAATTTTTCAGTGGTGTTTTATTTTCGGTAAACTTCGGTGCCGAAATTTTTATCGAAAATAAAACGCACCGAAACTTTTGGTACTAGTACTAGTTCACTTACCTGGAAAACGGCTTTACCAAAAATTTCCCTCCACCGAACTGCCGATTTTGGAGAATACCGAAAATATTACACCACCGAAAATTTCTGCTTTTATAGTAGTACCTTTTTTGAATTCTTTTTTCTCACGATGGCACCATCGCCAATAAGAGATAATTTTATGAGAAGGTGAGATGCTGTGAGTGGAGCTGTGGGTTATGCAGTTGGAAAGCAATTTACATCACTTTTATGGAAGATTGCAAGGGTGAATTGCCCATTTACCATAAAGTACACCTTTGAACATGCAATGCAACACTCTGATTATGCTTGCGGTTACTGACCCTTATCGGGTGTTAGCGGCCGTCGTGAGTTCCCTTCGGGAACGGATACGATAATTTACTTTTTTTACTTACTGGCCCTTGGTTCTGTTTCCGTTATATCTTGTTTTGCCACCGTTGTAGTTGTGGTATGCCCAGCGCTGGTTCTCCGTGATCACTCGTTCCTTGCACCGGCCGGTAGGCCATCTAACGCAACATACCGGCATCTCGATGTGTTGAGTGTTGAGTGTGATGCTGGTCATGTGACTAGTGATGTCACCACGCTGCAGTGCACTAAGACCGGCCTGTGGAGCAGTGCAGTCCCAAACTGTACACGTAAGCTGTGAAACATGCCTCTTAAAGCTGTGCATGTGTGTGTGTCTGTATGTATGTCTGTGTCTGTGTGCATGTGTCTGTCTGTCTGTTTGTGTGTGTGTGTGTGTGTGTGCGTGCGTGCGTGCGTGCGTGCGTGCGTGCGTGCGTGCGTGCGTGCGTGTGTGTGGATGTGTGCATGCATGCGGCCTTGGTTTGATTTTTGCAGTTCTGCCATTGGGGAGTATGGTTTTCCCTGTAGCTCTTAGCGAGCATCAGTTGACAATATAACTCGTTTGTTGTACATCATTGAACTGTTTGTGTCCCTGTAATCAGTGTAATGTGTGTATTGATAATACCTTACACCTGTTCTGTGTGTCCCTGTTGCTCCTCACTCCCCCTCACAGGTGTATCATGCCTATCACATCCACTGGTTGTCCACGGCTCGGTAACACCATCTCAACAGAACTACACGTACAATGACACCATCACCATACAGTGCCAGCCGGGTTTCGAAATCGCCGACGGAGTGAACACCGTGGAGCGCAGTTGCCAGGACAACAGGACCTGGAGCGGTCCACTGCCGGACTGCTCGCGCGTACACTGCCCGATTCTGACCGAGCCACCGAACGGGTTCCGCACGGGTCTCGGTCTCGGCGCCAGTGCCTCGTCCAACACCTACCAGAGCGTGCAAACGTTTGCCTGTGACGCTGGTCATCGTCTAACGGCCGGCAACCCGGTGCTGGCGTGTCAACGTGACAAGACTTGGAACGGCACACGACCGACTTGCACAGGTGGGGTGATAGCGTCTGATTTGATCACATGAAAACTAAACAAACTGCGGCTTTCCCTTGTGCATGTGGGGTGCAATACATGGGGCTTTATTTTTGAGCTCCCACTTCAATCTCCAACTGCACGTTGTTCACTTTGTACCGAGCCTGTTCATCCGTAAAGCACCGCTATTATCTGCCTGCTTCAGCTTTCAGTTCAGTGTGTTGCTGGCCATAGCTGTACAGGGCTGTGTTTGTTTTCACGAGTATTTTTAAAATGAATGTTAGTATCATGTCAGCCGCTACTGTGCTTGAAGTTATATTGTACTTGTAGGTACAATCAACTTTTTGCCAATAGCAGACTTGGATACTGTAGAACGGGTAATTTTAGCGACTATCAATTTTAGCGTTTTCCCATTGTCAACCGGCTAGCGACGTTTTATTTTAGCGATTTGCAGCGATTTTACTCACGGATCACCAGTGCACTACTAATGTCTCAACGAATTAGCGACTTGAAACTTTAGCGAAAATGAGTCGATCGCTAAATTCGCTAGGGTTTTTACGTGGCTAAAATTACCCGTTCTACAGTATAACAGCAACTACCTACATTATCACCAGACCAAGTAGCTACTCGATTTTATACTTTTCACCTGGCGAATAACGACATCTCAGGCAGAACAACTCTTTTCCCGTGCCTGATTAATGGTCGCTATTCGCAAGGTTGACTTCGAAAAAATGAATTTGTTTCTGTTCTGTGTGTGTGTATATCGTGCAGTTGAGACATGCCAGCTGTTACTGAACTCAAACTCTCACCCAGCCTTGGGGACATCGCCGTCGAATCATGACGGTTCTTACAACTACACCAGTGTGGTGTCTGTGGCGTGCAATGTCGGCTACGAGACGACCGACAACGCAACGCTGACGTGCCTGCCTGGACATCGGTGGAGCTCGCCACCACCAGTCTGCAAACGTAAGAAATGTGCCGACTCAACGCCAGTGCACTACATCGTGTGTAGTGTGCATGGCAGTACGGAACGGAAAGGGAAATTTGCTGGTTGGCAGAATATGCAATAGCTTGCCGAAGCCTTTGGTGCTGTCTCGAAAATTCTCTCCAAACTCCAAAGCCATACGAAGGGACTGGCCCCCACACTCGGGTCCCCTCGTGTTCTTATCAGTTGTGTTGATCCAACTTGTTGTTATGTCTAGTTTGAAATCGTGTTGTCTCACGACGGCTTGTGGCGAATAAGAGAGGAAGAAGAAGTGCAGAGGCGGTGATCGGATAAAGAGATATCAACATGTAGCTGTAGTTGTGGTTGACGTTTCAGTTTGTTACTTTGCCTTGATCTTTGTCCTCTAGCTCTAACCTGTGGCCCAGTACCCATGGTCGGTAATGCCACCATTATCACTAATACCAATGTCAGCGCTGCACATATCTACCAAGACAACATCACGGTGGCCTGCAGCAATGGCTTTGCAATGAACGACGGAACGACATCACTACTGATTACTTGCCAGCTGGATAAACAGTGGAGCATTCCGGCACCGTCTTGCCGCCCCATTCAGTGTCCTGAGCTGGGTCAGCCGGCCAATGGGTACCGCTCCTCCAGTGACCTGACGTTTGGCTCTGTCCAGCGCTTTGCCTGCAATCAGGGTTTCGTCCTGTCTGGTGATACTGCGGTACAGTGCAATGCTGATCAGGCATGGAATGGAACTCTGCCAATCTGCTCAGGTGCGTAGCAGCGATGAATGTGATGTTGGAAATCTTACTTAGCTTTGTCTTGGGCATTCACGTGCATTGAAACCTGTCTAAGCCAACCGCTCAAGGGACCTTACACATGTGGTCCTTGTTTGCTGGAGGTCGTCTTATCTAGGTCATTTGAATGGAAAAAGCACCCCTTGGCCCCAGATTCAGTGGCCCTCTAGGACAGGTGGTCAGTCGCCTTGATAGGCTTCAACTTTACTCTGTAGTCCACTCCACAGTGCTTACTGCTGTTGACATTTGTGCTAGCCAGTTGTGTGCCGGCTGAGCGTTTCTTTCACTCTTTGAAGTGGCTTGTATTCAGCAGGTGACTTTTTCATGGACATTGGGGCCATGTCTCGACCTGGGCACTTGCCCTCTGCTCTGTCTACACGTTTCGTCATTTGGGCACATATTTCATAATGCCATCGTGCTGCTGCTGCTGCTGCTGCTGCTGCTGCTGCTGCTGCTGCTGCTGCTGCTGCTGCTGCTGCTGCTGCTGCTGCTGCTGCTGCTGCTGCTGCTGAGACTAGTTGTGTGAGCTGACTCCCTTTCGTATTGTGTGTCTGTCTCTGTGTCTGTATGTGTGTCTGTGTGTCTGTCTATCTACCTGTGTTTGGAATGGATGCATGTGTGCGCACATGTGGATATTTGTGTATTGCATGGATATCTCTTCAGCATTTCTATGTACACCCACCTCACCATCTTCAGCCACCGATAGCACTGGCACCAGTGGTGATAGCAACGGCAATTCCACTCGAGAGCAAGCGTTCACTTGCCCGTCGGGCTTCAGTCTTGTTGGCGCGACCACACTGAAGTGCCTCTTGAATGGCACATGGAGTGCCCCTGCCCCGGCGTGTATACCTCTAGCATGCGCTGCTCCGAATAACACCGGACGGCATCGCAGCCTGACATCGAGGAACCTGACGATCACCGGCACCATCGTGTTTGCCTGTGACACTGGCTACAGTACTAGGGATGCTGTGCGTGTGACGTGCGGCGCCGACCAATCCTGGTCTGGTCCATTCCCCGTGTGCAGTCCAGTGCACTGTCCAGTGCCCGTAGCCGGTCCAAATGTCATTCTATCCGTTCCACTCTCGCCCGTCTTCAACGGTGCACCGCTTGTTGCAGCGTGCGAGTCAGGGTACCAGCTCTCGTCTGGTGATCTGATCCAAACGTGTACGTCGAACGGCAGCTGGTCGGGAAGTATGGTGGTGTGTTCGCGGATTCTGTGTCCTGCCATTGCGGCACCATTGAACGGTCATCTCCGCCGTGTGCAGTCCACGTATGCCCAGGGTGATGTGCTGGAGTTTACGTGTGATCCTGGGTTCAGACTAGGTGGTAGCAAGCAGGCAAACCTGACGTGCGTCAAGCAGGGAATCTGGTCGCATGCAGCGCCACGCTGCGAAGGTACGTAGTGTGCACTGGCATTGCCATGTTAGAGATGCACGCACGTACCTTTTTGTCCCTTTACCAAGTTCTGTTGTAGATGCGTACACATCCCCCTTTTTGCCTTGCTTTGACGATAGCTTCATGTACACTGTTGCTCAATGAAATCCGATCGCGTGATGATGTCATACTCCCTTCACAGCCATCCATACACGGCAACATTTGCCTAAATGGATGAAACTCTTCCGCATTGGGACGGAACAGATTTCACAACCATCCACGGGAATGTGCCATTGGTACAGTCCACATAAGTGTTGTACTAGTATGTGTTTGATCACATTTCTGCTGCCCGAATGCACTGCTTTCTCTTATCCGTTTCTCTCCTTCCTGTCACGAATTCTTTGATTCAGTGGTGGACTGTCTCGTCACCACCTTGCCACCACAGCTACATCAGCGACCCGCTTACTCACCCGGATCCTATGTGCCGTTCAACACCACGCTGAGATATCACTGTGATGTTGGCTACACATTGCTTGGTGCCCGCACACAGCTATGCCAACAAGCTGGTCTGTGGGATAATGCACTGCCACA